CTTGCACTACGTGGTCAGACTGATGGGGGAGGGGGGGGGGGGTAGGCCCGGGATGATGGTTCGCGTTTAAGGGTCGTTATTCATAACATATGGGTTGAGGGTCGCTTTTCATAAACAATAAAATTAAAATTAAATTAGAAACAAACAAAATGATAATAAGAAAGCGAAATAATGAATAGGGAACACCCCACGGCTGTGGCGTAGGCGCAGGGGGGGGGGGGGGAGGGGGGTCGCCATATGGCCTCGATTATTTGTAGAAAACATTTATTGAAAACGTACAATTCTGAACAAATAAAGAAAAAAGTCGTGCCCCAATAAAGTACGCGACCCATCATCCTGCCCCTGCCCCCTCAAAAAAAACCATTACGACCACGCTACGCCATTCGGTCTACCCTCCCCGCAGTATTCCCTTGGTACGGTACGAGTAAACAGCGGGGGCTAGGATACGTCGCCGCCCCCAGAAATAAAAAAAAACACACAAAGAAAATGCAATAAATTATCAATAATTCATTGCATTTGGCCCCGACCCCTAACATAACAAAATTCTCTATGTGGGCATGCCTTGAACCATAATGCATGGTCCTACAGAGTTCCTATTAACTAACATCTACATTATTATAAGAGCAGTTTCATTATCAAATCGAATAAACACTTACATACAGATAATGTTATATATGTTTTGTTCTTATACACATCATATTTATACCTAATATGGATCAGGGGCGTCGCTAGACCTTTTTCAGTGGGGGGGGGGGGGGGGTGTAGAGGCCAACGATTACCGACAAAACTAGCCACCAATTACCGACAAAATTAAATTTCCAATATCTACAAATTTAACCCTATAAACCGGGGCCGAAGGCTAAATTGTTTTTCCTATGGACTATCTATTGTACTTGCATATGCCCAACAACCCCCTTCTCTATTACTCCCACTCCTCCTCTCTCAGGCTCTTACCTCCCCTCTTTCTCCTCTCTTTCATCCCCCGTTTGTTTTCTTTCCCTTTTACTCTTTTTTCTTCTTTTTTTTCCTTTTCTTTCTTTTCTTTTCTTTCCTCTCCTCCCTCTTTTTCTCTTTTCTCTTTCTTTCTTCTCTTTTCTTTCCTTTCTTTTTCTTTCTTTCCTTTCTTTTCCTTTCTTTCTTTTCTTTTCTTTTCTTTTTTTCCCTTTTCTTTCCCTTTCCCTCTGTTTTTCCCCTCCCCCTTTTCTCTTTTTTCCCGACGGCAGCGCAATTTCCCGACAATATCCTGACAGCTAGGTGGGGGGGGGGGGGGTGTCGCACCCCCACACCCCCCCCCCCCTTGGAGACGGCCCTGATGGTGATTCGTTATACCCTAACTTTAAATTAGACCTTCATTGTACCTAGGCAATCTCATCTAAACGCGCTAATCTATTATCCTCTCAGATTTAGAAATAATAATACTAACATAGAAATATGTTGTATTCCTCCAGCACACAACACATACATAATCTCAGGTGTAAATATCGTTTTAGGAAAACGAACTTATCAATCAATACTGCAATCTGCATGTGATTCACCTATAATTATTGCACTATTATTATGCTTCGACTACCCATATGACATATAACATAGAAATATAAAGGAATAATCATAAACTATATACAAGACAAGAAATATAGACTAAAGAATATTAAATTGATTGTCTCTAAGAAATGTGATAACTTCCACTTATGCAATATACAGCAATACATGTTGTATTATAAGCCAATCAACATCCAAACATCAACCCTTAGATATAATTAGGCCTATGGGATAAATATGAGCAGGTTTATTCGATTGAAAACTACCAAATAATAATGGTCAGACAATCCCTTGTGCCAAGCAAATGCAAACTCTTCACAGTGTTTCCAACTTCTAATCTGATAAGCAAACATGCCTCCTATCACTAATCCCCCTGTCCTAGCCCAATGGAGAGTGTTGCTCAACAACACAACATTAACGAGAATATTGGGGGAGAAAGGGAGAGAAAGAGACAGTGTGTGGGTTCCCCTACCACGAGTGAGGTTGACCTGACCCAAGAGAGATAAAGGAGAGATGGAAGAGGGGGAGAGATCTTGTTCCAACACTATGTATCTACACTGGATCATACACATTATCACAATGGCACTGTTGCATAGTATATCACCTAATTTGCAATTAAAGTAGGTTCTGAATGATAGACTGTAAATCTGGAAACTACCATTCATGATATTAGACTTACCTTTTCTTTATCAACCCTAGACTAGCTTTATAGTATTTAGAAACTCCAATACTAGGTGGAGGATAAACGTTAATCATATAGCAGTTCGGTACCTCGTTTATAATTTGACATACTATTCTTTGCATCAGAAGGTTCCAACCTCATTGGAAGTACTCTTACAATTTATACTTCTTTTCTGACATAGAAATCAAAGTCAATACTTTTAAGAACGGTAAGAGTACCACGTGCGTCGATCACCACGTGCAAGGCACATTTTTGCTTGTCTGCGCTGCATGCACTCACCGTACACACACATTAAACTCCATATTAAACAAGATATCTGATTGGTCAATCAATTCCAGACGCATGCGCAGTAAACAGCATCCGTCTGGAAAAAGGCACACGTGTGCTAATAAAGTAACAGGCGTGTGCTATCGCACCTTGCACGCGCCTGCTAAATAACAGGCGGTGATTGGTCAATTTAGCAGACGTGTGCCGCGTTCCATACGTCTGGGGCACGTGAATAAAGTCACCAACGGCTTTCCATAGAATCAAGCCGCTTTCCTTTGACCCTATTGCTCCAAGCCGCCGAAAGTTATTCCGGTAATTTAACACTTTGTAATAAATGTGAAGCTGGTGCCTGGCCTCTGATATTCCCCGCAGTGGAAGCGCGGCTCGGAGCAAGTGGACTGTTTATACATCCCATTGTTACCCTTTAGAACTCACGAATGCGTCTCAGCGTCTGAATAAATTACAAGAGTTTCGACTCATTTCTTTCACCTCCCTGCTTCAACTAAATTTCCCTAAGTTATTACCGTATTTTTGACGCCGTTATCATAATGTCTGCGATGATGCGATCGAGTTCAAAGGCAAAAGGTTTGAACCGGGATCCCGATCCCTGCTCACTGTGGGCAGTACCAGATATTCAACAGGAACTGAAATCCAAAGATGATAAGTAGAAGTAGTAGTATTTATTTCTGTATAAAAACATAGTGAAAATGCATAAAAATACGGTGGATAGCCCACATTCAGCTAACCCGACATGGGAAAGCTGGTCTTCCGAGAAATGAACCAATATTCGCTAGACTGGCAATTCAACTTGCCCTTCATAATAATGCACTGGCGCATATTACATGAGCCAGGGAGGGACCAAAGTGCGTCAAAATATCATTTTGGTTGTTTTTTGTTCGTCTTCTTGTCCAGTTGAAAGATAATACATTGAAGAATACATAAGAGAAATATCTACTTCCGGTATCATTGCACAATAATGGTATAAATTTACTCCTTCAAACAGCAAAATCCTACATATTCACAGTTTTAGTGCAAAAGTGACTCATTTTAAAAATCTTTCAATTTGTGGAGCCCCACAGAATACCCCCCCCCTATTTTTTTGTATATCTTTGACTATGTATGTATGACACAGGTATATTTCTAGCCCCCATATAGTCCCTCCTCTTAGTTAATTAGGTACCCCCTCCTGCGAGAGTGGCCTCACCCACAACTAACCTAAACACACCAGCTGGGATACCAGGAGTGGCTTCTCACTTTGTTTTGCCATGCATCCTAGTCAACACTTTTCTTATTTTGTCTTCCTTTAATAGGTAAGAAAGAATCTTTTATTATTCAATTGTGTTATATTCTTGTTCTCCATAATATGTGTATTTCTAAACTATTATAGCTTCACTATTCATATATCTTGTATTACTGTATAAAAAGAGATATTAATGGTCTTTGGCTAGGAGATGTTAGATTATATGACATGTGGACTATGAGAGGAAATATAAGAAATGCCATGTGGGAAGAGATGCCATGTGGGGAGAGAAAATGTCATTGATGAACATAGTAATCACTTGTAGAAATGATAGGAAAGTATTACCGTGTGTGTGAGATTGATGATTATGTTGTTTGACTTAGACAACATTTTAAGTAAGTTTTGAGAAGAGAATATACTTTATTACTGTCAGTTTATTTGTCTTTTGCTCGATATTCATGTGTAGATCTATATATATATTCTTAGCCAAGGACATGTGCCATTTACTATGCATTATGCCAAAGCACATTGTTATATATTCTAGTTCGAGTTAGATACAGTTTGAATAGCGAAACGAGTTGTTCAAGTCCAGATTATCTTTAACTTTCAGTATTATGGTATGAGTGAGTGTGGACGCACCATGTGTACAATACTAGTGTGTTATTAGGATATGGCAGTGCGTTCAATGTGAACACAACTTCTTATCAGAGTTCTTAATCCCCTCTCCCCCCAAGCTTGACCATCCACTGCAATGCATTACACGCACACAGTGTAGATAGAGTATAAGTATGTTGAGAAGTGTTAGAGATAGAATGTGTTTGTTTTTGACCCATGCTGGAAATGGTATCTTAGGCGGGAATGAAAGTTTGGTAGAGTCAGCAAAATGAGAAGACAAAGGATTTGAGTTGGGGAATACACTTGTTGAGAAACACATGGTCAAACCATGGAGATAAAAGTTATCTCCATGGTCAAACTGTCTAGTAGTTAGCTAGTGATGGATGGGTTGATGAAATATTGTAGTTGAAGACTTGCATAATCACTGTCTGGAATTCATTGTATTATATTGTTAGGAATGATAATTCAGGTTAAATGTTATTGGGAATTACTCTCTCTCTCTCTCTCTCTCTCTATATATATATATATATATATCTCCCTCTCTCTCTTCCCCCCCCCCCCCTCTCTCTTTATATTCTCTCCCTCTCTTTCTCTCTTTCTCTCTCTCTCTCTCTCTCTGTATGGTTCACCCTTTCTCTTTCACTCTCACTTTGTTTTGCCATGCATCCTAGTCAACACTTTTCTTATTTTGTCTTCCTTTAATAGGTATGCTCCCTCCCTCGGGGTGTGGGCGCTACAAATTTGGCGACCTTGCCAGGACGGCCATCGTCGAAGAGACACGAGGACGATGTGCTGTCCTATGACACGAACAGTTGGATCAATCGAAAGAGAAGAGCAGCGAGCAAACGATACAGGACCAGAAGACAGAGTGACGGAGAGAACCTGATTTGACAATGACATTGGCTCAGCATCACAGAAAATGGGACGAGCTACAGAGAAGAGAAAAGGCTACCGTGCAGTACGCAGCAGGGTGCTACAGCAAGGGGATAGGGCCCTGGTGCGAAGTCTGGCCCCTCCAGGTGGCCAAGGAAAGCTTCACCCTTACTGGGAGGAAATAGATGGCGGAGCAGTGAGTGGAGTCAAGGATGTCCAGGGGTTCTCCAAGCCGCCATCCTCAACAGCCCAGCCTCCAGCACCTTTCTAGTACCGGTATGACCCACCATTCTACCCTCATCAAATGCCTCTACAGATGCAGACGCCGATAGCCCACGAGCAACTAACCCTCTACCAACGTCAGATGACAGAAGACCAGCTGAAATTTTCCTAGCGAGCGAGTCAATCATTGAGGAATGCCTCAAACAGATTCTTTTTTTTTTACAGTAGATGCATCGATGTATAGAATCATGTGCTAGCTGTTTAGTAAACCAGAAATACGAGTAATGAGAAGTAGTAAGATGAAACAAGTTGTAAATCGTTTCATGAATTGTGGTGTAATATAAGGAAACAAGCGATGACACTCGATAGTGATCAATTGATCTTTGTGATAAAGTCTTCGGAATGAGTCTCGAGCTTTCCAAGAAACCTTCACCGTATGTCAGGCGCGCCCGTAGAATGGGTTAATGTTTCGCAAAGTTTATTTGTATGGAAGAAAAAGCCACGTAATTCTGATATGATATTATGATATGTAATTCTGAGGTTCCAAGTACCTATTAGGTTTCGCTATAACAAGTTGCAACAAGTGTATATGAACTCGATGTACTACATGTATTTCGCAGAGGAATTGGAGCTCGATGATCTGGGATTGTGAACGTAGCAAGGATATGGACTATAAATAATCATGAACTTTGGTGATAAGTCTCACCTCCCTGATCTGTCCTAAGTTCATGACGACATTGAACAAGAACTATATGAACGTTAGAATTGTTATACTATAATGATGAATTGATGTAAATGTTTGAAAGTTGAAATGTCCAGGAGACATTTATTTTTGGAGGGGAAGGTGTGGAGCCCCACAGAATACCCCCCCCCCCTATTTTTTTGTATATCTGTGACTATGTATGTATGACACAAGTATATTTCTAGCCCCCATATAGTCCCTCCTCTTAGTTAATTAGGTACCCCCTCCTGCGAGAGTGGCCTCACCCACAACTAACCTAAACACACCAGCTGGGATACCAGGAGTGGCTTCTCACTTTGTTTTGCCATGCATCCTAGTCAACACCTTTCTTATTTTGTCTTCCTTTAATAGGTAAGAAAGAATCTTATATTATTCAATTGTGTTATATTCTTGTTGTTCATAATAATGTGTATTTCTAAACTATTAGCTTCACTATTCACATATCTTGTATTACTGTGTAAAAAGATATATTAATGATCTTTGCCAATGACTTGTTGGATTATATGACATGTGGACTATGAGAGGAAATATAAGAAATGCCATGTGGGAAGAGATGCCATGTGGGGAGAGATAATGTCATTGATGAACATAGTAATCACTTGTAGAAATGATAGGAAAGTATTATCGTGTGTGTGAGATTGATGATTATGTTGTTTGATTTAGACAACATTTTAAGTAAGTTTTGAGAAGAGAATATACTTTATTACTGTCAGTATATTTGTCTTTTGCTCGATATTCATGTGTATATATATATTCTTAGCCAAGGACATGTGCCATTTACTATGCATTATGCCAAAGCACATTGTTATATATTATAGTTTGGTTAGATACAGTTTAATAGCGAAATGAGTTGTTCAAGTCCAGATTATCTTTAACTTACAGTATTATGGTATGAGTGAGTGTGGACGCACCATGTGTATAATATTAGTGTGTTATTAGGTTATGGCAGTGCGTGCAATGTGAACACAACTTCTTATCAGAGTTCTTAATCCCCTCTCCCCCAAGCTTGACCATTCACTGCAATGCATTACACGCACACAGTGTAGATAAAGTATATGCTATACCCAAATGCTATGTTGAGAAGTGTTGGAGATAGAATATGTTTGCTTTTTGACCCATGCTGGAAAATGGTATCTTAGGCGGGAATGAAAGTTTGGTAGAGTCAGCAAAATGAGAAGACAAAGGATTTGAGTTGGGGAATACACTTGTTGAGAAACACATGGTCAAATTGTCTAATAGTTAGCTAGTGATGGATGGGTTGATGAAATATTGTAGTTAAAGACTTGCATAATCACTGTCTGGAATTCATTGTATTATATTGTTAGGAATGATAATTCAGGTTAAATGTTATTGGGAATTACTCTCTCTCTCTCTCTCTCTCTATATATATATATATCTCCCTCTCTCTCTCTCCCCCTCTCTCTTTATATTCTCTCCCTCTCTTTCTCTCTTTCTTTCTCTTTCTCTCTCTCTCTCTCTTTCTCTGTATGGTTCACCCTTTCTCTTTCACTCTCACTTTGCTTTGTATATAACCATGAAATGAATATACATGTATTTAGTAAAACTATTGGTTGCTGTTTAGAATTAGAATATGAACTGTATGTGAAGATGAGATTATACAGTAAGAGGAATTCGTAATATTGGTTGTAAGTTTGTTAGAGCTATTAGTACAGACTGCAGACTAAGACTATTTGCCAGTTCTGTGAATATTATAAGGAGTTTAGGATATAAGTTGTTGAAGATGTATCTTTTCAAGTTTAGTAATCTCGCTGAAAAGGGCAGTATTAGATCAAAGTGATCCAGGTGCCTATTGGAAAATACATGAGCTAGTTAAGGAAGAGTTATGAGTTTATTCAGTATTAATGTGAATACCTATACAAGAAAGTGACTTGTGAATTTAGGGATTAGAGAAGACTGAGAGTAGAATTGCATTCTAAGGGTCTATGTGCACAGTGGATCCTCAGTCTTGGAGCGTAAAGAGTAGAAAGCTTATTAGGCAGTATTATAGGGATGATTATGCCAACATTCTTGTATTAGGTCTATATATGTGATTTCTTGAAAGAGACGCTACGTGAAGAGTTATATGATTAGAAGCTAAAGTAGATTGACTGATACCGCAATGTTATAGACATTTGATAAGGGTTAAGTTATTTATTAGTAGCCAAGTTATGATTATGAGATCGATGAAGAGTTGCACTTTTACATAAAGCATGGAATTAAGGATAGTTTCGTTTAGAGATAGTAATGTAATGAAACTTTCCCAGATGATGTTCCTAGTGATATAGTAAGAGAACACGGAGAGCTAATGAATTCAATGTATGCGAACAGGTAGATTTATTTGTGTTTAATACTTGAAGAGTATTATGCCATTTGATCGTATTGTTATTGTAAGAAAAGACTGTAATTGTAGAAGATTAAGTAATAAATGACTTTGTTTTGCCATGCATCCTAGTCAACACCTTTCTTATTTTGTCTTCCTTTAATAGGTATGCCCCCTCCCTCGGGGTGTGGGCGCTACAAATTTAACATGAAATTTTTAAGTTATTAATATGAAATTGCTCTCACATATTCCTGATAGTTCATTTCAATGCATGAATGGGTTAAAAATGGATATAAACACAACCTTCATAATAAATTATAGGGTAATTCACTAAAAAATGGGCTAATTATATCCATGTTTTTTATTAATCCAGAGGAAATGTTTAGATTTCCAGGAATATCCACTTTCATTTTAGAAATACCATTTTCTCTGATGTCTAATTACAGATTTAGCTGCCATCTTTTGCCTATTATTATATTAGAGCCGATTTTCCTTGCCACATTGCCCTGAAAAATGTCACTTATTTTGGTCCGCAGTGTCAGAGAGATTTGTCATGCGCCCCCATGTAGAAATGTCCAATACCTTTATAATGAACCTTAAGTGATGCATTGATCTGGGCAATTCCACGGTAACGGAAGGACACTCAGACAAGATTTTTTTACACTTTTTGCAGCACTTCCTTTTTTCTTTTTTCTCATGAGGGGTAATAAACTACTCTGTCAGAACTGTTCTAAATTACAATCACTCAAAGACGATGCATTTTGTATTACTTGCAACTCTGAAAATTTTCCTTTCAATCATCACCTAGACAACGATGTGTTTTTGTTATCTATTTTTACTTTCTTTCACTTAGACAAATGTATCGATGAGGACAAATACCACTCTCTGTCCGTAAATCCTCTTAGTCTAAATGAACTTAATAATGAGCTGAGTTCTACAAAAATATTACAACCTAACAATGTAACCAATGATTCCTGCAAGTATATGTTTTCTGATGATTTTGTACAAAAATATAAATCTACTCCAGATAATTTTTCTATATTACATGTTAATTCAAGGAGTCTTGTCCGTAATTACGACGATCTACAACTTCTTCTTAGTTCATTAGATTACAAATTCACAGTTATTGGAATTTCTGAAACATGGTTTCGAAACAACATTTCAGTTAATATGTTTAATATTGACGGATATTCACTTGTTCATATTGATAGACTTAACAAACATGGGGGAGGAGTAGCTTTATATATAAGAGATGATATTGATTATAACCTGTGTCCTAATTTATCAGTTAGTCGTAATCATTGTGATACTGTCTTTATTGAAATGCATCAAGAGAAAAAGAAACCTATAATAGTTGGCTGTGTTTACAGAGTACCTAATACTGATGTTAATGATTTCAACGAAACACTCACGAGTCTGTTGGTCGAAATAAATCCCCTAAATAAAGATGCTTATATATTAGGCGATTTCAATATAAATTTACTTAATCAAGATACTGATCACAGAACTAATGAATTTCTAAATATAATGTTTACATATGGGCTATTCCCTACTATAAGTAAACCAACTCGTGTAACTAGACATTCTGCTACCGTGATTGATAACATATCTACAAACTGTATTCACATGCATTTAAACTGTGGTATCATTTATTCAGATCTTTCGGATCATTTTCCAATATTTTGTATAAGTGACAATATATCTGTCCCTATTCATTCATTCTGTGGCAAATCAAGAGTAATCACCAAAGAAAAGATTTTGTTATTTAAGAATAAGCTACGATTGATTGACTGGTCTGTAATTTATGGTAGAACAGATGTCACTGTGTCATATGATCTATTTATTCATAAGCTTAGCTCCCTTTATTTTGAATGTTTTCCCCTTACAAAGGTAAAACTTAAAAAACACGATAAACCTTGGATCACCCGTGGTATTTTAAAATCTATTCAGAGAAAGCAAAAGTTATATTGTCGTTATATGAAGAAAGGTGACACCCGTACGCGAAAAAAATACGTTGAATATAAGAACATATTCACAAGTATCATTCGCCGAAGCAAAAAGATTTATTATGAAAACCTATTTAAACAATTGAGAGGTGATATGAAAAAAACCTGGTCTCAAATAAACAATTTATTAGGTAAAAAATACAAAACATTACCTTCTCACATGTATTACAATCAGGATAAGATACTTAGTAAAGCATCTATTGTTGAAGCATTTAATAGGTATTTTGTTAATATTGGAAAGATTACACAAGAAAAGATACCAACTTCTTCCTCTCACTTTCTGGATTATTTATCAAACCATGTACCAAGTTCACTGTTCTTTAATCCGACTTCCAATACTGAAATAATCAATGTTCTCTCATCCATGAAAACATCTGCTGCACCAGGTTCGGACTCTATTGCTGCACGTGTCATTAAGGAATGCATTCATACAATTGTTGATCCTCTTTGTTATATATTCAATGAATCAATGTCACAAGGTATTGTCCCTGATAATCTCAAGACCGCTAAGGCAATTCCAATATATAAAAAGGTGACAAACATGACATTGTTAATTACAGACCAATTGCTCTATTACCTTTTTTTTCAAAAATGTTAGAAAGGATAATCTACAACAGGCTGTATAAATTTTTTGCACTAAACAATATTTTGATACCCCAACAATTTGGATTTCGAAAGAATTTTTCTACTGATCTTGGCGTACTGAACTTGGTTAATACTATATCACATGAAATAGATGTTGGTAATTATTGTCTTAGTGTATTTATGGACCTGTCAAAAGCATTTGACACCATTGATCACCACATCTTGTTAAAAAAATTAGAATTTTATGGAATTAGAGGGGTTCCACTTCAGTGGTTCGTCAGTTACTTGTTACATAGAAATCAATATGTGGTGATCGATGGTGTCAAATCTCAACATATGGATGTATCCTGTGGAATTCCTCAGGGATCTGTGTTAGGGCCCCTCCTTTTTCTCGTCTACATTAATGATATAGTTAAATGTTCTTCAATTCTAAACTTCTCTTTGTTTGCTGATGATACCACTGTTTCATTATCACATAAAAAAAATGACAATCTTATATCATCAGCAAACAATGAACTAGACAAATTAAATAAATGGTATGCTTGCAATAAATTGTTTTTAAATTTTGACAAAACTAGGTATATTATTTTTCGTGCGAGAGGAAGGAGGGTTCCGTCAAATCTGTCAAACCTCATTATTGGTGGAAATGTCATAGAAAAGGTCGATAATATGCAGTTTTTAGGTGTAATTTTGAATGAATATCTTTCTTGGAAACCACATCTTAGCTCAATTTCTACAAAAATATCAAGATCTATTGGTGTTCTTTCTAAATTAAGACTTTTTGTGCCCCAGTCTATTCTGACGACTCTTTACAATAGCATTATACTCCCTCATTTCAATTACTGTAATACTGTCTGGGGTCACACCTTTAAAACCCATTTAGATAAATTATGCATTTTACAAAAGAAAGCAATACGAATTATCTTTAATGCTCCCTTCAATAGTCATACAAAACCTTTATTTTCACAATCAAATATATTACCGTTAAAGGACTTGATAACCTTGAATTCCCTTGTGTTTATGTATAAATTTCATTCGAAAATCTTGCCTCCTCTCCTTAGCGATATCTTTGTTTTGAATTCCTCAATTCATTCTTACCAAACTCGCCAAATTAATTTAATACACTTACCTCAGGTTCGTTCTTCCGTCGCCTCAAATTAATTTATAATTCATTTTCCTAAGTTATGGAACAAACTCCCCAACAATATCAAAAACAGCTCAACTCTTTCCAGATTTAAAAAGCTGAGCAGGGAAATCTTACCTTCTTTATAAAATATTCTTGATATTCTTGTTCGCTTTCATTTGTACTGCCCTCTTATACATGTAGATACAGTTTTTTGTTGCTGCTGCAGAAGTGTACTTCTCTTCTTTTTTTTTCTTGTTTATATTAATGTTCGATGTTGATATTTTTTAGTATAATTAATGTTGATCTTTTTATGTATTGGTGGCCCCTTTTTATAAGCTCTGCTTTCTCCGGGGTCACCAAACCATCATTGCATTATTCTAAATCTTGATGTAACTTATTTTGATTGTATATATATATTGATGGTTGAACAATAAATGAAATTGAAATTGAAAAATTGAAAACTTCAGGTTCATACTAAAAGAACTGTTTTATTAGTATAAGATGTGAAACAGTACAGATATAATACCTATATAAGTGCCTTTAATTCTCCCCAAAAAAATTGTCATTATAGTTAAGTAGTTTAAAGTGTGCATATTAATTATCTCGGTAACGGAAGGACATAAAAATGGACATGGTTTTTCCAGTTAATTAGTGTTTATCCAAACTTTGTGAAGTTGATGAAGCTTTCCACTTGACTGAAACACATTTTGTTCCCCATAGTTTAATACATACTAATAAAACATTTCTTTTAGTATGAACCTGAAGTTCAAAAATCTTGTCTGAGTGTCCTTCCGTTACCGTGGAATTGCCCATCTGTTATCTAAAAAAAATTACAAGATCAATAAATTAATATATTAATGATAAGAAAGTCAAGCACAACAATGAATAATGCAACAAGAAACTGGCCTTTGTTGATCCATGTCATACATTTTCATCTGTTTATTAATGTACATAAATCATACCAATCCATAATATGCTTTTTTGTATTATTTACTGATTTACAAGTGCTTTATTACAAGTTCTATGATACAATTCTGAAGACTATGTTATATTCATGTTCTTTCTTACTTCAATAAACTTACCACAGAACACATAATTCATTAAAAGGATTACATTACTTGCAAGCATGCCATTGAGACTTAACCAAAGCAATTTTACACCTGACTTAGGCCAAGAGAATCCTGGAGTTAGTGACATAGGCAAACCAGTTCACTTAATTTATTCCCATTACAAGGAAATTAACACATTTCCATTTAAAACGAGTTCTCCCATGTTTCTCAGTAGTTTTCGTTGATGCCAAAGTCACACTTCTTGATTATGCCAAACAGTAAAACGGTCTAAGTCACACGCCTGACTTAGGCCATTAGCATGAATATGCTCAATTCAGCACATAATAGACTATGTCAATAAATTAACAAAGGTGGATAGCCTCATGAAGAGATGACTTGTAAAAAAAATATTTAAGCTTCAAAATGTGATTTAAGCCATTATTTTAAGAAGGGGTATAGAAATGAATAGAAAATTCAATACATGTATGACCTTAAGATTAGCAACATTTTATAAAATTTATCATTGTTCATTTCATCATTTCAAATTGTGTCCATAGGCTCTCTCCTCTCCCGCTCACTCACTCCCTCACTCAATCCCCCATCTCTCCCCCTCTCTCTCTCTCCCCTCTCTCTCTCTCTCTCTCTTTCTCTCTTTCTCTCTCATTCACTAACTCACTCGCCCTTTTTCTTCTTTTACACAAACACACACTCTCTCGATTATTCGGCCTAATCGCTTTGGGTCACTTTACCATATCTATTCCTTTTTTCTCTCTCTCTCTATCTCTTTCTAAATTTCACCCACCCATGTATGTATTATATTTCTTTCTCTTTTCCCTTTCTCTATCTGTCTCTCTCTCACCCACTCCCTTACTCAATCTTTATCCCTCTCTCTCACACACACACACGCACACACACACACACTCTGTATGTCCCTCTCACTTACTCCCTCACTCAATCTCCCCTTCTCTCTCACTCTCTCTCTCTCTCTCTCTCACATATTCTTTTTCAAAACTGAAATACAAATGAAAGACCCTAGGTGCAACCAAAGAAAACCCGTCACAAATACAAATTAATATGATAATATATGTATGTGACCATGCTGTGCAGTGCATTGTTACATTTCTTTCATGTTCTCTGCATTTTCTAACGCTGTGTGTTATTACATCCTTGTTTGCTCTACCTCTACACACTCCAGCAAAGCATAGAAAGTCAATGCCAAGGCGTATTGACCTCTAGCACTGCATACATGCAGTGAGGCAGGGACCTAGAAGTCTATACACAAATACACACACCACACAATATCGCATAGACTGTACACAATCATGTCGATGCAGCTGTAAGCAAAGTTTGATACTAGACTTACAATTTGAATTTTTAAATTATTCTTTTTAACATCAATAAGTTGAAAAAAATGTATTTCACTGCTATTTAGGTGTCATCAATTGTCACTAAAGTACCGATTTTGAGTGAAATCAGTTGAGTTTTGTACAGTGGTGTTTGAAATGTTGAGAATCAAAAGCACAGCTTTTACTACACAGCCAGGATAGTGATGCTCCTATGTGTGCCTCTACATGCACGTCGGTCTGTTTGAAACGGGGAGTCGACCTTTAAAAAATATCCCACTTTTTCAACTCAAGCAGGTTTTATCGGATTTGGCAAATTAGGTGATTTTAATGCAATCAGAGCCGGACAGTTTAAAATTCATTCCTCAATAATTATTACGTCGAAACAATCCGCCGTGCATCTGAACGACGCCAATGATCTGCATTGAAAGGCTTACTCCTTGAGTATTATACACATAACGCAAGTAGTTCATGCCGTTACATTATGTAGTGGACAAAATCGTTTTTATTATGACTTTCAAAACTTGTATTATAATTCATGTAACCATGTCATAAGATAGAGGGAAATTAACTATCGTTCTCCAGTATTTTATAAATAATTTCATTCCTGTAAAACATGTCTTTATTCATTATAATACGTTTTTTAATCATTAATTGTACGAAAACGACATTCATGACAATAGAGGTGAACAAATTTAACCAATCAGCGAAAGCCCTGTTGGGCGTTTCCTCAGATTAGCGTCATTTTTGCCATGCATAGCACCATCCGCCATTTTACTTTCAGCCGATCAACACGTTGCTCGCTTGTTACATAGGGAATTGAGTGTTTTCACTTTTGCCCTTTTCGACATTTCTTTGTAGACTTGGTCTACTGACATCTTTAGTCCATCGAAAGAGTATTTTACCAGCATTTCATTCGTATATTTTGGTGACAATCTATTTTCGAACTGAGTTTGCATCGCAGACATCAAGCGATCTCCGCCACCGTCGAAGACGAACTTCGATTCCCTCTCCGAATTTCTGAGGTAAATCTTTTCGTATTTAATCTCCTTTAATCTTAGGTATTAATACCACACGTCATATTGCCGACTAACGTACTTTATTACTTTACTTATAAATAGTTAAATGAAGGCAAGATTTTTGTGACTGATTTCATTACTGCATCTGTATATGCTGCCTTAATATAAGGCCTAATTTTTTTGTACTGGTACACACCCCGGTGGGGTCACTCCCCTGCAAAGAGTGACACGTATGACCGTTACCACCAATGCATATAACCCCCTTTTGCGGTCAATTTCAAGGACATTTTGTGAAATTTAACCCCCTTTTTTACATCAAAACAAGGACAAAATCGTACTTTGGAATACCCCTATTTATAAGATTGTAAGGACACTTTCGCAAATTTACCCCTATTTTACCATATTTCAAGGACAAGACTCGGCTCCGAGAATTTTTCTTCCCGGTTTTCTCTTTTTCCTTCCCGGTTTTCTCTTTTCCCTTTTCCTGACCCCTATTTATCAATTTCGGGGACACCTGTGCACCCCTATTTTCTTTATTTCGAGGAATATTTTGTCCGCGGACATTGCTTGAAATTGACCCCTTTTTCCGCGATTTTGGTAACGGTCATGCGGTCCGGAAGTCACATTGAGTGACCCCACCGGGGTACACACCGCCTCATATATTTGGCATTGATGCACGTCGCCCCATTAAAGGGGCTAAACTTTGTTAAGTCATTTTAGGTTCGAAACCAGGACCATATAGTTCTTGTACCTCGGGGCAGTCTGCCTTAAGACAAGTAGACCACCATTTAAGGTTGTCATTATTGATTGTATATATTTATACAATATATTTAAATATGCAATTGATGATACCATTTAAATACCACAAAGTTTTCCTCGTCTGATTTCGCAATTTTTTTCAATTTCAATTTATTATTTCATAAAAAATCACATACAATATAATTATATACATTGAGAATTGTGCTGGATCATTTACACCCGATAAAGCCGATGGCTTGAGAGAAGAGGGTAGACCCATAACATAAATGACAAATGTGGAAAATACAAAACATTAAAATTCACAATAAAACAAAATGCAAGACGTATACAGGACATACAAACTAAAACACAATAATAATACAGAACGATATAATTTATATGGTAATTGTATGTATCATAGGTGGTAAGAAGACGCAACTTAAATTTGGACTTGAAAGAACTAAGAGTGGTTACATGTTTGATTGAGTTGTCAATATTATTCCATAATTTCCCCCCTTTTTGTTGAATAGAATTTACCTTTCGTAACTTTAAACGGGCATATGGCAAGAAAATTTTATTTTTTTGTCTTGTGTTAACATTATGTTTCTTGTCAACTGTAACAAAGTAATTATCAAACACGGATAGTAACAAAACATTCGAATAACGGTACACAAAGACTCCTGTTTTAATTGTTATATTATCAGAGAAATTTAGTACATTCAGTTTCTTAAACAACGGCGGGGTATGGGCAAGATAATGGGAGTTTGAGCATAGACGAATGGCTTTCTTTTGTAAAGTATATAGCCTGTTTAAATGACACGAGCTGGACCCTCCCCATACAAGACTACAATAATCGAAATAAGGCAGGACAATAGCATTGTATAAAGTGAAAAGGGTTTTGAGCGGTAGAAAATAACTGAGCTTACTCAACATACCTACATGTATAGACATGCTAATCTTTCCACGAATGAAGTTGATGTGATTAACCCAAGTTAGCTTATCATCTATCTGTACTCCTAGGAAATTGATACTGCTTGCTCTTTGTATTTCAAGGTTATCTAATTTTATCGAAAAATCAAATTGAAGTTGTTGGCGCTTATTTGAACAAAAAAACATATATTTAGTTTGTCAGTATTGAGAAATAATTTGTTAGCTTTGAACCAGCAAGAGATCTTGTTTAATTCGACATTTGCATAATTATGAAGAGTATTTTTATCAGCATTTGAAATAAATATGTTGGTATCGTCTGCATATAAAACAAAATGTAATAATTCAGATGTATTAATTATATCATTCATATATATATATATATATCAGAAATAACAAAGGACCAATTATACTCCCTTGTGGAATTCCACATACCACAGGCATTGTCTCAGAACTTAAACCTTTAAAGCTAACAAATTGTTTTCTATTGCTGAGATAATTAAGAAACCAGTCATGTGGTATACCACGTATGCCATAATTTTTCAATTTTTGTAACATTATGTTATGATTTAAGGTATCGAATGCCTTACTTAAATCAATATATATATCCCTAAAGTATATTCTTTTTTATCTAAACATGAGGTTATATGCTCTAAGGCGTGTAAAAGTGCAATTTCCGTGGAGTGGTTGGGTCTAAATCCAAAACTGGTATTTTGTTAGAATGCTATTTCTAGACAGATGGCTATAGAGTCTTTTAAATGTAATACGTTCGAGGATTTTTGAAAGAGTTGGAAGTAGAGATTTAAATTGATTGAGAAAGTGTTTGAGTGTTTTTTTGATCGATTGATTCCGTGATTGATTGTCGGAAAGTTGTTTTCTTTTCTTTTTTTTAATAATTTTTTTCCCCTTCCACAGGGTTCTTTATTTTCAAAACAAATTTCATCATATACAGAACATCCATAATATATCATATACAAATAATTAAAGAAATAATTTCCATACATAATGGCTTGACACAGATAATAATCACGGCCAAAAACTTTTGTGGCAGATAAAAACAAACATTTATGACAAAATTAGTACTTTAAATATATAATTTTAAAAAAATACCAAAAATAAAATACATGATCATGTTTATGTTAGCACATTTCCAACACTCTCAAAATATTTTCTAAAGTGAAACCATTTCTTTTTCAGTTTATTCTCTCTGAGATTTGTTTGGTATATATATTTTTCCATTTCATAATAACGTTTTACAGCTGATAAAATTATATCAAATGATGGTAGTTGATTTCGTAATTTAGCTGAAAATATTTCTTGTCTTACAACCATCAGAACACAGTTGAGTGCATTATTATTGCTACCGCAAAATCCAAACAATTTATTTTGATTTGTAAATTTGATCCTTTCCCCCGTATTACGAAATATCCAGAACTCTAACTTCGACCATACTTCATTAGAATAGTTACAAAAGCAAAAAACATGTATGATAGTTTCATCATTGTTACTACAAAAAGTACACTTCTTGTCAGCCACTACACCAAATCTTAAGAAACTGTCCTTCATATATAATATTCTATTTAAAATCTTGATTTGAAACCACCTCATGTTGATATCTATTGTTGACTGAAATGGAATTTGACAGTACGAAGCCCAAAGTACATCTTGAAAATCTAAAAAACTTTTCCACTTTGCTTTACATTCTTTTACTTTGTTTTTTAGCAAAGTTGTTTTCTATGTGGTTCCACTAAGAGCGTTCCATAAGCAAATTTAACCCCCCAACACCATTGAACTCAACACATATTTTGAAAAAGGAGTCCAATGGCCCGAGAGACTGTTTTTATGGCCGGTTCACTTTAATATGCACCATATTTCCACGCTAAAAGGGCAAGGAGTATATCCCCTAACGACATTGGTAACCGGTCCCTCCTTTTTTGACCATTTAGTAAAGTGTTTTTTAGGCGGGTAGACCCTATATGGCAAAATATCTCGCAAAATGTAGAATCAAAATATGCACTAAGGCCATTAAAAAAATATATATACATGTTTAGCGTCCCCGCCCGCTTCCTTTTGGGGGCCGCCTTGAAAAATAGCCCGACTGTCAGGGAAAATGTACCGAGCGGCCATTTTGAAGAAGAAAAAAAGGGCCTCCTTCTTCCTAATTTCAAAAGAGCAGGAGGCTAAACATGTCTTTTTTATAATGGCCTTAGTGTTCCTTTGTGTGAAGATTCTATGTATATCGTTATGTCCCTTTTCAGAAATTTCTCAATTTTAGTAATATAATCGCGGTAGAGGTTTACGGTACACCATGTGTAAAGTCCTAGAAGGACTAAGGAAAGTGGATAGAAAAACATAGAAGTGAAATAGAAAGGCGAGAAAGTGGAGGTTGGAAGAAAGAGTATCTTTCGGAAGTTAGTATAGTCCTGAAAAGGACTGTAAACCAGAAAGTTGTAGATAGGATGAGAGGTTTGAGTAGAAGACTGGATTGAGTTGGAGTTTTCCTCCAGGGCGGAGCTCTCAGAAGCTCACTCGTCGGGGGGGGGGGGGGGGGGGGGGGGGGGGGAAGTGAGCACTATTTTTTTTTGTTTAGCCCTCGAAAATTTGAAAAATCGCACTCCCCCCCCCCCCCCCTTGAACGCCAGGGGGGGGGCTCTCTCCAAAAAAGGTAAAATTTACGTGTTTTTACACGTTTTTTCCCCAGGGCAGAGCTCTCAGAAGCTCAGGGGTTTTATACATCAAATTATCGTCGGGGGGGGGGGGGGGGGGGTAGTGAGCACTAATTTTTTTGTTTAGCCCTCGAAAATTTGAAAAATCGCACCCCCGCCCCCCCCCCCCCCCCCCCCATGAACGCCAGGGGGGGGCCTCTCTCCAAAAAAAAGGTAAAATTAACGTGTTTTTACACGTTTTCCTCCAGGGCAGAGCTCCCAATCTATCGTCGGGGGGGGGGGGGGGTAGTGAGCACTAATTTTTTTGTTTAGCCCCGGAAAATTGGAAAAATCGCACCCCCCCCCCCCTTGAATGCCAGGGGGCCTCTCTCCAAAAAAAGGTAAAATTTTTACACGTTTTTTTCCCAAAGGCGGACCCCTCAGAAGCTCAGAGATTTTATACATTGTCGTCGGATGAGCATATTTTTTTTACCTTATTTGTGATTGGGTCCAGGGGGCGAAGCCCCCAAAAGATCAGGAGTTTGGGGCAATAAATAACGGTCAGATGAGCATGATTTTATACCTTATTTGTGACACTGGCAGGTCACGAATTGGCGGGGGGTCTAGGGGGCGGAGCCCCTGGAAGCTCAGGGCTTCATACATTAAATTATCGTCAGATGAGCATATTCTATACCTTATTTGTGACACTGGCAGGTCATGAATTGGCGTGGGGTCCAGCCCCCGGAAGCTCAGTAGTTTTGGGCAATAAATAACGGTTAGATAGCATATTTTTATAATATCTATTTGTGACAGTGGCAGGACACAAATTGGTGTTGGGTCCAGGGGGCGGAGCCCCAAGAAGCTCAGGGATTGTATACATTAAATTATCGTCAGATGAGCATGATTTTACCTTTTTTGTGACACTGACAGGTCACGAGTTGGGGTGGGGTCCAGGTGGCGGAGCCCCCGGAATTTTATACATTAAATTATCGTCAGATGAGCATGATTTTATACCTTTTTTGTGACACTGGCCGGTCACGAGTTGGGGTGGGGTTCAGGGGGCGGAGCCCCCGGAAGCTCAGGGGTTTGGGGCAATAAATAACGGTCAGATGAGCATATTTTTATACCTTATTTGTGACACTGGCAGGACATGAAAAACGCTTTTTTTTCAAGGGTTTTGGGCTATAAATTACTGTCAGATGAGCATGATTTTATACCTTAAATGTGACACTGGCAGGTCACGAATTGGTGTGGGGTCCAGGTGGCGGAGCCCCGGAAGCTCAGGGGTTCATTCATTAATTTATCATCAGATGAGCATATTTTATACCTTATTTGTGACACTGGCAGGTCATGAATTGGTGCTCAGGGGTTTTGGACAATAAATAACGGCCAGATGAGCATATTTTGATACCTTTGATATCTTCCCCTTTTATTTCCTTTTTTTTCCTTCTTTTTTTCCCCTTCTTTTTTTCCTTCTTATTTTTTGCCAGGGGGCCCGGGCCCCCCTGGATCCGCCACTGACTACATGTACTACTACATGTACTACTACACGTGCTTCTACATGTACTACTACTACTACTACTCAGGGGCGTATCCAAAGGGGTGTGGGGGTGCGAGACCCTCCCCCCCCCCACCACCTGTCAGGATATTGTCGGAAAAATAGCACTGCCGTCGGGAAAAAAGAGAAAAGGGGGAGGGGGAAAAGAGAGGGAAAAGAAAGAAAAGAAAAAAAGACAAGGAAGAGAAAACAAAGAAAGGAAAGAAAGGAAAAGAACGGAAAGAAAGGAAAGGAAAGAGAAAGAAAAAGTGGGAAGAGAGGAAAGAAAAGAAAGAAAAGGAAGGGGAAAAAAGAGAAAAGGGAAACAAAAGAAATGGGGGGTGAAAGAGAGGAGAGGGAGGAGAGGTAAGAGCCTGAGAGAGGAGGAGTGGGAGTAAAAAAGAGAGAGGGGATTGTTAGGTGGTGTCGTTTCATCGAGGGAGCAAGAAAGACACTGGTAAATATGTTGCTGTGTCGGTATTCTTGCTCGATCCTCGTTTACTATATCAATGCAGAATTTTGAAGTCGGTAAGATAATGTATATTGTCTGTCGGCCGACAAGTTTTTTTCCCTACGAACTGTTACTTTTATTCGCTGTGACGACTTCGAGAGTGACTACAATTACAATACTTGTATTTTCTCGAAGTTTCACTTACCTATAATATCAGCTAAAGAAATCCGAGGTTTAAAATTTTCGGGCAAATTGAATTCAAACAAAGATTAAGAGTCAACAACAGTACAACGAACTGTTACTTTTATCCGCTGTGACGACTTCGAGAGTGACTACAATTACAATACTTGTATTTTCTCGAAGTTTCACTTACCTATAATATCAGCTAAAGAAATCCGAGGTTTAAAATTTTCGGGGAAATTGAATTCAAACAAAGATTAAGAGTCAACAACAGTACAACGAATCGTCTACTTTTTTCATAATTTAATGAAACATCAAAGCTTTCGCGCTTTGCGCGGGAGGGGGGGGGGACTTCATTCAGACAAGTATTAACAGTCGAGAACGGTAAAATAAATCGTCTTCTTTTCCTAATAATTTAAGGAAACGTCTAGCGCGGGAAACCTATCACCCACACCCCCCTAATGAGCGCGCTTCGCTTGCTCACTACCGCCCCTCCCTAAAATAAGATCCTAGCTCCGCGCCTGCATTAAAATATATAGCTATGATGCTGAATAAGTTGATGAAATAATTCGTATATTTATGTCGTCGAGGAAAATGACCATTTGCGCAAACGCAAGCACTATAGATAGTCCATATGAAAACAATTTAGCCTTCGGCCCCGGGTTTATAGGGTTAAATTTGTATATATTGGGACATTTAATTTTGTCGGTAATTGGTGGCTAGTTTTGTCGGTAATCGTTGGCCTCTACACCCCCCCCCCCCCCCTCCCCCCACTGAAAAAGGTCTAGCGACGCCCCTGCTACTATTACTACATGTACTACTACATGTACTGCATGTACATGTACTAAAGCGGGCTTACATTCCCAAATCACCACCCAATTACCACATAATGTATCTGCAGTATAATAACAAATACCGATCTTAAAACGTGATGGTTTAAAGTCCAGCTAGTGAAAGAAGATATTTGGGGCCAGTCACCACGAAATGAGTCCAGTGTCGCATTAGGCTCAATCGTAGTAATAGCGATGTATAGTGTGTATGTAATGAAAATTGACCCACCTACCACATTTAAGATTTTTCCAAAAATCGACTTATTAATGTCTTGTAGTTTATGTCCCCAGAGCTTAGGTCACGAAAATATCTCCTAACATTTTTTGGCAAATAATATAGGCTATGTTACGCATCATTAACTTTACACCTAATTATCTCAAAACTGGGTAATCCCATTGTTTATAAAGTCCAATTAGGTTTTTGTTCATATTTCTGGATATAATTTATCAATTTTAATGTGTGACCCCTTAATTTAAAGCTTACTTAATGTAGATTCATATAATACTTAAAAACAGAAATAAAAATTTTGACCAACTGGACTCATTTCGTGGTGGCAGGCCCCATTTTAAGGAGCTGATGGAGATGGAAAGGGGGAAATGAACGAAGAGAGTGGGAGGGGAGAGAGAGAGAGAGAGAGAGATAATAAATTGGAACTTGATTGTTTACAGATTTTGATCGATTTTGCTAGGTAGGATAACATAATCAAATCTCAATTTATTTATTTCTTATTATGTTACATCCCCCCGAAAGAAAAAAAATTCTCCAACAAATATTTCCAGTCAAAATGACGAATCCTTTTCGATTCTGTTTAAAACACATGATATGACACTCGCAGGCACAAACTGAGAAATATCAGCCCAAAGAGGGAAAAGAAAAAAAAAAGAGAAGATTTCCGACCGACCGACCCGTGTTTTGGCACCTAAAGGGCAATACAACATTTTTTTTTTTTAGGCCTAATATTTATTCATTTCTATGACGTCAAATTGAATGGTAGGTACCTGCGAGACTAGGGAACTAGTATTTCCAGATGAATGTCCTTCATAATTTTTCCATTTAGAAATGCCAATTATGAAGCAGAAATTCGGAGATATTCATATTCATGCTCACCTAGCTATATAATTAGGTATTTTTAAGCTCTTGGTTGCTGTGTTGTGCTGATGTATTCAGACTTAGGCTTTTCCTTGGAAAATATTGGTGTCCCTATTGAAAACCAAATGCTACTTTTTCTTATAAATTATAAATCTTCTTCATCAAAATTGTACGCTGCTAATAAGATCCTTCTATTTAGATGTCCCTGAGACTATTGGAAGACTTACTAACTTTAGTTACTGAAAGAAATAATTCCACGCATTCATTTTTATATCATTTCTTGGAGGAATTCTCTATTCCCTGGCTCCAAAGACATTACATTATACCTCTCTGTTCCTTTCCTGCAGTGTAGCAGAGACTGGCTTGAGGTATCCTCAACGAACGTCAAAGATGGATGTGACTGAGGCACAGATGGGGAGGCTGACTGAGAAGCAGAAGAACATTGTGGGGCTGCTAAGGGATGCCGGCATATCCATCGCTGATGTCCGTAATTTAATAACATCTACAGAGGAGCGTGTTGCTGCCCCTATTAAGCCGGCAGAGCAGAATGAGGAAGGAGGTGCTGACTGAGGAGCTGAAGGAGACTGCATACTTTAGAAGCAAGCACAACCTTCCTTGTGGAGATGCTATCAGCTTTAATACCTGCAGACTGCATAAATGTATTTTGTGCTCGGTGCAGTAGACCATTTATTTTATGTTATGTAATCAAACGGAATACATAGTCATAAGTGCCTGTTACAAATGATTTCATGTACCTGTTTAAGTCAGAATGCAAATTTCATACATTACCTGTTAGGTCAGACAAACCATGATATTTGTCTGACCTAGCAACAAATTATTTAGGCAATTTGCATTCTGACTATTGAGATACATAATAAGTGCATTTAAATAGTGCATTTAAAATATATTCTTTCTTTATCAAACAGTTTTAGCTAAATTAATTAATTATTTAGTTATCCCTTTATTACCCAACGTGTTTTACTCATTATTGTGAAATATGTGTGTTTTTGTAATGTCAGTTGTACATGCTTATTTTAAATGTAACAGGCAAATAATTACCAAAAGTATCAAACTTATACATATGTGCCAAAATATCTGTATCCTTATATCGTTAACTGAATAATACAAGGGATAATACTTCTCTGGGATATTTACAGTTTGAATCTAAATATATTTTACCTAATGAATTTGATGATTATGTTAATTCTTGTGACGGAAATGGTATGTTTTCTATCGCACATTTTAATTGTAGAAGTTTGAAGAGAAATTTCGAAAATATGAGTAATTTTTTGAAATGTTTTACACATACGTTTTCACTCATTGGATTAACAGAAACATGGTTAACCAATACAGAAACACCCCTTTTAGAATTGCCAAATTATATTTTTATTACAAACAACCGTCAAAACAAGTGTGGTGGAGGAGTAGGTATTTATCTTAACAATTATTTAAAATTTAAAAGACGAGAAGACTTAGAGATATTGAATGATTGTGTAGAAACGATTTGTGCTGAAATGTATTGTCATAATAAAAATGTTGTTATTATTGTAGTATATAGACCTCCAAGTAAACCATTATCAACATTTTTGGAAGGTGTTGAACTAATAATGCATACAATATTGAATGAGAAGAAAGAATGTTACTTTCTTGGTGATTTAAATTTTGACCTACTTTCTCCAAGTCCTTTTGTTGACGTATTTACGTCAAACTCTTTTTTACCTGTGATATCAAAACTAACCAGAATTACACCTCACTCTGCAACCCTCCTCGATAATATATTTACAAACGAATCTGATTATGTTATTAAGTCAGGTATACTTGTTTCTGATGTCAGCGATCACTTACCGATTTTTTTTAATCATTGATTGCGATTATGTGAATGAAATAATAAGTTATGTAACATTTAAACGTAAGATTGAAGATGATTCCATTGTAAGATTTTGTATAATTTTACGTAATCAAAATTGGGAAGAAGTTTATAAATCAAATGATGTTGATCATAAATTTAGTACATTTCTTGATCAATATATTTTACTTTATAATGCATGTTTTCCATTGAAAAAAACTGTGCAAAAAATAAAAAAAAGTGATAAACCATGGTTAAATGCATCTTTGAAGAAAAAATGCAAAAAAATAAATAAATTGTATCATATATAGGTTTATAACTAATCCTACTCCTCATAGGGAAGCTAAATTTAAATGTTATAGAAATGTTGTAAACGATGAAATACGAAAATGTAAACGTGATAATTATTATAATAATAAATTTGATAATTGTAGAGGAAATATCCATAAGACCTGGAAAGCTATAAATGATGTTTTGAAGAAATCTAATGGCAACAAACAATGTAAAACTATATTTTATAATGGTGAATTAACTTATGATAAAAATGTAATTGTTAATGGTTTCAATGAATATTTTGGTACTGTTGGCATTAAAATTGCTGATAACTTAGTTTGAATGTAGATTTTAACAGTTTTTTTAATAATGTAAATTACGCTCAATCAATGTTTTGTGAATCCATAACATTTGCAGAAATTTTAGATATTGTAAAAAAAAATAAGGATAATGCAAGTCCAGGTGACGACGACATTAATACAAAAGTTTTTAAAAAATCTATCTGTTTTGTTTTACAACCATTGTGCAATATTTTTAATCTCTCTCTGGATCAAGGAGTGTTTCCTCATAGACTTAAGATTGCTAAAGTTATCCCAGTTTTTACAAAGGGGGATCGAGCCCAATAATCTAATTATAGATCAATATCGCTTTTATTAATTTTTTCCAAGACTTTCGAAAAACTTGTTTATAAGAGACTAATTTCATATATTGATCAAAATCAGATTTTATACCAAAGACAGTTTGGATTCAGAAAAGGTTATTCGACATATATGGCTCTTGTAGAATTAACTAACAAAATATCTCAAGTATTCGAGGAAAACAAATTTCTTATTGGTATATTTTTAGATTTATCGAAAGCAGTCGACAGCATTAATCACGAAATACTTTCAAACAAAATGGAACGCTATGGTATAAGAGGTACACCCCTAAAATGGTTTCGGAGTTATCTCAGTGATCGTAAACAATATACATTTATAGACAACCACAAATCTGATTTATGTAATATATCTGTTGGTGTGCCCCAGGGATCCGTTTCGGGGGCCCCTATTATTTCTATTGTTTATAAATGATCTTCAATTTATTAGTGATGTATTATACTCAATTATCTTTGCCGATGACACAAGTCTCTTTATTTCAGGTAATGATGTAGCATAAGTTAATAATGTATTGAACGTAGAAATGAAAAATGTTACTAAGTGGTTCTCTGCTAATCGATTGGCTGTAAATATTGATAAAACTTGTTACATGATATTCAAACCTAAGAATAAGTTCATTAATGAAGACTTAATACAAATATTTATTGGAGATTGCTTAATACAACAAGTTAAACAAACAAAAATTTAAGAGTTACAATTGATGATAAAATAAAATGGAAATAACATATTGATGACATTTGTTCAAAAATTTCTCAAGCCGTAGGGGTAATGAATAGATTAAAAACTGTTGTTCCAATGGGGATTCTTTTAACCCTGTATTACACAATGATTTTACCTTATTTATCATATTGCAATATTGTATGGGGGAACAGTGCAATGTATCTTAGAAATAGAATTGGAGTACTCCAGAAGCGTGCAATACGAGTTATTTGCAATTCACAACTTCTTGCCCACACAACCCCTTTATTTCAACAGTTGATTATTTTAAAGGTGGATCAAATGTGTAGTTTGCAAGTTGCAATTTTTATGTACTCCTATTTTAAGAACATTTTACCAGATAGTTTTAATAATTATTTCACTTCAAATTGTACAATTCATAGCCACAGTACCAGAAATTAAAATCACTTAAGATTGCCGTTATATAAATATAGTTTCTCTCAAACAACAATTTCTTACACTGGTGTAAAATCCTGGAATTCAATACCAGTAGAGATTAAGAACAGTCAGACACTTTCTAATTTTAAACGTAAATTTAAACTGTATATTTTACATAAAAACAATTCATAAATAACTAGTGGTACAATTTAATTTTTTTGTTTGCCTGTTTAATTTGCCAACTTAATTTTGTTTTATCATGTACTGTACGTCGCTATTGTTTGGGGGTTTTGGGTTGTTTTTTTTCATTTTTTTTTTGTATATATAAATATCCAAAATATCTATTGTTCTGGGGATTAGCCTCGACAAGCCCCTGGCCTTTGTTGGTCCCCCACATGTTTTTTTTATATCTACATGACTTATTTAGTTCTTTGTTTATGGACTTTAGATTTTGTTCGCTATGTGTTTCTCTTAATATTATTGTTTGTTAATCGTGTATTTTTTTATATGTCTGAACATGTATGTATACTTGTTTTTTTTATGAACCACATGTGGAAATAAAACTTGAACCTTTGCATGTATAAGCTCATCACTAGTTAAACATGTATAAATTTGAAAGCAATTTGAAGAAATGGTCTGTTGAAAAATTGGGTGTTCTCCTGAAGATGTATGAGATGTACACATAACACGCCAATGTGTTTCGAGGTCAAGTATTTCAATAATTATGCCATAAAAAACAGCCCAACAGAAATAGAAAGCCTATCGGGCCAACAAATAAGAATACACAGACCTGCAGGTATTTAAAATCTCTTATGAACATGGTAACCCTTTTGTGTATGTAGGCCTACCAATTATAGTGTAGTCCATGATATTACAGATGTAGGTATTTAAAATCTCTTATGGAACATGGTAACCCTTTTGTGTATGTACCAACTATAGTGTATTCCATGATATTACAGATGTAGAAATGTCCAATAACTTTTTTGTATTGAACTTTATTTTCAAAGTGATGCATTGATCTGTTATTAAAAAAATAAAAATACAAGATCAATCAATAAATACATTAATGATAAGCAAGTCAAGCGCAACAATGAATAATGAAACAAGAAACTGGCATTTGTTGATCCATGTCATACATTTCATCTGTTTATTAATGTACATAAATCATACCAATCCATAATATGCTTTTTTGTATTATTTACTGATTTACAAGTGCTTTATTACAAGTTCTATGATTTTTTTTTTTTTTTTTTCCTCTTGTCAGAGGTACTTTATTCATTTACAAAAATAACCAACACACAAATCATTACATCATAACAAAATTTTACATTCACTTTAAGTATTTTCTTAAACTATTAAGAGAAAATCTTCAGTGATATAAAATATCCCCGAAGATTTTCCTTAGTTCCCAGATGCTATTTCAAAAGCTCTCAAAAAACTCTCCAAAAAAAATACTATGTCCCGAGAGCCCCTGAAACAACATCCGAGATGTTATCCAAGAGTAACTCGTATTGAAAAACATGCCATATGAAAAAGCTGTTGTATGGTTTACCTTGAAAATAATTTAACATATACATCAAATAGATTGCGTATTGAGCATATGCAACGATTGTATTTATATCTGCTCCATTTGCATGTTTGAAATCAAAACCAGCAATTAATAATTCTTCGTTTAATATAATTTTTTCTTTAAAGTTCAATTCAATCAATTCCACAATACGTTTCCAGAAAAGCTTTACGCTCGGGCACTCTAAAAGAACATGAACGAAAGATTCTGCTGTTTTACAAAAAATGCAAAGGTTTTCATTTACAATTTTCCATTTGCACAGATTGTATCTAAAGGGTAAAATCCTATGAAATGTCTTAAAGTTGAGTTGTTTTATTTTATTGTTTTTCAATGTCTTAAACTTAAATTTTAATGTATCTCTCCAATCAAAATCAATGACAAGGTTCAGTTTACCTTCCCAAAATGTTAATACAGCTGGTTCTCTTTTCTTAAAGTCACACAATAGGCTATAGAAATGGCTAGATTTCATTGAAGATAGTCTTATAAAATCAAGTGTTCTTATTTCGTATAAGTCGCCTTCGAATTGTGAATTTGTTTTATCGTCATGTGCGTAATTAACATCTTGAATTCTTTCGATCCACATTTTTGGGATCGCATTTTTAAGCTTCGTATACATAAAATCAACTAGCAAAGAATTTGAGCCAAGCACTCTACAAATATGTTCTCTTGGCCGAAAACGTCCATTTTCTACAATGTCATTCATTGTTATAATGCCTTTTCTAAACCATTCTTTAAAAAAGAGAGGTTTGCTCTCATGTGTAATATTACTATTGTACCACAATACTTGATTTTCAACATTCATAACTTGTGGAAATTGAATATATTTAAGTTCGCTCCAAGTTACGAGACAGTTAACATAAAAATTAGGTATTTTTTGTTTTAAGCATAACTTTAACATGTCTTTACTGGAACAATTTGTTTTCAAAATTATTAACAACGGACATATTTTTTCAATCCAGTATCTAAACATAAACTTCCACGGTATATCATAATTATTTTCAAAGAAATTGTTAAACCATGATAAATGTAGCGATTGAAATTTAGAGTTTAAGTCGACCATGCCCAATCCTCCCTTTTCAATATCATTAATTAAGACTGTTCTCTTGACTTTTTCTCTTTTTGAATTCCATAGAAAATTATACATCAGTTTATTCAAATCAACAACTAGCTAGTTTCTGAGGGATAGGTAATACCGAAGCAACATACACAAATTGTGAGATTACAAGTGATTTAAGAATTACAACTTTACCATAGTAAGTTAAGTTTCTCATTTTCCAAAAAGTCAAGATTGATTTTACTTTTTCTAGTTTCACAAACCAGTTCAATCGATCAGACTCCTTTTTATCCCTTGTTAGATACATTCCCAAATACTTGACAGGTTCATCGTTCCATTTAATACCTTCGATAAATGCTTGTTGCTGTTGTATAGTAACAGCATTTGTTTTCATCACATTTAAGCTCGGCCCAGCGAAGTGTCCGAAATGTTTTACTTCTTCGAGAGATATGTTGGCAGATTGAATGTTGTTTAAAAAGAGAACAGTGTCATCTGCCAGTTGGGATATCTTAAATTCTTTTGAAATACCAGTGTCAGTAGTTACGACTGTGATACCATCTATATTATTATTTTGCTTTATTTTTAATGCCATAATTTCAACAACTAGAATAAATAATAGAGCAGAAAGCGGACAGCCCTGCCTAATGCCCCTTTTTATTTCAAATTTTTGCGAGACCCAACCATTATTTATGACACTCCCTACAGCATTTGCATAAATGACTTTGATCCATGTAATAAAGGATTCTTTGAACTTTAACTTATATAATAGTTGAAATAAGAACTCATGAGTAACCGTATCAAAAGCTTTTCTAAAATCAAGAAAAAGAAGGATACCTGAGTAATTATTTGATTCTTAGTATTCAATTATATCTTTAACTAAACGTAGATTTTGCATAGCGGAACGCTGTTTTAAATAACCTGATTGATCAAAAGAAATCAATTTATCTATGACATTTTTAAATCTTTTACATAACACCTTTGCTACAATCTTATAATCTGTGTTAAGCAATGATATAGGTCTCCAATTATCTAGGCATTGTTTATCCCCTTTCTTGTACAGCAAAGTTAGTATAGCTAACTTTTGAGTTTCGGACAACTGTTTTTGATTAAAACCTTCATTTATACTATTTATTACAAGGGATTTAACATCCTCCCAAAAACATTTTAAAAATTCAGCAGATAAACCGTCACTACCTGGTGACTTGTTGTTTTTCATAGAAAATATAGCATTTCGACATTCTTCCTCGGTAAGTATTCCTTCACACGACATTGCTTCTTCTTCCGTTAATACAGGAAGCATAGTTGAAGCTAAATAATTATCAATATCAGACGATTTAACTCCATTGATTGTTTTAGAGTACAAACATTTATAATATTCAACAATTTCACTAAGAATAGTTTCCTGGTTTGTAACAACCCTTCCATTCTTTTTAATACAATTTATTTCTTTTCTTTTTCCGTTTCTTTTTTCGCATTGAAAAAAATATTTCGTTGATTTTTCACCATGTTCTATCCACTTTTGTCTGGACCTGACAAAAGCTCCTTTACATTTATATGTTAACCATTGGTCTAATTTAATTTTTGTTCGTTCTAGTTCTTCCTTATTTTCTTTAGACGGATTTTCATCAGTCTTACAGCTCATTGACATAAATTCAGTTTGTAATTTGTTAAAAGCTTCGTTCTTTTCTTTCGAATACCTGATTGTGTATTCTTTAATCTTTATTTTGCACATGTCCCATTTCATTTGCGGGTTCATATAAGCGTTTTCCATTTTAAATTTTCTAATCAAATGTTTTATGTTTACTGTATAGTCATCATCTTTTAACAATGAATTATTCATTTTCCATAAACCACACCCCTTTCGGGGACTATTAGTTGCCAATTTTAGAGTAATTGCACAATGATCGCATTTTGGAGCAGGCTTAATTTCAGTCGTCTGCACACAACACCACATTGAATCTGTTAATAGCCAATAGTCAAGTCGAGAAAATATATTTAATGACAATTGTCGCCAAGTGTATTGTTTTTTGAAAGGAAACATTTTCCTCCACACATCAATCATATGAAAGTGTTTAAGCAATTTCTTAAACCCCTGAATCTCTTTATAAGCATAACACATACCCCGAGTATCCAGCTGGGCATTTTGAACACAATTCCAATCTCCACCTAACACTAATGAATCGTTTACTTGTTTCACCTTTTTTAACCATTTTAATAAGTTGTTATAAAATCTTTCTTTTTCATTGTATTTTGTCGGTGCGTAAACATTTAAAATAAAATAAGAGTTTTCACCAACTTTCAATCTTATCGCAAGTGCTCGACCATCAAGGTGTACAAAATGTTCAATCTGTTCAGAATAATATTTACGTACAAAAATAGCCACACCTTTTGAGTGATTTGTGCCATGATTAAAGAAACAGTGGTAATCTAATTCTAACTTAATAATTGCTTCTAATCCGAGAGTCAAAAAAGTTTCTTGTAACATTATTACGTCTATTTTTTGCTTATGTATCCATGAAAAGATTTTGTTTCGTTTCAGTTTATTCCTGATCCCCCTTACATTGAGGGATAAAAAGGACATAATTTGTTTTCGTTCACCAGCTAGAGATTTTCATTTCCGTAATACTTGTCTGTTGATCCAAATTTCAGTCTACTCACTTTCTTGTGTTCCCTTTCTTTCTTTCTGATTTCCTCTTTTGCATTTTCTTTGGTGTTGTGGTTTTTTGTGGAGTAACTATCCGCTCTTCCTGGGTACTTTCACCTGAAGAGAGTGTACTCGAGTCATCGCTATTGTGATCAGTGTCTTCGCGGCGGCTGTTTCTGGGTGGGGACGTTGTTGTCGATTTCGGGCGTAGATATTGCGATATGTCCGGCTGGCGAGGAGTCTTCAATAATTATGCCATAAAAAACAGCCCAACAGAAATAGAAAGCCTATCGGGCCAACAAATAAGAATACACAGACCTGCAGGTATTTAAAATCTCTTATGAACATGGTAACCCTTTTGTGTATGTAGGCCTACCAATTATAGTGTAGTCCATGATATTACAGATGTAGGTATTTAAAATCTCTTATGGAACATGGTAACCCTTTTGTGTATGTACCAACTATAGTGTATTCCATGATATTACAGATGTAGAAATGTCCAATAACTTTTTTGTATTGAACTTTATTTTCAAAGTGATGCATTGATCTGTTATTAAAAAAATAAAAATACAAGATCAATCAATAAATACATTAATGATAAGCAAGTCAAGCGCAACAATGAATAATGAAACAAGAAACTGGCATTTGTTGATCCATGTCATACATTTCATCTGTTTATTAATGTACATAAATCATACCAATCCATAATATGCTTTTTTGTATTATTTACTGATTTACAAGTGCTTTATTACAAGTTCTATGATACAATTCTCAAGACTATGTTATATTCATGTGTTTATTTTTTCTCCAATATCTCTGCCACAGAACACATAATTCACACAAAGCAAAGACAGAGTGCAAACAGAATTTTAAAAAGACATTTATACAATGAAACATTAGTGTTTGGTACAATATCATGAAGAATATAGAGCCTAAGATTGAATACAGATATCATAAGAAATTTGAATGATTCTTTGGAGGTTCGCCATTAACCATCAAACCCATTGCAAAGGTCACATCAAAAAGGAGTTAAATACATCACTTTGAGAAGCTATCTATGACCGGATGGTCAAATTGAGCAGAATTTATATCTACATAAGATGAAGGGGCAGAAAGAAATAGAAATATTAATACATGCATGACCTCAAGATGAGCAACATTTTATAAAATATATTATTGTTCATTTCATCATTTCAAATTTTGTCTCTCGAAGAACATGCCAAGTTCTAGACAACATACAAAATATTCAAATTCAGACTATTTGTTTTCTTCAAAAAAGTACTAGTATGCTAAATAAATGTATTTATTTTTCACAAACACAGAACCTGAAATGGAATCTACTACTTATTCACACTCGATGCCAGTTTCATTTTGGGCATGTCACATCGTTGATATTTTAGAAAATGTCTTTGTCTAGAAGCAGGTCTTTGAAACCTAAAGGACAACATATATAATGTAGAAACAGAGTCAATCTTTAAAAAAAATCATATTATAAAGGTTGATATCTCTCAGATGTGGTTAAGAGAAGATTCAATCTGTACAAGAAATGAGCGATTTTCTATGTTTGATGGATGTGTGTAAAAAAGAGACTGCCTGGTATATATGACATCATCTGCTTGGAGCAAGAAGGGCATTGACTCAATTTGCAAGCCGTGGAGTTAATGTCTTCTTGCTCTTTACATTTGTACAACATGGGCATTACTGATGTAAACTGCAGGAAACAGAAATTGCAAGTTATACATTGTCAAAAGTACTGGGCCCCGTTGCACAAAACTTACCATTGATGGTAACTTTGCCATCAATGGTAACTACCATGGAAACCTTGATTTTGATTGGCTGTTGAGCCCTGTTACCATGGTAGTTGCCATTGAAAGCAAATTTACCATCAATGATAAGTTTTAGGCAACAGGACCCAGGAATTTCTTTTTTAGTACACTATTGAGAAATGAAAAACTGCCTAAAACAGATACATTAGGATATAGAAAGGTATCTATGCAGTTATCCCCTCTTTGAGAGTTGACAGAGAAAGATTATATTCTCCTGATTATCAAGAGAATAAAAGGCACTTACTTTTATTTGGACTAAAGCATACATTGTACCCCTTTGAGCAAATATGATTCAGGAGCTAAGCGAACAGAGCAAGGGAACACACTGATGATTACATAACACTATAAGATGTCATATTCATACTTCTAGATGACAAAAGACAACATTTTAGTATTACACAACACTTTGCAAAGTGATAATGGGTACTAAACTTACAATCACAGGTGAATATAGGTATGAAAGATTTACAATTGAATGCCCCTTCTGATGAATGGCGCTGAAAATTGTCAACACAAAAAGGTCTGTTGTGAAGACTCATACAGCTTGCAGTGCTTGCCTGACAGGTTGACAAGCATAATAAAGAAATTATCTCATGTAGACCCACTATTCTATGCTGTGGTTTGCAAATTGGGATCAAATTACTCTTGTTTAATTCATTAAAAAAAGGATTTAACATTTGAATGACTGAAGACAGATCCAATATATACCTCAAGCGTTGTTATGGTATCTTACAAAACACAAATGGGAGTTAAATGTACATGAAAATCATATAAATTATATATATACCGGTAGATAATTAAATTAAAATTTACATCATTCTATGAATTGAGAGGGCAACATGTTACCACAAAGAACCATGTCGATCACATTGGGCTTGAATCTCCTATGACAAAGGGTACATTCTCACTGCTACTACTTCTTGTGCTGTGGGTACTACTCATACCATGCACAACCCCTTTGTGGGAAGAGTGAGAACATGTATGTCTATGCTGTGTCATGGCAGTACATTTATCTTACAGCACTGGTAAAACATGCATATTGCATACCACACACAAGGTGACATGGTAAATAAGTAAACATCTGCTCAAAAAACTGATTGGAATCAAGGGTTTCCAACAGACAAGAAAAATTTGTACCAAATATGACAATCGCATATCAATGTTACCTGCCTCTCTCGCAACATGATTCAAATCATGTGTATTGTATATGTGAGAAGCATATAAGGGCACATATGTTTGTTTGGTAGCAATAATTAGATAAAATTTCCACATAAGAGAAAAGACAAAGTAAATCACACTTGCTATACCTTTGCCCCAAACACAAACTATACAAAGTAATATAAGCCATTGACAAGTAAGTACTACCACTACAGTGTGTTGTTAATTGCACAAATTAGAAAGCCGAATTAGAAGTATGCACTATTACATGCAGCAGAAATCACAGACAAAAGAAATATTTCAATTAGAATGATAGAGCAAGAAAAAAAACAAGAAAAATCAACATTGGCCCAAATCAGTGAAGATTTGACTTTGAAAATCATCATGCATATGCAAAAGTAATATAAATTTTGTTGGAAAATGCCAGAAAATGTTTTATTTTCCTTACTTTACAAGGCATCATTCAACCTTGAGGGGATAATAAAACAATGACTGGTTTTTAAAAATATACAAAGCAGTTTCGTCTAAACCAGATGTTCCAGCCAACTCTTAATCTATAGATGAGTGAGCCAAGAACTGAAATCAAAATTGACCAAGTCTGTCCTTGTCAAGTGGTGTTTATTTCTATGTAGAACTTTAGAATAAATCCTATCAGCCCATTTAAAAAGGCAAATTGACATTACCCGAGGAGAAGGTTACCTCACGACAACTAAATATGAGACAATTCCAAATCAATTTGAATGTTACAGTGTAAACGACAAGATAATTATCCATTTTGACAATTTTGGCCAGAAGTTTCCTATTCCAAGGACGATTGGAACATTGGGTTTAGACGAACATGACGGGGTGAATGCACACTTTTACAAGAAATGAATAAAAACATAATGATATGTCTGAGATTGAATAAATCTGTCTATTTATAAATATATACAAAATGCATAAATTCAAATTAACAAACCAGAATGGCACATTAAAAATATTACTTATTTTATTGTAGATGATAATGTTAGACATGGGTACTGGTTTAGTTAAAGCATACCGTAAATCTAAAATGAAAAATAAAAGATTAATTTGGGGAATTCATCAAAAATACTGTAAATGAAAACTTTTCCTCACAGTGGAGATGTAATATTAATTTAACAGATCGAGAAAAAAATGAAACTTCATCTATTATTCTTCATTAAAGTACCAGTATCAGGATGTTTAGTGACAATATGTAAGTTACAATACACTCCTTTTTAAATGAACACCAATGTTAAGCCTAGAAATAAAAAGTACATACAGGTGTACACCGAAAAGTACAAAAATGACTTCTTCCTGTTTGCCACTTTCCCTATTACAACAGGACTGCCCTATAATAATTAATCAGTCTTGGACAAGCATGAAAGTTTATGTGACACATTCTCACCCATAAGAAAGTCGTAAAATATACGATAAGGTAGCAGAATTTTGTATAACTGTAACAATGTTAAATAAAATATTTCCATAGAACATTTATTTTGACAAGAAAAAGAAAGATCGAAGATAAATCTTTTCTTGTCCAAATATTGGCACCACAACCTAACTGCTGGAACAGGTATACAATCATTGAAGAGAGAACAGTGAATATATGACCACCATATGCTGAAAGCCAAAAGGGCATTATTCCTTTAATATGTAAAGTATCTTATTGAATGCATTTTTGGCTCTGCAGATTCATTTCATACCGGTAGTCTTCAATTCCACCTTCTAGGACTTTGTCCCAGGATTGTTCATTTCTTCAGCACTGGCTATATACCTATGGTGAAAGTTTGTTGCAAAGATCTGCTACATTGCATTATGCATTTGTAGTTGTAGGACACCATAAATCTACGAGACTCACAGGTAGGCTATAGTCCTATGTGATGTATGCTTCACAATGGTTCATCAGATTATTAAACATAATGCTTCATTCTCATTAGTTACCCGACATCTATACTAAATCAACGCATACAACTGAAAACTTTGTTATTCTTTGAAATATATGATTATTTTTTTCTTTGTTCTGTGTGCCTTCACAAAGAATTGCACAGATAGTATCGGAACAATATTCCTTCCATCGTTTAATTCATGATAAATAAAATGAAGAACTAGATTGTTCCCCTGTTGACTTCCTAGTTGATATAGATCACAGAGTCGACCAACTTCCTATACATTTGAAAGGGAAACATGAGTTTTGTAATCACGGACTCTCATGTTTTATATAAATTACCGGTACTGCCTCTAAAATGAAGAAAATCCTGATCTCTGATGTGACCATCCTTCAGGAACATCTACACATGGTTTCTCATCTCTGTTCGACTCTTAATATAGTGGATCTCCATCTGAACAGGATATGTCTTTTACACACTCAACGATTAATGGTTATGATAAAGCTATGCTTTGCTTGCTTCCTTCCCATCAGCACCTTCATTGATACTGACTATTTCTGCCAGCCACCTACTAAATATACAGAGTTTCTCTAGAAGGAATATAAAAATAATTTGCTACTCTTGTATCTTTAGCGATATTGCATCCGGCTGGCAGATATGTCATATCCATCATCTCCCTCTCTACAAGTCTTTATCACATCATGCAGAACAGTAATCGTCTTCCATAAAAACAATCAAGTATAAATTTAAAAAACAGCATCTTCACACTTTGTTCCAGTTAAGGTCAGCATAGGTTATCCTGAAGCGTAACAGACACACACGTCAGTCATCGACACCATGCAAGGTCTACGTCACGCATTGATGTCCCAATATCATTGTCAAAGCCAGGCATTTCCTTGTACTTTTGAGGGTGTGTATTCATTGTATGGCAGTGATTGCAGAGCTGTGCTTGGGGTATACTGCACGTGGTCCATGCCTGATTCCTGGATCTATCTTCTGCTGAGAGCCAGAAGGGTGTTCATTCTGCATTAAGGATCAGCCAACGTCCTTCTGGCTCTGGGCAGCGATATCAAAGCTAATTTCCTTCTTTATTAGATCTGCATGCATTATGCAAGGATCAATCAAAGACTTGATGTCATTTCCTTAAAACTACTAGGAGTGTAGAGGTATCTTTTCATAACCAGTACCAAAACATCTTAAATCTTTTGTTTGAACTCAAAATGTACTGGATTTGTATTGTATTGAAGGCATATTTACCTGTGGTAAATAACTAGATGAATGAAATCTCACTTCAAGCAATGTTAGAGAAACAAACTGTTCTTTCATAATCATGTCTGCTTTTGTTCCAGAACAAGTACCATTACATGTTTTTCCTTTAAGCTGAAGAAAATATAAATTTTTCAACTTAGAGCTGCTGAGCCAATATTTTTTCTTCTAAATACAAGGTAGATTGCTTTTTTTTTTCATCTATAGATTATGCAATGATCCATTATAGAACCAATTAATGAGTGAAGTCTCAAATGAAAAATACCACTGGGTAGTTCTAACATCTGTTATGTATGGCATGAGTATAATCATGTCATCAGTTCTAAAGCTACTAGAATCACTTTTCAAACGCTGCTCCATGTAGGACCTTTTGATCTGCCGAGACCCTTACGACGCAAAAGCAGATTAATTAAAGCTTCACAAGAATCATTTGCTCTGTATATTGATAATTTGAATAAATATCACACTGCATTGAGGGAAGGTTGTGATGAATCCTGACACAATGATGTAGCTATAATCCAGGCTAAGGATAGATGCTGTTTAGGGATGACAAAAGCTGATCAGTATGATGAAATTGTTCATTATCTCCATGACGATCGTGATAATATCATTGATGACGAGCTAGCTGTCTCATAAAGCTATATCCCATTCTCATTGGCCACAAAGATTTTGAATCACAATAACCTGTCTGTATGAAAGCTTGTCACATTTCAAGTTCATATTAGTCAGATAGTGTAGCTTCAAAGAAATTTCTGATTCCAGTGGTCAATATAATTTGGCTGAATTAGAATTCCAAGGATGGACATGACAGTCTTGCTGGGAGGAGTTAGACGGTCATCTCACTCTTGACCGAATCCTTCCGTTTCTTCGATGGCAAAGGTCAGCTTCTCTGTTAGCTGTTCGTAGCTCTTGTAAGGCGGCAGGTCAAGACGGTTAAAACTGGAGGGAGTAAACAAATATGAAAGTAGGACAAGTGTGATAAATACGAAAGCTGATATACAACAACATGTTAATCAACAGCAGTGAACATGTTTGCTCCTTAGATAAGGAATAGCACTATAAATTTCAAGTAAATAGCACTTTGGAGGTTGACTTTAACCAATAGATCAACAAGATCAACAATAAATTTGCTCCAAAAAATTTCCTTCGTATACACAACCTTCCACGATTGTGAGCTTAATGTGCAGTAATCTGTTGATGGTTTCTGTTTGGGAACAATAATAGAATATACTCTGGATACTTGTTCACATAAAGAACATTTCGGTGTTCTTTCTGGAAAGCAAAGACAATAGATAGTTTTTATAGTATCATAAATATTGTTAATTCCTTCTTTTTGATTTGTTCAGCAATCAGCAGCAGGAGTTTCTATCTCTATACGTTCAGATGCTACTTACCATGTATGACTCCTGGGTAACCATGTTTCTTTTCCAACCTTCTCAATGCAGAACTTCTGTGGACCATTGCTCCCTGTGCATTACAAAAGTAAGTAAGATGTTACACCAAGCTGATGGTTTATAGGTCAATACAACAATATTCTTCTAACATCCCGTGAAACTATCTCAATCCTATCCTTTGAAAACAACCAATGTGATTCCAAACATAAAAATGACTGTTTAGGGTACATGTCTCACTTCTTCTCTTTTGTAACCAAAACATCATCATCAAAGAAATTGGGATTAGTCTTCACTTGATATTTTATCTTGAGTCTTGATCTTTCACAATCACAACAAGACACATTGACTTTCATTGCAAGGCCGGACCAGTGTTATTTAATGTAGGAGGGTGGCTTGTACAAATTAGGCCAGCCTGGTTTTTAAGAAACTACTACTACAAAACATACAAGACAAAATCAGAGTACATTGCCACAAATACAATAGAGAACAGCGTTTAAATCTCACGATATCAAGCAAATTATCATATCCATCTATTCAATTCAATTTATAATAATACTGAACATTATTAAGTATCATGGTATAGTGGTTCGTTCCCTGGACTCTCAAAGGGTCGAGGGTTTGAATCTCAGCCCAGCGCTAACGTGCTTCGGCAAGACATTAATCCATCTTTGCCACTCTCCACCCAGGTGTAAATGGGTTTGATAAATGGGTTGCTGGGGTAATGATAATTGCAGAGCCCTCCGGAAGAACAGCATTGGAGCTGATGAGGGTTCCCTGAGTAAACAGAATCATTCTTATTACTATAACTCTTGAAGACTAGACTCTTACCCATAAGCTCAGTGAATCCACCAACGGGCAGACGACACGTTCCAGTGACAAACTGGAGTAGACGCGCTCTCTTCTCATTGTCCATCTCACGTACAGCCCTCCAGAACCATTGTACCTGCTTGCTCTCTCTCGTATAGTGACGGTAGATGGTGCACCTGTACCAGTCATCTACGTCAAACTCCTGCATTCCACATAGCATCAGCTACATAGGGGTTACAAGGGCAAGGAGATGTGTCATTGGAGATAACTTGAAATAATTATATGTTTAAAAGTACTATGTCCCAATTGCAGCCAACATCATATTCTGTAGAACTTTACAGGAATCATGAACATGTCATATGTGTCCTATTTGTGAAACTTAAACATTAGCGGTGTGCTAATATTCAAATTATGCAAGGAAACCTGTTTACCTTCTAGACTTTACTGTCAAGACACTATTGAGTGACTGACTGACTTCTTTTTTCTTTGGTAATAAAATACATAAAAAAGAGCTGTAAAGGGTACATGAGCATTTGCCTACATCAATAACCCAATTCTTGTAATGGCCAAAATGAAACTGATTAAATCTTTGCGCAGCTCAAAACGTACGACCGTTCGGTACAAGGGTCTGAAAGGCAGACTAGTACATTAGTGATTGCAATCACTTAAGTCAATTTGACTCTAATGGTCGTTATTTTCCCACTTAAAGACATTTTCGAGCCCTTTTGTTTTGAGGGAAGTTCTAAATTAGTATTATCTTTCAAATGCCGTTGGAATTTAACCTCTTCATTTTTTTGGCCTGCAAATGGGACAGTCCCTTTAAGACAGCACTTTATAATATAACGGACTTAGGGATGATTGAAAAATCTCAATTGATTGAATATTGTAGGAAAACATTCATTAATGTTTTCCATATCATATCATATCACTCCTTTTGAATGGATCTAATGAAAAGACATTTAACGAGACTGCAAAAGCCATGAGCAACCGAGTTGGCAAATACCAATGCTATACAACACATTATTACTGGTATCTCGGTATGATATTTATACATTTATATGCATTAGAACTGTATCTTTATAGACTATTCATTAAGTTGTATGTCAGATCCAATACATTTTGTGAAAAAATTTGGTGTTATAGATAATCATCGCTTGCCAATTTGAAGAGAAATGCGAGTTCATTCTGCCATTGGACATATTAATATATTTGTTAAAATACAATTTTCAGTTAAAAAACCCTGTGCAATTCAAAAAATGAATCTGGTTTTTCTCTTTAAATTAGTAACGTTGACAATCTTTGGTTGTAGGATATGGAAGATAGCGCTTACCTCAAGTTCCCTCTCGTCAAAGTACTGGAGCCACTGTAGAGGAACGACCTCATTCATACCCTCTAAGAAAGCCTTGGTTTGCTCCTCTATACCACGATTGAAGCGGAACTGAGTCATCAAACTAAGATTTAAAGACAGGATGTGATACGCAGGTTTCATACAGCAGTCAGGTTAATCTCTAATTGATCTGATCAATCTCAAAGGTAGCGATACTTTAATCTATAAACCCAACTATTGCAAATGATCTGATGTATGATAACCCTCGATACTCAGACATGACACATAGACCTACAAATAAAATCCTAACAGACTTACCAAACAGAGGACGCATTGTGTTAAGCAGATACAGTGATAAAGTTAATCTCTAATCAAGTTGATTAATTTGACGGTAACAACATAAGCTACATGCCCTAATATTGCACTTGATTTGTACCTATGATAACCCCCTACTACTGCTGGTTGGTACTTGGATTTGACACACAGACTTATTACAGAAGTTGAAGTGAGTCATGAGACTTAGATCAGGAAGAGAGGGGGGTTTCCTACAGCAGTAAAGTCAATCTCTGATCGATCTCGTCAATTTCGAGGTGCTGACACCAAAATATGTACATGCCCTGATGTGCATGACAAACCTACACCTCCAATCCATCCATCCATAATAATAATAATAGCTAATTCATATATAGTGCTTTTCAGGACTGAAGGCCCTCTCAAAGCGCTTTACAGATATAATATTACCCTATGTGTCACAAAATGATATATCAACAATTCAAGTATCCACAAGAGATATTCTGACATTGGAAAACAGGCAACACAAAAAAAAAAATAGAGTAATGAACTGGGGGAAATTTGTTCTTGATTTCAATAATGTATGTTCTTATTTTATTTCTAAATCAAGGACATGCAATACTTCCATCTTAGTAATAGCACATTTATGCACTTCCAAAGTGATCATTTGACACAATCCAATGTCCTCCTTTTATCACAATCCAATGTCTTTCTTTTATTCCAAGCAAATCTGGCTTATATCTTACTGTATATATTCTTCTTTGTTCTCCTCTGATACATCGATGTCTTTGCCACCTTCCTTCAGGTCGACTGTCTCTACCTTCCCCAGAATCTCAAAGTCTGCAACAAACGCCATCTCCATGTCTAGTTCATCTATGTCGTTGTCCCTGCATTTACAACAAATAAAAATAGATGATGGTTACATGGAATGTTGCATTACCAGAATGAGAATGGATTAACATCAATAAAACGAATGTGATTGAAAATGGAGAATAACCTTGTTTTAATCCATCGCTGGGTGGTAATTTCTGAGACATAGATGAAGACAGTTTGGAGAAATTTTGAAAATTAACACAAGGTTTGGAATTAGTAAAAAATTAAGATCATCGAACATGGGGAGTCTGAAGATGGCAAATAAGTAATAATAAATGAATACAGCATTTGTTATCCGCCATCGATATATAGTAAACTATTCTGAGGCGCAGAGAGATAGACTTAGAATGAGCTACATAGAGAAAGGAAAAGTAAGAAGATAAAGTTCAACTCTTGTTATGTTTTGACAGAAAAGACATTCTTTTCATAAACGACATGAAAGACCATCGTATCTATTGGATACAAGAAGAAACCTTAAACTATTAATGCACATACATTTTCACTCTACAGAAAACGATGGGATTAAACTATCGATTCATAAAAGACAAATAGAGATAGAAGATTTCTTACTTGATCCAGACCAAGGAGTTATAGAACTCTGGGTCTATACTCTCTAGATCCCTGAGGCTTAGAGGCTTGTTGAGCATGCGTTTGTAGAACGGCATAGTGAAGCCACTGTAGATGAATTTACCATGGTATAGTGCCTGCAAATAAAAATGATACCGAAGAAATTTATCACACACTTGGATGTAGATCTTTTAGATGTAGTAGTTTGATTTTCAATTACATTAAAAATGAGAGTTCCTGCAAGTATACCTCTACAATATTGCTTCATAGTTATGATGAAAGATGAAATCCTCACACAGTACTTGTGCAGGTAGATAAGTCATTCTAGATCAATTTTGACCTCTTAACCCATATGTAGACAATGAGTACCTCGAACAAAACAAATCCTTCAACATTTAGCATTTGCTGAGGATAACATTCAAAAGTAATAGCATAGAATATCTATAATTAAGCAGTACATTCGTGGATTGATAAAAAAAGATTATCACAGACAATTTTTTTGACAGCATCTAGCGCTACTACACACATTTTTAAAGATCATCACTGAATTCAATGAAGAATATGTCATACTAGAATTTTCTGTTGAAATCGCCAGTACACTTACCATAGCAATAAACCTTCCTACAAAACGGAAGTACTGGAGATGATCAGGGTTGACTGATGAGGCTGGGTTGATCTGTAGACAGTAGTTATTCTTGTTAGCATACTCAAACAGGCAGTACATTGGATTGAGCACCTCGTGTGATAACATGAAGAACCATTCCCTGGACAAAGAGAGAGAAAGCAAAGAAAATTAGATTTAATGATGAGAAGGAAACGCAAAAGAAATGGGGTTAGATTGTTCTGAATGAGCGAGCAGATGCGCAGCAAAGACAGAAAAGAGGGACGAGGAACAAAGTGTGAAGAGCAAAGGAGAGCAGAATGGTACTGAGAGAGAAAGATGACATTGAACAAAGATAGCAGGAGGAAAGAAAAGTAGTCGTAACTGAGGATGCCAATGGTGACATTGATTGGTTGAAAAGAGTGAGGGGAAAAGAGGCAAGGTATCATGGAGACGTATCTAGAAAGTCAAGTAAAGAAAATAGTAAAAAATAGAATCTACAACAAAATTATAAAGAGGTTACATGGGGAAAGCTGAAAGAGAGAGGAGAAATATATGGATAGGACTAAAAATAGTGGGAGGAAAAACAGGACAAGGACAAAATATAATCAAATATAGATGAAAAGAACTTCAGGTACAACAAGCAAAAGAGAGGTGATGGATGGATAAAAGAGGCAAAGTGAAGAATATATTTCTATCATAATTAAATCAACTTTGGTCGATTTTTGTTCTCACCTTGCAACTCCACCATAATCAAGACCTTCTTCCCCTCTGAAAATGATGTACAATCGTCTCCTCAAGTCAAACGCTTGTAACCTCATGATCTATGGACAAATGAAAGGTTAATGATATCAAATTTCAAGACATTAAATTAATCTGCTTTTCACAGGGAGCAATATCAATATGACCAGTATAAGAGGTTGCCTTGAAACTTAATACATGTATCACTGTATATCTTAGGGTATTTGGAAATGTGTCTTTTCTTCCAATGATTTATAAGAAAATTAAAATGCAATAGAATGAATTGAAGATTTATAAGAAAATTAAAATGCAATAGAATGAATTGAAGAATATTCCTTTGGGGCTACAATGACAAAGAATCAAAATGGTTATTTTTCTGACTTCTGTAGAGATACATACAGACTTATACATGTAGTAATACAATGAAATACATGAAATATGAATATCTTACCTGATGGAAAGAATCTTCAAACAATGTATTCCTTGTAACGCTGATCTTGACATGACTAGGCAGTGCATTGATCTGACATAGATAGCGGAATTGACCCAGCTTCCACCTGAAACTTCTCTCGTATGCGACAGGCACACCAAATGCACCTTTGGGACTGCAAGGGGGGGGGGGAAGATAGATGAGGAACTGCATTAATAGGTTTCCTAAATTAAGATTCCCTCATTTGATATCAACACCAATATTACCATCACTGTCGTTATCATCATCATCACCATTGCCATCATCCATCACCATCATTATCATCATCATCATCAGTCCTGAGATATGAGTGAGGTGTCTTACCCTTTAGAGGCACTCGGCCTTGGATCTGTGAAGGTTGTTCTTCTGTTGTTATGATCTACAAAGTACATGACACCTTCCTTGGTGTACCTGATCTCCCAACCATCGGGTAAAGGGGCTTCCTGCATACTTGTTGATCTGTAATCAAACAAACAAATTCAACAGAAGTCAAAGCAGGGGTCATCAATAATGAGTGTCCCGGCACTTAATAAACAAAAAGAAGAAAATCACAAGGAAAATCAAAATGACATCTCGGTGTTTATAATTATTCCACTTAACTATCCTGTTTCTATTCATATTAATAAAATAGAAAAATTCAAGAAAAAAAGCTCATAAGAGTTCTTCTGCGGTAAAAGCTATCGTGTTATTGAATGGCATCAGGCAACATTGTAGCGGTTAAAGTTTGCTTATGTGCACAATGCCTCCACCTAAACACTCTCTGATTTGTGTGAAGCACACACTATTTTCTATCAATTGCAGCACTTTTTTCGGTAAAAAAAATGCTGACCACCTCATCTTCTGAATAAACCTCAAGGTCTACCTACCCCTGTCCCTGTGTTCTTGGGTCTTCCCACTGTGTCGTTCTGTTCAGATGATTCACAAAGTATACTCTCTGGTGAGGATCAGTACGCTTCTCTGTAGGAGGAAAACAACATCAAGTTAGCAGGCTGATTATATATATACAACAGGGGCCCGTCTTACAAAGAGTTATGATTGTTCCGAATCAATCGCAAGTCCTCCAATCAATCGCAAGTTTGCAGTCTCCTATCTCTTATGTACATAGTTACGATTGATATCAACTCTTTGCAAGACAGACCCAGGTCAATGTGATGTATGAAATCTCAAATTCATGGATCATGTTTCTGTATGTTCATTTTCAAAGGTTTCTATTTATTTACTACAGAATGTGTATTTGATCCATTAGCTTTTAAAAACCACATTTACAATGATATCAACATCAATTAGAAAATGTGCATCAAGGTTCCTGTAGTACTTCTCTCAACAATTCATTTTCAGAATATATACAAGTAGCAATAAGAGAAACGAATCAAGTTTGCATGAAAACTTCATCCTTTGAAACAAAGTGCATGGCTTCCTGTCCCCCCACCCCCCCCCTTCCTTCCCCACCTCCCCTCCTTCCCCATCTCCTCCTAATCCTAAATGTAATTGACCGTTCAAACTCACCCCAGCCAGATGGCATAGCTCCCAGGGGATCGCTGGGGTCTACACCTCCTGCGGCTTGCTGCATAGGAAAAACAAAGTTTAACAAAATAATAATCTACAGAAATGTTTAACCACAAATATTGTAACCAATCAAATGATTTCATATTCATAACTGTCTTTAAATTATCATTATCACATGCCAGGAAGCATAAACAAATCATCTAATGTGGTAGAATGATACCCACTGAAGGGCATATTAACATCATGAATTAATCATGTCAGGTATCTAAACAATAATTGGCACGAAGGTATCCTTGGAACAGGAAAGCAAGAAATACGAAGAATTCAAAATCTTAAAGACTCATAGTAGTGGGTGCTCATGGGGAATTTGTGCCATTTGGGTGTTTACCCAATATTTAAACAGGTGATGTCAATCATCAGGATCAGCCTTCAGTTTATTTACCAACAAGCTTCATGTGATGATCTGCATTTTCCACCAATCTCCCCATATGGAAAAGTTATTATCTTACATTTCCCTCAACCGAAGACTCTCCAAGAAACTAGGGAGGGGGGGGGGGATATTTCTTGATGGGACCATGGGTTTGATGTGTGCAGATTTGTACACCCATTAATGGTATTTCCACCAAATCTGGTGTCAGCCAATTATGACCCACTGCACCTGGAAACTGATGACCATCTCTCTTTAAAGTCATTCTATTCAAGTTCTATCTAAGCAGAGAGTGGTCCCTTAATAAAGCACTACTACATCAAACAACATACCGGTAAATAAAGTCGTTGTTGCAGCTGTTGCATGGCAGTTTGTTGGAGTTGTGCATGTTGTACCTGCCACTGCTGGAAGTTTCTGACTGAATCCAGTGTTGGCCTCTGCCATGTTGTGGTACGTGTGTTGTGATCAACGTAGTATATCCTGCCTTGAGGGTCTTTCCTTCTCTCCCATCTTCAACGAATACAGATATGAAAGAAGTAATCATAAGATTGGAAAAGTCAAGTATAAAGACATCCTACAAATCAGGTAATATTTTTTTTGCAAATCATTAATGGGATGTCCCTTGCAACAGGCAGTCTCAATTACTGGAAAGATAATGCTCAAATTCTATCTAACCTCCTAATCTCTCAAATGTCACAATTTTATTGAATTAATGAAATATTGTAAATTATTCTATGGAATGGGAAATTGATTTCCCATTTAAGAGTTTGATTAGACTGACTCACCCTGATGGTAGTGGCATGGGTCTCTCCCATGTAGTAGTCTGTGTGTTATGATCCACATAGTATGGTCTACCATGCTGGTCCAGTCTCATCTCCCAACTGAAATAAGAAAGCAATCACAACATTATTATTATTATAAGAGAAATCTTGTTCTCTCGTTCGATGTTTCTCTTTCAATGCATAAATAGGTAAACATGTAACATGAGACACAAAGTATGTAATGAAACTATTTCTTGTAAATGACAAGATAGATTCCAACAAGAAAATTTAATTTCAATAAAGATCTTTAAAAGATATCTAGCAGAAAAATAGAACAGATTTACAGATTTAAAGATAATTCGAAGGGAAAGAAGGGGACAAAGAAGCATATGTTAAGAGATAAATTGTAAAAAAAAAAGATGAAGTAAGACAGCGATGGAGAGAACAAAATGGAGACATATCATTTTAAACTAGAAATTTCACTTCAACATGACAAATACAGAGCATAACCGCAAAATCATTTAACTTACTTTGATGGTAGAGGCTGGTTGTTAAGGTCTACACTCCTTCCAGGGGGTGCTCCTGCAGTAGACTGGTTTACACCAGGAGGAGCTCCTTGGGGAGCTCCTGGAGGTGGTCCTGCTCCTGGAGCACCTGCTGGGGGTGGCGGTCCTGTGATAGGGGGTGGTGGTCCTGTGATAGGGGGTGGTGGTCCTGTGATAGGGGGTGGTGCCCCTGCCCCCGTCTGAGCTGCACTGGCAGCCGAGGCGGCTCCAGCAGTGGCTCCAGCAGCTCCTGCTATTCCTGCTGTGGCTGCAGGAAGTGAAGGGAGGGGTCTGTTGGCCATGGTGGTGTTGGTGGAGGGCGCAGCTGAGGATCGGTTACCACCGGAGGCAGCAGTGGTAGCTGTGGTTGAATTTGTGGATGATCTAGGGGCTGATGAATAAAGATACAAAGGGAAGCACAAACAAATGTTATATGAATGCTTCCCTTTCATATGAGCTCCTCTTTCTAGCATAAATGATACTTCGTTACACTATACCCAAGATCTTTTGTACAGAAGGCCAACTACGAAGACTAACCTCAAATTTCTTTTACAAGCAAACATTAGCTAGGCACTAAGAAGTCACTAACAGTAATGGACATTATGCATTGGACCTTGTGGCAAGTTAGCCTCATGCTTAACAAGTTATCCAATAAAGTCTATTATATACCTCACTTAAGAAATCCAGCCATCTGATTGGTCGAATTTGGAGTCCTGATTTTCGCCATTCCCGTAAAAGAAACGAAAAATGCCAAATCCCTGTAATAGTCCAAGAGTAAAATCCCTCAAAATTCCAGTAACCGGGAAAATAATAAAATTTTGCTGCGATACCCATTACGTGTTAAAATGTTCTTTGAGCAAGTGTGGACACCATACAGTGCTTTTTGTCTGCGATTCCCAACTGATTGAAAATTTCAGTCATTTTTCCGGTTCCTTTGAGCATATAAACACAGCCAGGCCTCTCAAAGCAGTCGATATCTCTATACTACTACTACTCCAACTACTAACAGTTTAATTCCTAAACCAGCAAATATTTGAAACAACTTTGGTCTTAATGTACAAAATGACCCAATGCTGGAAACTGGAATGTGCCATTGAAGAACAGGGGGGCGTTTCACAAAGCCTTTTTTCAGTGAAAAATCTGCTGATAACCAATCAGAAGCAAGGATTTCAGTAGCTTATAACAAAACTGTCATTTGTCACTGATGACAAGTTTTTTTAAACACCCCCCCCCCCCTAGTAGAATCTTACCAGGAGTGGGTCTGGACGGAGGTTGTGATGGCCTAGCAGGTGCAGCAGCCCTCCTTCTGGCTCCAGACGCTGATGAGGAGGGAGAATTATTGGCACTACCACCGGAGTCTGATTGAGTACCGGCCATGGCATTAGCCAGGGCAGCTATCCGACCATCTGATCTACCGTTGGTCATCCCCTCAGCTCCCGCTGACACCTCTCCATTCACTTGCGATGATGGACCTAAGCAAATGAAGAATTACAAACAAATATAATGTTGCTGCTCTTTTTCAGGATTTTTCTCTTTTTTTCAAATGAGTTTCCTAATTATTTCAGTGATACATACAATCCAAATTCATGGAGGTTTAATCTAAACCATAGTCTAAACCTTGCCTTAAATCTTGATATGTGGACTAAAATAAGCATGTGTATAAAGCCTAAATGGACCTGTTTACTATTAAATGTATTTCAAGCTATGCAGGTTTCTCTCCACAACCAGTGATACTAACTGTTTATTAGCTGCTATGAACAACAGCATATCAATGGTTTGAATCACTTTGCGTACATAAGATGTTTCTAAGTTTAGACGTTTCTAAGTCTGGCAAGTCTCTTGGAAGTCTTCATAAAGTATGCATACGGTCTACTGCCTGTTTATTGGACACAAAACTGTAAGCATGAAATAACTTTATGAAATAGACCATTTGCAAAATGTATCAAAATTCATACACGTTTACCCAGCGATGAGCTAACAAAGACAAAGATGTATGTATAAAATGAAAATGGCCAATTTCAAAACATGGTTTGAATAAAAATAACTTTTGTAAATTCTTGCCTTGTCTTCATTTATTGACGAGGTTGATTTTTATCGAATGGGCACCCCTCCTTTACTATTGAGCATTTTACTTTAAAAAGATCTAGTCCTTGGTTCCCCAATAATTGAATATGTATCAAATATTTCACATAAAGCATTGACTCACTGCAGCTTCGCATATATTGGGAAAAAAGGGTAATAATATAAATGAAGAACTTCCTTTTGTTGTCCCAAGTTAATTAATTGTACAGCAACTGCTTCCCCAAGCATTTCTTTTATTGGCTTGAACATTTATGAAACCACTATAAAAATAGACCAATTTGTTGAAAAGTGGAGGGATTGTGATCTTCACACTCAGGATGTTTTCTCACAAAGAATACCCAAGGCGGCTGAAGGGAGGCTTATCGATAGAAACCTTATACAGCATTCTCTATGGTAGGAAATGGGTAATTTCTCCTCAGTCCCCCCTCCAATTGGGTTGGAGTAGCTAGGTCTCACCGTTTTGGCTGACTGCTCCAAGCGCAGCCAGGGCTTCCTGGGATATACTCAGACCATCCAGGATTAGATGGAGCTCCCCGCTCTTCTGCGACGACTTGCCCTCTGACCTCAGCTCTACCGGTAGCTTCACGTTCTTGACTGCATGGTGGGACAGAAAGGATAGGAGATATCAAACAATTAAAGCCTATCTGCACTAGTTTGGCCAGGAGGGATTAGACCTCCCTGCCTGGTTACTGGCAGGTGGTTATCTCATCAAATCAGTTCTCTATTAGGGGACCATGGGGGATCAACGGGTACCACTTAGGCATTGTTGGCTGTATAGAGGGCGTGAGCAGCTACAAGTAGTGCAGTCCCACTTTAAGAAGAAAGGGAGTTGACATAAACGTGAAAGGAGTAAAGGATGAAGAGCAAGAAGAACAATTTACGATGAAGAGTGGAGGAAGTGGAGGAAGAAAGAACAACAATTAAAGATAAATGGGGAAAAGTAATTGTGAAAGACACAACAAAAAGGTTAAGTTAATACTCAACTATATTACAGGTAGTTAATGTTGTAGGCTTAATAAGGCATTTCTTTTTCATTAAAATAAAATTAAACATAGAATGAAGACTGTTTATATAGAACGATAAGATTTCTTTGCATCAACTGGTCTTTGGAACGAAACAAAAAGGTTGCATGAAACAAATTAACCATTTATTTTTGTATTTTCTTCTTGCTATTTAATGCATAGAATATTGTTCACTAAATCAACATTTCAAAAAACAGGTTTAAAATTAAAACTTACATTACCATTTCATTGTATTTGAAGGGATGGAGTTACCTGTTCCTACTTTAACATATTGAACAGGAAGAGATTTATAAGGGACATACATATTAGTGTTCTTTATTCTCTAGAAATGAATCAATCAAATATTCATACCATTGCCATTATGCTTGGCCAGAAGGGGTAGAATCTTGACAGAAGCTGTTCCTAACATGACATCGCTCTTTATATTGAAGTGATTCAGGACCTTAAACTGTAGCTCTGCTGTCGGTTTAACCAACCTGTGCAGGGGAAAATAAACAAAACAAAAGGATAAGTACATGTATAAGGTGGTATTATAAATTGCAATTGATAATAATAGTCAATATTGATAGAAAACAGTCTCAAGTGTAATTTCCTCCACTGGAGTGACAAAAAAAATATTTCAACAGCATATGTTCTCCATTTTCCAATATCTTGGAACATATCATGTTACTTCAATCAAAAGTGTGATGTATAAAATTGCAAACACCTACATGTATAACGTACTTCAGAATAAAGTTGATAGCACAATTACTGAGATAAAGTAATAAACTATATAAAAGGCAGCCTTGCATACTTATTGTTAAAATTGAGAACAGTGGTTCATTTTCTTCCACAACATTAACAAAGAACATTAGAAATCATATTATTGAGTGATTTAACATAATACAGATGAGATTTTCTCATTCAACTTTCATTTTCTGTTACCAGCTAATGTTCATATATAAATATTCTAGAACTTCTCTACATGTACATGTATCTGAGTCTCTTGTTTATACAAAGATCAGGATGAGAGGCTAAGAGCACAATTTTTCTGAAACAAGCTTTCTGAAACAAATACCGGTACTCGTACATTTACTAGAAATCTGAAATCTAATCAAGCATAGCAGGGTATCACACTGGACCTCAAATCACGATAAAGAGGAATTGATCAGATGAAAACAAATGATAATGAAATAATTTGGCTTTTTCATTTTCCTTCCTCATTCTTTTTTTTCTTCACCGTTGTACTGTACATGTATTTCCTCCTTTCTTTACATGGTTTGATTTCATTATTACCTCAAGTACATATACATTATGCATACAATCACTTAGTGAACTTTGTTTACTTTTGTTAATGTATGCGAGAACAGTCAGAGGCAGAGGTATTGATATGAGCAAGTTTTATATTATTATGCAAACAACCTTGTTCTATTTCAGTATTTTGAGCTTCATCAATACACTTTACATGAATATGTAACAACTGTATTTCCAGCAGATAATTTTGCATGCAATTCATAACATTACACATTGACAGGACAACATTATATAAAATGTTCATGAACTTATCTCCTAGAGATATTCACAACGTACCAGTACATCCATACCGTATGTACAGTACATAATTGCTGGGCTGTTTTTCTTTCTTTCTTTTCTTTTTTACAACAATTACTACACCTCAGGTATATCTACTTGTAAATATAAATGGACAGAGCTAAACAAAAATTGACAATCTCAATTTTTGTTTATGGAAGCTGTATTTCTGACACAGAAAATGATTCTGATACAGGTGTATTTTTCTCTCTTCTATTTCTGTTACTTGTATTTCCATTTTCAAGTTTTCCCTTTAGAGTTTCTTTTAGACCTTGCCAAATTTCATTTTGCTGACTGCTCTTGAATAATCTTGTGTGTGACTGTAGACAGGTTGAATGGAAACTATTTCTTATATATACGATCCCCTTTGTACCATGCACTACCCTCCCTGTACTTAAGTACTGAGCACTGCATCCATACATTGTATCATATTGGTATGAGTGTCATGTCCGAGTACAGCGAGGGAGTGAATCAACTCATCCATGCAAAGTGGGTTGAGCGCCATAGACAGGGAAGGAAAGACAAACAAGGCATGGATCCCAATAGGTCACTGTCTAAAACCAGAGTATTACCACATATATCATATCAAGTCAGTCAGTGCAAAGGTTACAAATAATCTGATGTGTATTAGCAGTAGATTGTACAATGTGTAGGTGACGTAATGGCTGTACAAGTACATGTTAATAATTAGTAGCACATCATTTGTATGGACCATTAAATTTCTTTGTGGGTGAATATGAATACACAAAAAAGGTTTATCTTCTTTCTCGATTCGTAATCCCTATCGACAATGTACTTGTGAAATAGAAAAAGAAATCAATAGTTTGTGTACGTATACCATCATTAATGTGCACATTGAGCAGTTAATCATTAAACTCCAACTGAGACATGCCTTATAAACAAGGATTAGACTTACATAAAATGCATTCACCTCTTGCATTTATAAGTTATAACACTGACATAAGATTATATAAAGTGTCCTTTATAACTATCAAGTCCATTACAAAGAGGGCATACTGTACATAAACACCTATTGTGCATACTGATGTAACATTGTATCTGCTGATTTCTACAATAAACATTGTGATGTACTTAGGGTGCGTTTATGCTTGATTTTGAAGGTAGAATGAGCGATCTGAAACGCTCATCGTAAACGCTCATCGTAATCGCAGTTGCACAGCGTACTGTTTATGCTCACTTCTCTGGCTCCTCCAGGCAATTCTAGCTGGGTGGCCTTCGGTGGCCTTGCAGCTGGATTCGCAAACCTGCACTGCGCATGCTACGTAGACCCACTAGAGGTCAGTGCGTTGACCCCATTTAAACGCGTTTACAAATGATTGTGCGTTTATGCTTCCCAGAATCGCTGATTTTGCAGCATCGCCGATCGTAAACGCACCTTTTTGTGAAATTACGATCGGCGATCATGATCGCCGTTTTTCAGTGATTCTACAAAAATGAGAAAGGACGCAAAAGTGTTTTGAACTAAACGCGTAACAGATGCCTGATTCCGGCCAGAAAAAGTTGAGCATAAACATACCCTTATTCACTGTACGCTCTACCCTGCATGTTCATGTACATGTAGCTTGTTTACACTGTATACTGGTACAGGGAGTACATGCAATTATGAGTCAAAGACAAAAAATTTAGTGAGCATACCTAACCACATAGTCATGATCTTAATAACAGATATCAACGATTAAATCAAGAGTCATGTTACAAATAGAGAAACACTCACAGGGACAATAAACTTGTGACTGCACTCGCAACATTATCCAAATTGAGTCATTTCTGGAGAAAAAGTTTCGGCTGAGAGATTGTATTGTATATGTAGGAAATCACCTACCAGTAGTGTCCTTTTTATTTGACTTGCAAAGCATTTACCTCCATGTGCAACAACTGTAGTCTTCAATTATTTTTGTCTTCACATTTTTGTTAAGAATTTATCAGACTGTGTATTGGTAGGTTGTCATTTGATGTATCAAAATAGGTGAAAAGTTCTCATAATCAAAAAATTATGTACATGTAATGAAAACATCATTATGATCAAAATAATACTAATCTACATTTAATCCCCAAATTGTATTGATTAAAATAGTGAAAATACAATTAATTACTTGTGCTTTCTTTTTCAGCACATTATTTAGTTGACATTAGTCTTCTTTTGTGTAAACAATGGCTGTAGAGGTAGCCAAAAGGCAACGAACTGTGGAACTAGGTCATCTCAAGAGTAGTTCTTTACCATGGCAACATCTAAACATTAGTGAGTAATTTCAGTCCAAGGGAAATGATAGAGAGACTCACTACGACACCTCTGCAATCATGGTAATCTCTCCGACTTGAAGTGGTATTATTATTATTACCCTGACCTTAATATGATTTTTATGATCGTTTGTAAGTGCCTGTCAAATAAACCACTGGTACATGTAGGTTCCCTCCACTCATTTCCAATTTACAACAAATTAAAATCAAATGTGCTCTGGATACACTGGATAGATCTATAAGCGAAGGGTATTTTATTTGCCAAGTGAGGACTACAAATAGAGGACTGAGGGAGGGATGCCAGAAAATTAAATGTCACATTAGTCTGCAGAATTGTACATGCTCACGTACATGTACATGACTGTTGGCTTAAAGCTAAAGACCAGTTATGGTCATGCGATTGCATTGTGAAAGAAACGTTGTGAAATCGATCAGAAAAGGTTGATCATCTAGCATAGATGTACTGCAAGGTTCTGGAATCATCAAAATAATAAGAAATTTGGCCAAGTCTTCATAAAGTTAGAAGCACTGTACACAGAAAGATGTATATGGGACTACACACATGTGCGCGACACGTGCATTTCATATCTCTCAACAGGCGAGAGATACACTAATTTACCAAATATATCAATTAGTAGGCGGTTTCCTGTCAAATTTTTTATCATCATGTAATATTCAAAACATTTTCTTTCACATGATTGGTAATAAGAGCTTCCATTTCATTTTTTGAAATTGGGGCGTTTCCAATACTGGTCTCTACCTTTAATGTTGACAAATATGACCAGGTAAATATATGTACATGTACATGTACATGTATTTTAACTTGTACATGTCTGTAGAATCAATATGGATTCATGAATCTAAAAGCTTCCTGTGAGTTTTTTTCTTCTTTCTGTTAGTACATGTACCAGTATTATTTTTTTCTTCAATAGCTGGTGATTATAATTACACAAAAATCAGAAAACAATGAAACAATTGCAAAGTCTGTCTGAGTTATATTTTTTTAGGCACGGATATGATCATGTATTGCACAGGACTGCAATTGCCCTCCAAGAACCCGAGGCTAAATTGATCCCTTTGTTGACCCAGAGTATTAAATTAGGCTGCCTCTGTCTCAAATTGAACCCGTTCCTGGTAACAATCACAGCCGAAAAGGTTACAATGGTTCTGACTAGAATATATATGTACATGTACATCCCATGACTGTCGTTCTTGCGGACCTGATTATAACAAATGGTACCTGGGGAGTGTTTCACAAAGACTAAGATTGACTTTAAGTTGGACTTAACTATGGCAGGCTGTTCATGCCACTGTTTGCTCTCACTATTATGATCTTTAGATAATATTGTAAATTCTGTAGATTCATGACCACGATTTTTACGTCCATTGAGAGACCAATGCCAGTAAATAGTGAGAGCAAACAGTGGCATGAACGGCCTGCCATAGTTAAGTCCAACTTAAAGTTGGAGTTGATCTTTGTCTTTGTGAAACACTCCCCAGATCTCTCGCCTCTTATGTCTTGACAAAATGGCTGATTTTGAGAACTAAACCAATATTAGGGAGCCATTATCATATCTGCTATGAATAACAACCTGGAATCTTGTTACGGTAATCGTGAAACTTTGTCTCCATAGATCAAGCTACATGTAGCTGATTGCAGGTACTTCCTAAATTGTATCCTTGGCTCTAAATTTAAAACAAATACAGATCTTGTAACTACATAACAAGTTCCATGTTAGAGATAGGGCTCCTGTTACCATAAGGTAACATGAATATGCATGAGAGTTACAAGAAAATGGGAGATTGTTTTTGGCAAAACATTTTCATTCAAAAATAATGCTGAACATTTTTATTTCTTTAATTTATTCTAAAGAAAATAAGAATAAGGTCTGCAGCATTCCTGGAGAAAATAAAATGTACAAAATGTTCCAACATTTGTTCCCATCAACAACAATTGAATTCCTTTTAAAGCCACACTGTACTACTTGTAGCTACTTGCTCCCTCTATATAGAAAACTTCCCCAATTGGTGCCTGTTGTTCCCCATGATCCTCTTTTTCTTATGTCAATTGAGAGCTGAGTTAATGATCTAGCCACCTGTCAGTGTCCTCGCTGTGTGGTCTTATCCCTTCTGGCTGAACTAGTAGAGCCGGCCTTTAAGGTAATAGAATTAACCCTACAACAATGAATATACTTACACAGTGAAATGTTCATCCCACTTGGGGTTCCACGTCTTCTTGACAACCTCTGTCTTGCGAGGGGGCTGTGAATCAACCACCATCTCAACGTAAGGATCTCCTTTTCCACTGAAGAAACTGCTGTTGGTGTCCTTCAGATTTGCTGATTGAACTGAGAGAAAGACAACAAAGTGTGTAATGCTTGTTAATGTCATGGTCAAGAAAATGCAAACATACTTCCAAGGGCATGGAGGGTCTCCTAGCATTTAAGATACACACTTTCTTGATTGACAACTAGACTGGAGGCTGCCAATAGCTTTTCCAGGATTGGCATGTGATTTGTACTCTTCCTAGCTTACCCTTAGTCTTGGGCTGTGTCACATGAAGCCATCATAAATCCAAGTTCATTGACAGGCTGACAGGCCATTTTAAGTTTGTAACCGTTTTATCAAATTAAAATGTGTGTCGATGTGTGTAAATAGTAAACTCTGACTTATTAGGATGCTGCCCTTTTTCCTACAATATTATATTTCCAGTCAAACTTATCAATGAAAAATATCTGACATGACCACATAATAAGGTTTTAATAAAAATCTTGATGTACCATTATCTGGAACAACATCCTGCAAGATTAATGAGGCAAATCAGTTAATGTCATATTCTACAGTCATTTTGGCGATTAATATCTCAAGGATACATGTACATAAAAAGTACTTGGCTAATTAATCTAAATATATGAAGCCAATGGCACAGAAGGTAAATACATTTATGACAGTCTATACAAAAAGAATAATGGCCATCTCCAGATTAAAACTAACTTACTGGCATTCATAATAATTGAAGGAGCAAATTAATTTCACAACTAAGACAACTAGATTTGGTCTAGAATCATTCTACAGTCATTTTGGCGATAAATATCTCAAGGATAGATAGAAAGTACTTGGCTAATTGATGTAAATATATTACCGGTAAGCCAATGGCACAGATGCTGAGAAGGTATAAACACATGTGACAGTCAATACAAAAAGAATAATGGGCATCGCCATCCCCATATTAAAAGCTAGCTTACCAACATTCATAATAATTGAAGGAGCTTATTAATTTCACAACAAAGACAACTAGATTTTGTCTAGGGTGTGATTAGTTGGTATGTACACAGACAAATAGAATTTCAGTTAATGAGATTGATCTGTACAACAGAATTAAAGGATTTGAGCACTAACCGAGTGCCATCAGGGAAAACTAAATGTACAATGTACATGTCTTTATTTGTGCCTGGTACAAGTACTGTATACATTGAACACAGTTGCATGTATTATTCCCGATATTTATTTGTGATCTGGCCAGTATGGCTGGGAAGTTACATCTACATAGTATGTTCATGTAGGTTTACAGTATGAAAAAAATACAATGTACATGCACATTGTATTAACAAACACATTCTACAGGTACATGGTATATATTATAAATGGTACGGAAGCTACATGTGCATTTAGGTTTACACTATAAGCAATATTTATAAGCAATATACATGTATGCACATCAGCTAAACACACAAATACACATATACATGTACATGTTATGTTATACAGTAAATGAAATGGTAAAAGAATTAACACATCGATAGAACTGACATGGACACAATTTATTATAGCCTACATGTACACAAAATGTACATGTAGAGTTGATTGATCACCAGAATGACTGAGAATCTGTTTGTGTAAAACATGACAAATTAAATGTTATTGAGTAATACATGTACATGTATTTACCTGTATGCTTTATAGGGCCTACATGTAAATATACAGTAGGCTTACTTGTACATGTTGGCATACACAAGGGGGCTACATTGTACATGTACACTGTATACTGTAATGAGTGCAAATGCAGGTTCAAATTCATAAAAAGACAGACAGTGCAATTTTGTATTTTTCCCTGCTTTTTAATAACAAACCTTTACATCCTGGTTCACGCATCATCATGGCATTTGGTTATTTATTTAACGATATGTATGATACATGCATGTGGCAGTTGGCTGCATGTTGAATTATATTAATTTTTTTTATTAATGTTAGTAATGTTTGATCTTCTTGTTAATTCAAGTAATATTTGATCTTTTTGATAATTTAAGTAATGATAATTTGTTAAGTTAAGTTAGTAATATTTTGTTTTCTTGGTAATTTGAGTAATGTTAATTCCATTAGTAATATTGATTTTTTTTTTAAAGTAATTTTGATTTGTGTACATGTACAGCGCTTTGAAACTTTTGTCACAAGCGCTATATAAATTTTTCATATCATTATTATTTTCATATTATTATATTACAGGAAGTATCATACATATAGGTGTCAGTCATTGCTCAGTCATCCGTTTAGTATCGTTTAATATCAACAAACAACAGTGATGTGAACAATAAGCATTGAAGATAGGTCTACAGTACATGTACCCTACATGTACAGTACATGTATGAATCCATAACCATTACAACAACAAAATGAAATACATTTACATGTAGAAGCACCTCCATCTTGCAACCTGCAAAACTTAAAGATAAACTTGAGTTCTGGTAACAAAAAGAAAATGAATTCTCACAGAATCAAACGAAACTTACACTGAATGTTCAAGATTACAAATAAATGTCATTTGCCAAACAATTTTGGTAGAAAATGTATACTGGCTGAGTAATGGGCATAGAAAGATAAGGAGATCAAGGTGTACTAACCCCGACACAATTTGTGTTGTCCCATATACATCTTTCTGTGTATAGTGCTTGTAACTTTACCAAGACTTGACCACATTTCTTATCATTTTGATGATTCCAGAACCTTGCAGTACACACCAATACTTATATGCTAGATGATCAACCTTTTTTGATCGATTCCACACCGTTTCTTTCACAATGCAATCGCATGACCAGAACTAAACTTTATCTTTAAGTACAACCTGGAGAACATGAAATACTCTAATAGTCAACATTTACACATGAAGGTGTGCAGGTACATGTAGATATACAGTGTGCAATGTCCATGTACAAATTCATGTTGAAATGCACCTAATATATAAACGGCCCCTCTTTCCTCCTACATAACGACTGTCTACATCAGCTCGAGTTTGCCAAATATAGCCTGCTATTCCTGATTTGGGAAATTAGCCTGAAATTACAAAATCGCATCTTCATCAGCTCAAAACTCGAGCTTGGGAAATAAATTAGCTCGAGATATTTCGCTCAGTATTCACGCATAGAGAGAGTCTTCAGGCTGGTCAAGACGGACCGAACAAATAGCGGACTATTTTGCAAACTAGCCCAAGATATCTTGGGAAGATTTCCTGAGCAAATAGCGCGCGATTTATTTGCGTCTTCACCTGCCAAATAGCCGCCATTTCGTGATCTGGCTAGTTTCCAGAATCAGAAATAGCGGCTATTTGGCAAACTCGAGCTGATGAGGACAGGCCTATACTGTATAGCATCGTAACCATAACCTTTACCATCGGACATTACAAGGACACTGTGACATGTTGCTCAAGAGGATATCTCACTCTCAGTAGTTCCTTGATAATATTTTGTGGTTCTGAATACACATGCACTTCAGTGTACTGTAAATGCCAAGAGGGTGATTAGAAGGTAATTACACAGGCTGCTATGACCAATGAAAGCCATTACAAGATGTGAATAGAGCTCATGTACAAATGAATGGGTAGGACACATACCAGGTAATGTACGTTCATGGGTATACATATAAATGTGTTCCAGTACCTTACGAGTTACGAGACTACCAATGAAAGCAATTGAAAGCAATTAATACAAACGATTATGCACTTGCATGCAGGTGTACATAAACAAAACACATGTAGATAAAGCTATGGGTTTTTTTAACATACACCCTGTAGCTAACAAAATATGATCATTCTCTACCTTTAACTAACTTCAAGTGAAAATATTATGAAGAAAATCAAGCATAAAATGTATAGCGATGTTGAAAAATCTATTTTTTATTTGATGTATGAAATGGGGTTAGATCCTGCAGCAAGTCCCACATTACAAGGATAAATCTCATTTTGTTCAATTTGAAACAGGGAGAGTCCCAACAAATTAGAAGATTTTAAACAAATGTTTTCATGTTACCGGTAGCTTTGTTGCTTCTGTACAGTCCGAACATGTTCACATTTTAAATAAAAAGCTTTGTTACTGCAAACTGCAGACCTATCACACATACCGTAGGCCTACATACATGTATACAGTATGTACTGATCATGAGGCAAATGGACATCATTCACCCTGTCAAAAGCATCTGGTGAAAACTAAAAAATCAATCATAGCAACAATATGCGATTCCCACATACTGTAGGCAGTAGTCATCAAGATAATTTACACAATCAATAATATGTACCAAAATATCCTCATGCACCTCTCCTCCCTCTGAACACATTCTTTGATCCATTAACATAGCCAAGTGATCGGAAGAGAAAGAAAAATGAATGCAGCAAAGTCTCTTACAGAGCATTAATAAGGGATCTTGATTCATGGATTTTCTTTCTTTCTCCAAAGGGGCAAAACTTGAAAATTCAGGGCTTGGCATTAATATACATGTAGATCTCAGGGCAAATGACCCTGTATAGGACACAAGTATTTGAAGCAATAACTTGACATTACCATTACTGTTCATGGTCATTAAAATAATTGAATTTGAAATCAATTTGGCTTTGAATGTAAGAAAACAAAAATACTGGTACACTGTAAAAAAAAAAAAAAATTGGAAAATGATTAATATTTCATAGGAGTAAAATTAATAATCCTTCTCTAAAAGTCTAAGGAATAACAGGAATTCAATTTTTATGATGGTTTGAACAAACAAAAACTATAAATAACCCTAAAATCATGGATATCATCATAATTAGAGAAGAATTTTCACAGGAAACCTATACTGTCGCCACAAGTATACACGAATGCCATGACTTTTAGACCACTATTAAAAAAAAACAGAAAGTAAGATTTCAAAATTCCATTTCTAGACAGAGCATGACCTCCTGTGTTGTGTGTGTATAACTACAATGTACATGTAATAATAAATCCTCTTACATGTACATGTATATACACTGCAGCAAGATTTCATTTTTTTTTCTTCCAGCATGGACATAAACTCCAAGTGGTTACGTTGCCTGCCATATAAAATGACAGTTGGGATTAAATATCTACCGGTAGTTACTCTCATTTGATTGTGACCACATACAGTGTACATGTACATGTCCCACAAAAACCACTGTTTACAGATACACTGTACATGTAGTATCAATTACTGGACATATTGCTCAGTCCACCAATTATTCAAACTATGAAAATTCATTTAAAAGAGAAGAGGTTTGTACAAGTATCCCATTATGGTGGGCACCTTTTATTTTTTTTTAAAAAGAGTGTTTTCTAAATAGCTATTTGGTAAATTAACTTGTCATATATGTCCTACATATACATGTATGCTATATAATATTTATCAACTCCCAACTTAACACTATCTTAACATTATGCTATTTAAAGTAGTAAATAGTTCAATTATTAAATAATTCAATTACTCTGCTTATAAGTTACAATAATTGTAGGCCTGTATTAATAAAAGTATGAAGTTTCCAAACAAGCAAATTCAAACAGGAAAGAAAATTCTTACGCCCTACAACACATGTACATCTACACACTGTACCTGTCAAGTTCCTTGGGGATTTCATTTCATCTTTTCTATAGATCTTCTTTCAATAAGAATCTGGCTACATGAATGCTTACAGCAAACAAACCCACTATACTCTTGGGCAAACAAATGCAAAGCACTTCCTCAATGAGTCTAGAAAAGATTTTTTTTTTTACATATTTTCTTTGTAACTAGGGAGAAATCAATACACGCATGTACTGGGTATAAAGTGAAGAGTTATGATGAAACTTTGAGTGTTTTACAGCAAACTGAAGTACCGGTAAGATTTCTCACATCCTCTTCAACAAGTCATGTATTCTCAATGGACCTGTCATTTGAAGTGAGAACAAGCACAGCTTGACACGTACACTGTACATGTACATCTGGCATGAATGTTTATAGTAGTACCTTCCCTCATCTGGTCCACCTGATATGATTGAGTATTGATTATGATGTTGCTCTGTATGAGCACTCAAGGACATACATTTCTGATTTCGGGACCCTGTCAGTAGGCCTGTCATCATCAGCTCAAGATTGCCAAATATCCCGCTATTTGAACTATCCTGATCGCAAATTATCCAGTTAATCTGCGTCTTCATCAGCCCGAAGCCCCGAAGTTGCAAATAGCGGGATATTTGGTTGAGATAATCATCCCAAGATATCTTGGGCTAGTTTGCAAAAATATCCCGCTATTTGTCCGGTCCATCTTCACCAGCCTGAAGACTCGCACTACATGTATGCGTGAAAGCTGAGCAAAATATCTCGAGCTAATTTCTCAAGCTTCTGGCTTATTTCCCAAATCAGAAATAGCGGGCTATTTGGCAATCTCGAGCTGATGAAAACAGACCTACTGTAGTGTGCCATGGCTGACACAGATTGGAGAGTTGATGCTTGATTGTACTGTAGGTAGGTAGGTAGTGCTTTGTAGTGATACATAAGCATTGGGTGTCATTGTTATGTAGTTACGCACACAGTTCAAAGTCCATCTGTACACAATACATGGCTTATTACTTGCTTGGAAACAGACCATTACAGATAATCAGTTTGATAAAATCACATAAATCAATTGCAATGTTATCTTTTGGGTATGGTGCAGTAAGGACAGTTTTAGGAGCAACTTGTGAGGAATAAATAGGTACCTGTACATGTAGCCAGGTGTAGGCTTAGGAAGCTTGTGTTTGTCAATGATAAACACATACACCTGAACATTATGCAAGTGTACACAAAACTAAATATTAACCATTCAATGCTACATGTAGTTTCATAGGGGATAAGTCCACATACAATGTAAACACTATGTGTAGGCCCTATGTGTAGGCCCTATGGGTTAGTACATGTATACACTGTATATGCTCTATAGATGTGGTAAAAAAAATTATGCTAACAAAACATTCAAAATCCTCACTTTAAAACTATCAAAAATAATTGATCTTTTTTCTTTCCTTTTTTTTTCTTCTATTTTCTTTCTTCCTTTTTCTTCCTTTTTTTTCCTTCATAGATCTTCTCAAGGTATCCATAATACATGTGCAAAATGGCTATAAGTGTATAGATGTAATAAGACATGTATACATGTAAACATGTATTTAATAAGCCTACTAAGAAACAAAATCATTCCTCAGTACATTGCATGCCAGTCTCATACTCCCATTATAAGCTGGGTCATGACACTAAAGCACACTTTACATGTATGTAGCAGATGATTCTATAATGAATGGAGGAGTCCACTTTTGTATTGAAAATTAGCCATCGCACATCTCAGACTCAGCTTAAAGGTAAAGACCAGTTATGGTCATGCGATTGCAATGTGAAAGAAACGTTGTGGAATCGATCAGAACAGGTTGATCATCTAGCATCTAGCATCTGCAAGGTTCTGGAATCATCAAAATGATAAGAAATTTGGCCCATTCTTTGTAAAGTTACAAGCACTATACACAGAAAGATGTATATGGGGCTATCCTATATCTCTCACAGACCATGAGAGAAACAAATTTACCAAATATATGAATTAGTAGGCGGTTTCCCGGCAAATTTTTTATCATCATGTATTAGTCAAAACATATTCTTTCACATGATTGGTAATAAGAGCTTCCATTTCATTTTTTGAAATTGGGGCGTTTCCAATACTGGTCTTTACCTTTAATTGAGCTTGAAAACATATTAGAGGGAGAGAATACCAGTAGGTCACTTGCAGGTCACTTAAAGTGGCATAGTACATGTACATGTAGCTTAGGTTTGATTAACAGGCGACAGGGACGAATGGGGCCCCCAAATCTCCTAGCTCCGGACCCCTAAATTTCAGAACTTCAATAGGACGCTCATGCATAGCGCATACAGACCTTAGACTTTCAATTTAGATCACCTTAGAGAAGAAAAAAAAAGGTAGTGTGGAGCTTTGTTGTCGAGCTTGTCATGAAAAGTTTTACATAGCCCATGTCCCCCAAATGAACATGTGTACTTATCTAATGGGCCGGAGAAGGCTATAATAATGTTTTTCCAACTGAAAATTATCTTTGTGTAAGTATCACTTTAGCTTTATAATTTACATTGTACATATGTACATGTAGATCACTTTTCAGAATAATAACATGGCTTTTAAAAGCAGAGGCCTCTGATTAAAATAATATGACACAGTGTGCAGAAAATGGAACGAATGTCTTTCATCGCAAGCGCATTTTTTCTCCCAACAGACAGACACTTTCTGATTAACTGTGCATCTCAATTTAGCATCAAAACCGGCTTACATTCACACCAGAGTTTCCGTAACATTGACAGTATCCTGCGATCTCGAGGCTAACTTAACCCAAGAGGGTCATTGCTCTTTGATTGTTTCCCCACAAGAGAGGAAGACCCCTGGAAGAAATTGCCCAGATTGTTTTCAGATCACGGCCATGATTCAGGTTTCCTACATGTGGTACAAAGTTTCCTTTGAAGTCCTTTATATACCTAAAAAAACATCAAACACATGTAGCAACACCCCCCCCCCCCCCTCCCCTCGTGCCATTTTTATTTTTTTAAGACTCCCTTTCTTTAGACAAATCTATAAACAATGTTGTCCACTTTCAAGCAATGAGTAACAGAGGAGGAATAATAATGCATACACACAATTTCAATTGGGTAAAAATGTGAAAAAATGTATCACTTTGTGTGACTTTTGTAAAACTAGACTGCTAATATCAATACTATACAATTTATTATAAACTCAATCACATACCAAATATTAACCATCCAGGCAGAGCTTTATTAAAGAGCTACGTCAACGATGTCTACGAACTACAGCTGAACCTAGAAGAAGAGTTCTACGACCTCTTTTCATTGCTGTTTTCGGGAGGATATCTATTTCAAGAAGTTGTGACGAGCATGAACATATCATCGTCCTTCTATTCTAAAGTCCCTGTAGAGAAGTATTTGGCAATCATCCGAAAAATCACATCCATCTGCAGGCTACAGCTGGGGGAGTACTGGGGAATAATTAGGGACTGCCAAAGGTACCAAACACCCATTTCACAGTAGATTAATCTTAACACAGATCATAACCAAATGGATTTAAAAATAGATGTAGACAGGATATAAGTAAATGTAACATGTCATGTATCTACAGTTTGACTGACTGCAAACCAAAAATGATGATAAAAATTAAAAAGGGACAAGGCTTTAAAAAAAAAAATCACCAAAGTCTTGCTTTTTATAATCTTTGAGCAAACCAACATTTCCTTTTCCTGGGAGAGACTTCCAAATGAGTTTGTTCAAATTATAGCTCCTATTCATATTGAAATCTCTGTATACATAATGGCATACGGTAGCTTTTTTACAAGGAATAAGAAGAGGCGAATAAGAAGAGGCAAATAAAAAATAAAATGTTCAAATTTCTGCGAGGTACATATCATGAAGCAAGAAGCAGATTAAATGTGCAGATCATATTCACAAGCTTGATAATTGAATAATAATATGTATAAAAGAATGGATAGACTTACTAGTAACGTGGAGTTGGGACAATGTCCCACCATCTTGCTCAGCCATCGCTGCACTGCTTAGTAAAGCACGGTTTGAACTATCCAGTGATTAGCTATGAAATGTACCTGAAAACAAGACAAAAATACATTATAAGCACACAGGTACACCCTGCAATATGATGTCATACACTCATGTGATAGAAAATAGAAACTAATTCTGCCACAATTAATCAGCTTTGACTCGACTAATAGCTTGTGTATATCATTAACAAGTACTTCTCCCAATTAGTAATCAAAGAGAGAGAAAAGCTGTTCTTCCTCTCTAACTGTTACTGCTACATCTGCTCTGAGTTTAATTTTGGCTCAGGAAGAATGATTTTTAACATTTCCAAACAGTCTCTGCTCTGCAGTTACAATTACTAGATTATCACACTAAACATCTTCCATAATGCATCCTGTTGTACTTAAATCAGTGACGATCAACACCTGAAGCAAAGGTGTTCTAAACTTGCCTTGCTTTGGAAAGGAAGGGTTTGTGCCATTCAGCAACAATTAAAAAATACTCAATGACTCAACGCTAATTGGCCTGTCAAATGCTTATCCCAAAGGGAAACAGTTATAAACATGTGTATACATGTACCTGTTGAATTCTATACTTGATGACATAGTATACCTAACATTTTTTACTATGGTAAAATATCCATTTAAAATGTCAGGACATGAAGATATATTTTAATTTTTTTTTTTTAAACAGGGAAAAAAAGAAAAACGAGTTTAAAACTTGAGTTTCTAATTTGTTAATAATGTTGTCACTCATTATCGAAATGCCTGAAATTAAACTTTCAATTATCATTTTTGAAGCTACATGTACATGTACATGTACATGATGTAACAAAATGAAAATTCACATTTTATACACTTCACTTTTCTCAAAAATGTTAATCAGTTCATTTAAAAATTATAAGAAAAGGTTCAAGAACTAGGGCTATATAATATACAAAAAAGTTACACACAAAAATAGCTACAAATCATTTCTTTTGATAATGCACATACTGTTCATTATAAACTGTACATACATGAAGGAAACAAAATTGTGTATTTCTTTTACTTTTATTTTGAAATAAATCACACTTTTTCTCACCAAAATCCAAACGTAACACGTGTACATATACATGTAGCTAGGCACATGAACGTAAAATGTCCATGCATGAAGAGATATAAATACACACCAAGAAGAAATATTGATTACACCAAGCAAGGTTTGTTTGTTTACAGTTATATTGATTCCTAAGTAGGTCTGCCCCAGAATCCTATTCATGGCAGTCCTTGTGGTCTCTTACACGGAATTAAATGTCACCCACCAGCCAGTGACATAATTTAACCTCAAGTTGTCAAAACCACATCAAGTGCTAATTTATGCTGCAAAATAATTCAATAAAAATAAAAATTACACTACATTTTCACAATTCATGAAAGTTCCTTGTGGTGAAAAAGGCCGTCTTTAACAATTTGTGAAAGTTTAACGCGCGATAGTTTCTAGTTTTACAGCTTATCCAAAATAGAGATCGACCAGAAGTAAGATAATTGCATCGATTGCAAGGAAAAATATCATACATTAAGCTGCTTTCACTTTTCATTTACAATTTTGCTGACACCTTCTCTAGAAATTAAGATTTCCAATTCCAGCCTTACTTTAAAATGTATTTATTCAGAACGAATGCAAAAATTCTTTATTAACATTTGTTCAAAGACATCTTAGATCTACCAAATTCCAAGGAAACTTTGTCCTACAGTGTACAGGTGTATGTTAATTTAGGTTTCTGTTTCCATTAGTAGTATCAGATACATTTATATTATTAATGTTCTTTAGATACTTTCTGTGAAGAACATTAAAAATGAGACAACAGACACCCAAAAAGCACACTTGACACTTTAAATAGCCACTATCATAAACTGTGCATCCCTTGGCCATAAGAATTTAAGAGTTATATGCAAGCTACATTAGACATCTAAACAGGTCATGTTTTGTCAAATTGCACTTATACATATACCTCTTTTTTTTAGGAACAATAAATGAAATAAATCTTTAAGTTTACCAGTCTCCTAAAATAAAAATGTGTACATATGTCTAGACTAGTCTGCTAGACTGTATACAGTCAACCTTTTCTTGGAATGCTATAGGCCAGCGGATAACGAGAATGAATAAAATAAGAATTTACATAGAACCTCGCTGACGAAACTGAGTACATACATGTACATCGAATAGTCTAATCACCAGTCGCTTTTATAATTGAGAGTCTAGTTTAACTTTCAACAGTACCTCTTTATAGGACTACCGTAATATGTGAAACTCACATTTTGAATATAGTATTAGCCACATAGAAACTCTAACATGCAGAAATACTTTGAAGTGATTGGTACACTTTATGTGGGAATTCTAAAAGACGTACAATTATACCATATGCATACTCATTGCAAACATCCACGCAAGTACATGTACTTAGGATTGATACAGCACGCTTGGATTACTTGGTAATGATTTTCCACTGAGCTCAAGTTGCCTCTATTGCAGAGTTAGCCCAGATCCACACCATCATACAGAAAAACAAAATCTTGTTAGACACTTGGGCCATCTCATGAAATATGACACTGGTCATTCAGTGTGTACATGCTGTCTTCAGTGTCTTGTATGTAAAATCTATGGAGGCAGAAAGGACTCTGCTGTGTTGCATACATGTATGATGGAGCTTTTCTATGCAGACTCGAGATGAGTACTGGTACATGCCTTATTTGGTCTAGCCAATCTCCATTTCATCTGCCTCATCCTACTCACACATATGAGGGGTTATATCTTTCAATAACCTCACATATCACTTACATGTATACTGTACAGACATGTGCATGACTGCATGTACAAACTACAAAGTTAGTGGATATAATCTTCTATCCCTGCATGGCTCAATTTTTAAAGCTAATATTTACCTTACTAGTTACAAGATTATTACTTGAGAATAGACAGTGCAGACATATGTTTTAGAAAGCCATTTCATTTTCCCCAATACTGTAATGTTGGAGAGGCCAACACCATGCCTCTACTTCTATTTGGCCTCTACTTATAAAAAAGTTTTTCTTAATTTCAGATAAGGCATGAAAAGGTACTAAACATCAACAAAAGATTGTCTATAAAACTTCCAATGACAATTATAATCCAAAATGGCGGCTCACATGTGTCTGCCTCTACAATTTGTTCACATTGAAAGGCATGATAATTAGGGCTGGGACAAGTAGTCGAATGCTCGAGTACCCGCACTGTTGACAACTACTCGTACTCAAATTAGGCCGCAAAAAAAAAAAAGAATTCAAAAATCTGTCCAGGCCGATGCTTACCCGTGCCAGGGAGAGCGGCGGCCGCTGGCATGGTGCCGTCGGTAAAAATGTTTCCCAACTCAAGCACTGTCAAACTCACCACTCAAAAACAGGGACCAAATGTCCGGATTTCTGTTTGGACTTGGAGGAAAATGGATTATTCTGCCATCTTTGGTTTTTAAAACAGCATTGTTTACTGTTATTATTATTATTAAATCGGCGCCTTCGACTGCAACTCGAAGTAAAATTGAATGCGTTTTCGGCGACGGAACTGGGATACTGCTCCAGTGGTATGGTGGTGGCAAAAATTTAAAAAACATGGCGTCCGAATATTCGAATATTCGAGTATTCGCTTGTAAAGCTTGGGAGTGTACTCGGGTACCTCAATGCACTGTTGTGCACAGCCTTAATGATAATAGCATTCCACATCGACAAAATGGACTACAAAAACTTCAAATGACAGAGTAATCAAAGGTATTATTTCCTTCGTTAAGCATCCAGACAGACATTATCACTCCAGTAGGCGTTTTGAATCAAAATCTTACATTTCATGTTTATTTTTTTGACGGAATTCAAAATTCTTTTTATGAGAAGAAAGAAGAGTCCACTAGCGAATTTTAAAGGTGCTGAGCAATATTAGTCGGGTGCAGGAATGGGCGATTTCGGACGCATTTTAGCCTTTTTTAAGGTTTTGTTAACCTGCCTCTCCACGCAGGGCTATGGATTCCAGTTAAGGCTAAGTGGTATCATATATTATTTTACATTATCACTTAGCCCTTAACCCTAAAAAGGCCGGGCTATTTGAGGTCTTGATGCCGGGATGGGGGCCATTATGCCACCCCCCCCCCCCCCACTATGGTAAATGCAATTTTTGACTCATTCACTCAATTCACTCATGTGCATATTTACACTGTATGGTAATTTATGCAAATAAGGTAATAAAATTCACCTTTTTACCCATGTTTCATATATTCTTTACATTGAAGCATTCTTTTTCACTACATGTATCCGTTAGACCATTTGAAAAAATAATAAGACAAAAAAAAATTGGAAGAGCTAGGATTCCTTATGTTATCTGTTGTTTTGATAATTTCTTATGTATTTCATTGTTTTTGTTGTTTTATTTCATTTCTAACTACAAGTCAACTATTTTGACTCCCAAAACAAACTCCTAAACTTTAAACAAGACCCAATAACCAATGTTTTTATCTCTTTTTAGGAAAAATTACATTTTCATATGTTTTGTACACAAATCACAAAAATTAGTGATTTGACATGCAAAGACCGAAGGTCACGTGACTTTGTAACTGTACGTCTGATTTTCAACAAAATTGTTTTAACAGATGTGCAAGACTCGAAGCAGCGGGGCGCCATCCGTATGCGTTCCCGAACAATCAGAAAAATTGCGGAGGGGGTGCCATAATGGCCCCCTCCCCTGGCCTTATTAGGGTTAAGGCTACATGTACATGTACCTTACCTTTGTTTGATGGATTGCTTTAATTGTATAAATCACTTGTTAACTCTTGCAGAAATTTCGCTATTCATTTGGTATTAATTGATTTGATTTAATTTGTGTACTGAAAGATTATTAGAAATCATGGAGCGAATATCACATTCCAAATTATTTTTAATTTCCACAAACTTTGGACACCCCAATATACAGAGACTGAAGCACATCATATGGGTTAGTGATTGGAGGTTACGCAATGCAGCTTGTGTGTGACTGCCGATCTCATCGGGCGCTACACTGTAGCTTCAAGAAAAGGGACAGATATTAGCTGAAAGTAAATCGTTATGTTTGATGTTTTACAATGATTTTTGATGTTATCTTTATAGTACCAGTATCAGGTATATGAAAATTAGATTTATTTTCTTTCAAATCATCATTTCGCTCCATCAAAGTCTCAATTTCTTTTTTAAAGGTTGGCAATTTGCCTAATTCTGGCAAAAATCAGCTATTTAATCCCCCTCCTCCCTCCCCTTGAGCAAGGGTTACCATCTGTGTATAACATAAGAAAGGTTCTCAATTGTCAGTTATATTCAAGAATTTCCCAGTCATACCAGACAGTTAAAGGGGTGCAGCATGGCAAGTACACACCAGCTAGTCTGCCCACTCCTGCCAGAGCCATGCACCCAAGATGACCTGGAAGCCGTGAATTGCCATGCCAGAGCCTGTGTGGACCACTGGACGGGACTTGTATTAGGGTGTCTGATCAGGCACCCGATGTTGCGTCCTAAAATCCTTCCCATAGAGATCGGACGCATTCATGTACATTGCGCGATCATGTAAAATTGGTCAAAGTTTTTATGAACAAATCGAGATTCAAACCTTTATTTGTTGTGATCCTGAAGGTGATACTCAATAAATGAGGTGTCATATGAAAGAGCAGATTAATCTCCATATTTCTAAAGGGGTGTCATCTCAGAATTCTAAAAATTTCTTGGTCAAAACAGCAATTTTAAATGTTGTTTGCATCCTAACTCAGAAATTTGCCACTTTTTAGAAATGACCATCCGATCGATTAGTAGTCCCAATTGTCAGGAATCGATCCATGTGCTTGTTTTTTTCGCTAGCCCCAAGGGATCACAAGTTATTACAGTTTGAAAATACTGTCCCCCCCCCCCCCCATTTTTCGGATCTGCTTAGTACATGTAGGAAGGTGCCGCTCAGCCCAAACCCATGGCGACGGCGCATAGAATCTGCACATGCATATGCCATTCGGACAGCGTGTGTGTTTTTGTATTGGTTGCGCTCAAGTAGAGCATGCAGCTAAGCAACACGCGTACGCTTGCATATTGCGCAATGCTGTTGTTTTGCTAAATTTAGCAAAACAAAATAACTCTGCGTGTACCTCTTTTTCATCGATTCTGACAAAAATTGGATGAATATTGCCTAGATTTGTAGATTTTGAGGGGCTGCATCTTTTGATAGAAACATTGGTGTGTCTTGAAATTTGAAATGTATTATTCTGATTAAATGTTTTTTCAATTAGACTATCCAACCATGATGGTGAAAAACGTTCCCAAAGGATTTTTTTTTTTTTTAAATGGTTCAGACACCCTAGCCTACTTGTGCAATTGTGTATTGACTCGATAAGAAGAAGATGGCAAATACTGGTCAACGCCATCTACAACTTCTTTTGGACAACTGCACTAAGTTAAACAATTGGACTTGGTCAACGGTCAGCGCACGCTAGCATTCGCGAAACAGACCAAAGTTCTCCTCACGCTTCGGTTTCGCGAATGTTGCACGCACGTGTTGTGAATACTACGTTCGCGTCGTCCGTAGTCGTATTATACTCCATTGTCCCCCGAGTCAGCCACGGAAAAAAGACATGAAGTCTCATCATGCTACACCCCTCTATACTAGGCTTACCGTTTAGACAATGATAGATGCCTTTCTCATGGTTCTTTGGCGAGTGACAGTGCAGTGAGCCGAGTGGCCCTTATTTATTAATTATGTAATATCTAGATCTAGATCTAGTTAGAGTAAGAGTCTAGACAGTCTTATTAGGTTAAGTACAGTGGGTCTGATATTATATGATAGGGTTCTAGTTTATATGATATCTATCTTAGACCGCAAATAGATTCACATTCATCACGCAGCGAGGACGATATTGACTCTATTGCACAAGACTATGCACACACGTCACTCAGGCGCTAGCAGACTCAAAATAAAAAAACAAGTTCATTTCAGCAAATTCAGGTACGGAAGTACACGGCAATTTCTTGCAGAAAGAACGTTTAAACAGCTGAATTAACAAATTTAATGGAATGATATATCAATTACAATAATGTCACTTACTAAAATCGTCAAAAAATTGTCGACATTTTGCTGGAAATAATTAAACAAGTAATCCTGTAACTCGGTACCTTGTCCTTCTCAACGGGCAGCACATAACAATCGCAATCTGCATAGGATTACTATAGGAATAACACTAGTACCAGTCACAAGATGGATTCGTACAGATAGGATTGGTCACGTGACCTGTCGCCCAATGACGTTATATCTCGGCGAACTCCGATACTCAGTTACGAGAGGGCGACAAATAAGAAATCAAATTTGGTAACGTTGTGATGTATGGTCAAATGGGAAAGAACAAAAGTTAGGTTGGGATGGGTGTGTGGGGTTTGTGGGTATGTGGGGTGTGTGGGTAGGGAATATCGGGATAGTCCTATGGCATACTGTACGATCACCCCCACATCTTTTTGTACCCTGCATAGGTGGGCGAACAAAAGAAAACAAAATAGTATAATACGCCTCACATTATTTATATACTATAATGGTAAATTCTGTGTCTGCAACATTATGTTTGACTTCTGTTTTATTCCAATAACGATTTTTCTAGCTTTTCTGGCGAGTGTCTTCTGTGCAATACTGGTGTAATTAATTGGATAGAAATTTTTAAATCTTCAATACAATTTGTATCTCATTTAAGATCATATTTCATCCCCTTACCCCCCCCCCCCCCCCCTCGCCCCTCCCGCCCTAACTCTCTCTCCCTCCCCCCCCCCCCCCCTCTCTCTCTCTTTAATCTCTTTCTCCCTCCTGTCTCTCTTTCTCTCTCTCTCTCCCTCTCTCTCTTTCTTTATCTCTTTCTCTTTATCCCTCTCTCTCTCTCCCTCGCTGTCTCTCTCTTTCTTTCTCTCACTATATCTCTCTCTCTCTCTCTCTCTCTGTTTTCATCTTGTTGTCTTCTATCTCTTATTCTCTCTCCCACTACGGTCGTTTTCTTTTAGATTACACCTGTATGTATACGCAACTAAACACGAAAAACAATCATTTGGAAAAAGAATTGATCCATGCTTTACAGTACTAAGTTTTATTTTAATAGATTGAAACCTTTTAAAAACAAAATACTTGTATATAAAATTTATCAATGAGTTTGATTTACAAAGTACCGGTAAGTAAAAGTAAGAAAAAACAGGAAAAATACAAATTGCCATTATATTTCATATGATATTCCAGGTATTTGATAAAGAACCATAATGAGAATATGCTCTGGACACATGTACTCTATTAAATTTTAAAGATATACAATTTCATTTGAGTTGATTCGATATGGTTCATTATTAAAGACATTCAAAATAGCAGCCACATATAGCTGAAACAAATTGAGTAAATAACGCCATTTAATTACGACCACGTTTCCTTATTTTTTTTCAATAGAATCTACATCTGATGTTACTTATTTTTAAAAAAAGTTTAACGACTTTTTGGGGCATTTAAATCCATTTGGAATGAAACATCTGAAAACGTTGTTTAGAGAAGAGAAATTGTTAGTGTTTCTTCATTTTTTTCTCCAGAAACGATCAACATTTGAAAACATGAAAAATATGCTTTTCTATGATAGCAGCATTAATGTGTTTTGCATTGAATTTAAATCCTTAAAGTGGCTTAAACGTGCAAACAGCGAAAGTCGTCAGAACCTTCATTCACAAATAAACTAGATAAACTTAGATTTCAGAAATTAAAGTTAGGAAAATTTACGAAAAAAGGGATTTATTGCTTGATAAATGTTTTTTTAAAGATAATAATAAATATGTAAGGCAATATTCCTATTTATATATAAGTGATAACTGACAAGAGAAAGTGGTAAATAAAAATCTTTAATTTGCTCAAAAACGCTAAAAGTGGATTTAATCCCTCTTGGAATCAAACTCTTCATAATAATGCTTTAGAAAATAAGGGGTATCCAAGTCTGAAACAGTAGTATGTGACTGTTCAAATAAGGACATTTTAGACATAAATATATCATACACATGAAAATGTATATTTAAAAATTCATCTAGGCCTATCTAATGTCCAGGTTTCATTATTTGCTATTATTGTCTTGAATTGAAAACCAGGGTCGACCCAACTTTAATTACAGTCTAGCCAACAATTTTCCAAAAGGCAAAAAATACCAAAACTGAACCAAATCAAAGGAAATAGATTTTTTACATTTGCAGACAAGGGTAAACAATTCTTGTCATCAGATCTTCATTTTTTTCCAACAGAAGTTAAACGTATTTCCAAACAAACATTAAAGCCAAACAGCGAGGCCATAAACAAAGCAATGTTCTTTGTGACTTGCCGACAAAAGTCGAAAATTCGAAATTACTCGGGCGAAAATTTCCAATAGCTCCTTCAGTGACTCCCCTAAAAAAAAACTTCTACAAACGGTTACCGATTCGGGGATCCCTATGCCTTTGCTAGTGCTTGTTCTAAATCTCTTATGAGGTCAGCAGGGTCTTCCACACCAACGCTGTGAAATGAAAGGGAATAATATGAAAGCAAATAAACAACCAGCATTTGAACAAGATAATTGCCATATTCAAATTATCTGTGAATTATCACCCCGTTTGTTAATGAAGTGCATCGCTGGCAGTAGGAATTATTGTCGTAATAATAATATTCATTGATATAGCTTTGTAAGAACAGACAGTAGTCTCTTGTTTAAAATGTAACAGTAAAGTCAACCTGTTTCTTGAATGCATATCGTTAATTCTTGTACTAAATAAGTCACAGCTAGTTAAAGTATAGATTAACAATGAAATATGTGGTCTAGCGCTATGTCTTTTGTTTAAAACATTATAATACTCAATGCAAAATTGCATTGCGTTAATTTTTGTATCAAAATTGGTGTCTTGCGCCATCTCTTGTTTCAAACATTACAATGTTCTATTTGCTTTTCTATATTCTCACCTGAATCGAATCATTCCATCTGAGATACCGCCAGCCTCTCTCTCCTCTTTGGTCATCACCGATGGGCCATGTGTCATGGATGCAGGATGCTCCATCAAGCTTTCAGTACCTCCAAGGGATGTAGCCATTAAGATCAGCTTGATATTCTATTATGTAACAATAACCGGTAGCCAGTTTGATATAAATCTAATTAATTTTTTCATCTCTCCATATTTGATCCTTTTAAAAAACGTCCAGACCACCTTATTTGTCTTCAGTGACGAATTCTTATCTAGTTTATCCTTGGATTCTCAGATAGATACCTTAGTCAAAATTATTTCCCTAAAAATTGTATTAATATTTTTTTCTTTTATAATTTTGAATGTTTTTTGTGTAAACTGTTATAAAAGCTTTTAATCACTGTATGTGATCAAAGTTTAGATCGAGTTAATTGATTGGGTTTTTATCATGAAAAATCTAATTAATTTGTGAGCAGATCGCTTGTACTGGCATTCATCATTTTTATACAGACAAACATTGTTCAAGACGAATGTAACCACGCAATAGGCCTAAACACTGCACAATTTTATTGAAAGATCACTGGAAGAAGCATTAATTAGGCTTTCCTTCTAATAGGGGCCTAAACTGGAGGTCCTCAGTGTAACTTAAGGCGCATGTCTAATAATAATTTTTTGCAGTAGTGCTAGGCCAAAATCTTGAATAACTTAGTTTGCAAAAATCTGTCCACCATAGCAGCGTAAGTCGATGTGTCTTTATATATAACTTAAATGCAGAAGAATACGTCTGTGTCGGAACTATTCGTGATTCAGTATACCTCCATGACAATCCTTCCTGCTTCTAAGCCTCCTTTCATCTCAAAGATCACCATACCCCCGAATCCTTTCTTCATCTGCGATGCTGCTACATCATACTGGGGATGCGATTTAAGACCAGGATATTTAACACGAGCAACCTGGAAATGAGAAAGAGAAGCTTATACAAAAATGTATTAATCTATCTTTTTATCAGACGATAAAACACAATGTAATTTGATAAAAATAAAGAAAATGAAGTACAGTAAACAAAAGAGATAGATACTGGAAAATATTTTCAGTCGGATGCATCGTTGACTGTCAAAATTTACTCGGAATGGTGACATTCCCGTTTCACATTTTTTCCTCAGAAATGTGGGATTTTACAGTCAGTAAGTAGTGATAGGAGATTGTCAGAGGAATATCATTATTTCAACTAATCTCCATTTGATTTGCTTACAATGTCGTAAATAACAATTTCGATTACAACAATTATTGATAGTTGATGTTTGATAACCATATCATCTCTTATCATAATATTCACAAATTAAATCACCGTCTTATTTTTTATCATGATAATGTGTATCTTTGCTAGTTTTACCAACCTTAGGATGAGTTTCTAGATACTGCGCTATCTTGAGAGCGTTACTGCTGTGTTTCTCCATCCTCAATGGTAGAGTACGGATTCCACGGAGCAGAATGGATGCTGTGAAGGGACCCTGTCAATCAAGCAATATAGATGTATGTATTTACTACTACACTAATGGAAAAAGAGTTCTGCAGAATATACAATGATATACCGACAGCTAGGTTGCCAGTTGATAAGCCTTTAAACAAGTCAGAGAGTAATTAAAATAAATAGAGAGATTATTGGTACTACCATATAGAATAAAAGTTCGGAACTGATAACAGACATAAATTATATATAATGAAGTCATAGTTTTGTCATACACCCATTAAGGTGTTGATATGAATGTTAGATTGAAGGAGTGGAATGCGGAATTTTAAAATGATTCTCATGTCATTCACAGACAATTTTAAAACAAAACATTTATTGCAAGACTGCAATAAAATTGCTTCAATTAAAATTTGTTATAGGCTTACAATCGATTCAACAAAAGAATAAATATAGTTTAAATGCCGAGTAGTTGTTCCGTATTATCATTAGAAGTTAAAATATAGCTACACTATTTTATTCACCATTGTGTTGCCGATTTGCCTCTGGTATTCTGTCAAAAACAGATACAGCTCTGGATCCTTGGTGCACATCGAACCTCCAAGTAGGTCCCCATGTCCTCCAAGATACTTTGAACTATTAACAAAGAAAGTTATTAACTTTACATTGGGGTAACACATGCTTTGTAATATCTTTATTGATAATTATAATATTTATCTATTTGTCTTTTTGTGAAAGGGAAATTCAGAACATTATATCGATTTTTAGAACTTTAAGTGGCTTGTATGGGCTTTTCTTGAAGAAAATTAATTAACGTATGTCAGGAATAGGCATATCTTTATACGAGCTAATAGAAAAATCATAATGCTGGCTTGTTGTTGCTTTTTCTCTCATCCAGGATCAACATAATATCAGAGGAGGAGATGGGGGGGGGGGTGTGACAATACGCTTGGTCGACAACCCAAAGTCAATGGAAAAAAAAACTTTGTTGACAGGTTTTTTGTTAAGAGTGCATGAGGACCCTTTTTTCTGGGGAAGGGGATGTCAACTAATGTTAAACCCCTATTGGAATCTTAAAAAAGAAAGGGGATCTGTCCGCAACTAAGTTGTATATTTGTGTATTCACAATGGAGAAGATAAAAATGTGTCCATTACCAACTTTGGAAGGAGATATCCACACCAAGGCCAAGCGTGTCTTGAAGATAGGGTGTGGCGAATGTAGAGTCACACATGCTGATGGCTCCAGGTACAGACTTAGCAACATCCGCAAAGGCTTTAAGGTCCAAGAGGGTTAGGGTGGGGTTAGTAGGTGTCTCACCATAGAAGATCTTCAAAGCATTAAACAAAGGGGGGGGGGGGAATGAATCAATGTGTCTTTTTCAGTTTTTGTTATTGATAGTCCATCCTACAAAAATTCGATCTAAATAATAAGTATTGCAGTTGATAACCTTTGAAGATGAAAATTTAACTAAAATAATAGAGGGTGAAATATTTATAAATTTTAAGGTATATGGCAGTTTCAAAAATGCACGTATTTGTCTGTTCTAGATAACGTATTCTTTGCGTTGCAGAGAGTGGAAACAATCCACATTATTTTTGAATTTTTTAATCACTTTTCATTTAATGCGTACGAATTACTATTTTAAAAGAGTATTGAGTTTGTTCATTTTACATCCCTATAAAGGAATACATTTTCCCTGCACACTACCAGTAAAATGACAACTTTGTTTTTGTGAAAGTGAAACATTATGAAATACCGAATGAAGACACTATAAATGCAATTTTAATGATTAGAAACTAAACTGAAAAAAAAACTTAGTTATAATAACCTTTGTATTTGGTTTAATTGCTTTCCTGTAAGCTTCGATATCTCCAGCTGGAACAAATGTTGTCTCCACGCCAAAATCCATTAGCATTGAATTAAAGAACTTGTAGGTTCCTCCAAAAACTGGGTCGGGTGCTATCTGAAAACGCAAAACGAAATATGAATGGCCTTAAATTATATATGACATTTTTTTGTTTCTGTAAAGTACATGTAGTTCTGTCTGAATTAGATATACAGGGCGTATCATAATAAAGGATATTGAAGTTTAATGACGATTTATATGATCACTACTGATTTCATAATCAAGCATTTTATGTCTGTTGTAAAGGACAGAATGTCCTCTTTTTAATGACACCCCGATCATACTACTACTGTCACAGTTGACTGAATAACAAAGCATTGCTGTCCACCATGTGAAAGGTGCAATGTGCCAAGTTTGATAACATTTCCTTCTTAGACACATAATCCACTCATTGTTCATCATTTCGATATGTCGGGGCTGACACAAGCACTAATCTTTAGAATTTATCTGTGAATGCTAACTTGTCACAGTGCACCTTTCACATGGTGGACAGCAATGCTTTGTTATTCAGTCAACTGTGACAGTAGTAGTATGATCGGGGTGTCATTAAAAAGAGGACATTCTGTCCTTTACAACAGACATAAAATGCTTGATTATGAAATCAGTAGTGATCATATAAATCGTCATTAAACTTCAATATCCTTTATTATGATACGCCCTGTATAGTGCGTCCCAGAAAAAACGAAACCGAGAATTATCGATGTTTTTATCATAACTGACTCACAATTATAATTAATAAATGACACATATTTTGTAAGTTTAGATCCTCCTCTTTCATTCGATGCAACTCATATGATGCATATTTCACGCATGAGTGATTAAACATAATTTGAAGAGAAGAAACCAAAAAGTCATTTGGCGGGCGGCATCTGAATTTCAAAGAGAAAATCACATTTCTAGAAAGTTCATTTTTTGCCCTTTCATATGACACCTTAATCAGGAAAATTGAGCCAGGAATAACAAAGTTCTGTTTGTTTTAAGTAATGCTTGCATTTCCATAATTTGATTAAACAAATTCGTTTTCACTGGCTGCTGCCGTAGTAACAAACAGAGTTAACAAAAGACAAACTTCGTTTCGTTGACGATCAGCCATGTACAAAGAAGACGAAAGACTTGATGCATAGCTGATCATCAACGAAACGGAGTTATTAAGTCTTTTGTCAACTCTGTTTGTTGCTACGGCAGGCAGCCAGTGAAAACGAATTCGTTTAATCAAATTATGAAAATGCAAGCATTACTTTAAACAAACAGACCTATGTTATTCCTGGCTCATTTTTCCTGATTGAGGTGTCATTATGAAAGGGGGGGGGGACACGCCCCTGTGTAAACGAGGTAAGGTTCATACCACGTGATCTCCAGTCTTGATGAGTGCCAGAACAGTGGTGGTGATAGCGGACATACCGGTAGAGAACACCAGGGCTCCTATCCCTCCTTCAAGGATGTTGATAGCATGGGAGGCATTGTCACATGAATGGTTGCCATAGCGACCGTAGATATACCCATTCTGATAATTTAGATTGACAAATTATTAAAAATATCTTGCCTCATTTCTGAGCAAAAACGAATTTAAGGAAAAACATTAACAATGAGAGGAAATACAGAGCTGTGTAAATCTATTTTAATATTTATCAAACAGAATTTTGAAATGCCATGATAACACAATTAAAAAGGAAGGAGAAAGATGAGAAATCAGCTCTCTGTTTTATGCATTTCAGAAAGGAATAGCAAAGAGTAGGTAAGTTAGAAGACATAGCCATAAAGTTATCTCACCCCAAACAGAGATCCAATATGATTTTTTGCTTTAAATTTCTGATGGAACCATCGGTAAGAAAAAATTCTATAAGAACAAAGAGCAAACGTATATGTCAAACAGAGGAAAGGGGTAGAGAGGGAGGGAGAGAGAGAGAGAGAGAGAGAGAAACAGGAAGAAGAAGAAGAAGAAGAAGAAGAAGAAGATGAATCGACCACTCTAACCTTAGAAAATTCCTGATAATCTTCCACCTTGCCACGGAGTTCATAAGAACTTGACAAACTGATAGATGGAACGATTGGTGTAGTGAGTGTAGGCATTCTGAGCTTGGTCTTAGCCGTGACAGCTAGGGTATCCTGGCTCACATCATCATCGTAGTCCTTCACGTCTTCCAGTCTTCTGATACAGCGTTCGGCGTCGTCGAGTGCGACCTTGAAGTGGGAATCGATCCGCGGCCGGGTGTTCTTCTCGTCTGACATGGCGCTTGGTGATCGGAGACGACGATGGAATGACTTTTAATCAAGAGGCAATGACATGAACATCGTTACACGAGACTGTCTCAACTCTCAAGGATAACTTCACCGGCATCCCATTGAAAGGTGCATTGAAATTAACAAACGTTTCAGTGGGATGCATTTTCAATATGTTTTTCACTAGAACCCCTAACAACCAACTATTTTATTCACCTGCTTGAATAGCCTAATGGTATATTTGCATACATATTATGTGGTTGTTGTCAAGAGAAATTTGTGTTCCAGTGCATGCCAGTAAACAGGTCTATAGAATGGTGGAAGAGATATGTTGTAGACTAGTGGTTTTATATGACTGTATTGTATTGCTCTGATATCAAAGACGTTATAATTCAATTATGATCCAGTTTCGTGATTTTATTGCTGAAATAATATATGGATAATCATTCTCTCAACTGTTGTCCACCCCCCCCTCTCCAAAGCAATACAATCTGAAGAACAAAAACAAGACATTTTAAGAGTTCCATTGATGTTTCAGATAATTTGTCAAAATGGCTTATAATAGAAATCCTAAGCGAAACCAATGTAACTGTTGTCTTTTTATCACGCGTTTTGAGGTTCAAAATGTGACCCGTATATTTGTTGTTTGCACAACACGTTATTGTTTTCTAATCTGAATAAGTCAATCCCGATCTTTATCAGGCAATTAAGTTGAACTTTCGACAGTCATCCGTTTCATGCATTGACTTAATGAAGATGTAATTAATCTAAGATTTAATATTCATTGTCTTTGGCACACTAATCGTATTTCATTTGATATGGTATTATGATTTATCAACCCTATCTGACTCCAGAACCATAGTCATTAGTTAATGTGATTGCATAATATTTCCCCAAAAACATTAAAGACAAAGAATCTTACATTTTCTATTTTTCTTAAGCAATTGCAACGAGATGCTCACAGGCCGGCAAGATCTCATGTGATCTCATGTATAAAATCTATAAATTTGTAGAGCACCATTAACTGGTTACTTTATCAAAGGCGCTGGTGAGACTGGAAAATAGATTCACATTTGATTGGCTGGGAAGTTTATCTATTTGAAAAAAAGAAAATATACGCTCCCCGCGGAAAATAGAACTGTAAACCATAGGCCTATTACAGCAACAGAGATTCTAATTTGACTTTACACGACCTATGCACAGTTAAAATTTTTGTGAACAAGTTGTTTAAAAGTTTAAACAACTTTTGATTAACGGGTGACCTGATCTGAGAGTTGTTTAAAATGTTAAGCATCTCGAGTTGTTTAAAGTTTAAACACTTAGTTGATCAACATTTTGAACAACTTGTTTAAAATCACAATTTAAACAACTGGTGTTGTTAAAAGACGGTTGATTAAAAAGGAGCTGTTGTTCATTGGGGGTTGTTTACACCAACTGGGTTGTTTAAAGAAAGTTGTTTAAAAAGGAGCTGTTGTTCAGTGGGGATTGTTTACACCAACTGGGTTGTTTTAAGAAAGTTGTTTAAAAAGGAGCTGTTGTTCAGTGGGGGTTGTTTACACCAACTGGGTTGTTTAAAGAAAGTTGTTTAAAAAGGAGCTGTTGTTCAGTGGGGGTTGTTTACACCAACTGGGTTGTTTAAAGAAAGTTGTTTAAAAAGGAGCTGTTGTTCAGTGGGGATTGTTTACAGCAACTGGGTTGTTTAAAGAAAGTTGTTTAAAAAGGAGCTGTTGTTCAGTGGGGGTTGTTCACAACAAAAGGGTTGTATAATGGGGTATAATTTGGGTTTGATACTCTGAATAAGTGCACCACTACTTCTGGGTCTCTATATAGGTATATGAAGACTAACAATATGGTAGGGTAATTCTGCAATTCATGAATTAGCGCCAAAACAGTGCCCATTTTGCATGAGCGCGCATGCACGCACGTATAAACTGCATATATAGGGATGCATGCAATCTCTATGGCAAGGAATTTAGCACACGTTATAACCGAGTGCGCGATCAGTGCCGCACTGCATGACGCGACGATTTTAAGTCTACCTATATTCTGACATTTGCGTACAGATACTGAAAATTGTAACTGTGAACTTACGCTATAAGTTAAAAACTTCAAATTGGTTAATAGAAAAATAATTTCAATTAAGCCATTGAATCCCCAGTCACTTAGAAGCGCTTGGTCGGCCATGATGTGTGTTGTGTTGTGGGTTGGAAAGTAAAAACTATTAAGCTAAATAAATGTTAGTATAGAGACAAACAAAATGGAGCCTGCAGAAACACGTGTGGTTGCTTTGGTAGTTTAATCCAGACTCAATGTCCATGTGCTTTTACATATGTATCAATCTGTGTAGTCAACAGAAGACCCTTGCATATACTTGCATTGTGTGTATGCATCTAATATGAATAACAATGAGCTGTGCCTGAACAGCTGCACTGCATTTCTAAGTGGCATGTTAATTTCAACTGCATGTTAGTTTCAAGGAACCTGTTTCTAAACATAACAATGTGAAATAAAGCTTTTAGCCAGCGCGCACTTTACTGGCACGAGACACATGACGTCATATGTAAACAACACTGTCTAAAAGCTCTCGTATAGTAAATATAGCAGTCATTAAATTTCAAACAACGAATGTTTAACAAAATTACTTTCGTTTCGAGCAACATTGTTTACAATTTGTTCAACTGTTGTTTAAGATAGTGTAAAACTGTAAGTGAACATCACTTTTTTAAGCAGCGTTTTTACTGTGTGATACGGCCGGTGATTCAAGGGGACAAAACAGTATTCTCCCCGGAAAATGTTTAAAATGTCCCCCACCCCCTCCTCGTCCCCGAAAATTACGAAAAATTAAAAAAAATGATTCCTTAAAGGTTAATGATACATGTCCCCGTTGAAATAAAGGGTTGATATTAAGATCACAATTTGATTCGGCTGTTTGATCAAGGTACTCTAAATCACCAAGTTAAAAACTACAAAACGTGTTGAACATTTTCTATATCGGTCGATATGCCACGCCATACAAGAAGATGGGCGTATCAATAAAAAGGTTACCCAACTTTGAATTGCTTTCATGATGAAAAGCAACATTTTTTCTGTCCAATGATACCATATTCATAATATTTTTGCCACAGGTGAAAGAGCACCAAAAGGTTTTGTCAAAATCACCTTGTTCCAAGGTTGGGCCAGAGAATTTTGACAATACGTTTTGACAATCCTGTTGGGTAAACTTTGTTTTGATCCGCACTGTATATCTTACCAAATGCGTCGCTATAATGCAAAAGTTATTATACTGCAAAATACACAATCACTAATTGGACCGATTTGTTTTTGTTGTGTTCCTGAAGTTCTTAAGACAATATTCAAATTCTTATTTGTTCAGCCCCCTCAAAATGTTTTCTTCATTACGCCACAGACTGTTTGTAGTAGCTAGTTGTAGGCAATCTCATTATTAGTTACATTTATTCATGGCGAATAAAAACGAGGCCGTTAACTTAAGAATTGAAACCTCGATCAGTGATAGTAAATTCCAACTTTCGACTCAACATTATTTACATGCATAGATATTCTGTTCGAAAATTAAAGTTTAAGGTAGTCCTTCTAGGTACTTACCTTGGCAATATATGAGACCGGTACGTCCACAGCTATGGGCTAATGTAAACTCTTTGGACTTTATCCCATGCCCTCATGACCAGAAACAGAGGAACTGACCAAAGTCTAACTGCAAACAAATTTTAAGTGTGCAAATGCAAATAAAAGTAGACCTAAAATAATTTCACAAGATCTAGGAACTGATGTACAGGTAGCCTAGAGCCGGGGGGGGGGGGGGGGTGGGGTAATCACATATTAAGACATACGGGGGTGTGCCGCTTTAATGGCTCACTTTTTCACACCAAAAAATCCCTAAACATGGGTCTCATTTTCAACAAAAGTACCATTAAAAATGGGTCTGTTTTTAAAATTTCCAAAATCAAATTGTGAAAAATGGGCCTTACTTCGAGAAAAATCCCCACAAATGTAGGGGTTTCGAGGCTTCAGCGGCACATCCCCTATCAAACCAAATCTGAGTACCGGGGGGGGGGGGGGGAGGGGGGGAGGGGTACAGCTCCGTCCCTACAGGCGGAGTGTAAAATGTCTGGAGCTTCTAGGCGACGTCACCCGATGTCCACCCCTGCAATGTGTACTGATTGTTTTTCTTCTTTTCTTCCCGGTAGGTCTACTTCCAAACGAAGATGTACCATTGCACATCTACACGTCTTATATTAGTATACCAAACCATGAAGAAGAACGAAAAGGAGCTAGAGAAAGGAGGAGAGAAAGAGAAAGAGAAGAAGGAGGAGGAGGAGGAGGAGGAGGAGGAGGAGGAGGAGAAGAAGGAGAAGGAGAAGGAGAAGAGAAGAAGAAGAAGAAGAAGAAGAAGAAGAAGAAGAAGAAGAAGAAGAAGAAGAAGAAGAAGAAGAAGAAGAAGAAAAAGATTCTGTTAATTTAGTTAATACAGAAATTTGTTCAAGCCGTTTGAATGAGCCAACCGCTTGATTTGTATCCACCATAGGATAGAGCAGGCATGTGCCGCCCCCTCCCAGTTCGTGGGTACCGAAAATAAAAATCATCAAATCTTGCAGCAGGTCTGCAGCAAATAGAGAATACATTAACATCATATGTTGCATGTTGAATATAATGTTGAATAATTCTGATACAATAATATCATCCATTATTTAAGAATGAAACCAATAGCTCTGAAGTCATCAATTTATTGTTAGACAATTTGCTTTTTAAGAACTTGCTTTTTGCCATTTAAAAACGTTACAAAGTAACTTTGTAAGCTATTCTATGTAAGCCCTTTCTAATTTATGAAGATAGTGCACTTTCAACTAATAATGTCAGAGTGAGAGGAGCCCTTGTATAGATGATACTTCAACCTATCAAAATCTTTAGGCTAACTTTACTTTTAAACCAAAACATGAATTTATTTAGATGAAAAAAAGCTAAATTGTATTACATGTATTTTATTTAATGAGATATTTCCATTGTAAAAGTATGGCAGCAATGCCCATTATCCAGACTGATTCAGTACCCTATGAAACTCTAACTTTGTGTAAATTTACATTCTTTTATGAAAACAGAATCTTTCAACAAGTTTTACCATTCTGCAAGACTACAATAATAACAAGCACACACCAGGACGAGATGGAGATTGTTGTCATCAAATTTTATTTGATATAAAATTGCATGATAATAAGGCTCAAATGTAGTCACATTCATTTGCACAAAAGTTACAACACATGGCAACAAGACACATGTGTTTTGAGATAAAGCAGGAAAGATTGAAAACATGACATTTCAGAAAACAAAATTGACAATTACTCTGTAATCTTGACTTGACAAAGTTCATAAATACAATAAAGAATGTTATTTTAAGGAGATAATATCAATCTAAGGAGCTACCATTTCCCTATTATGACTGGTAAAGCTCAGGCAATGATAATTCGTATAACGCTTAGAAGAATTACCAGTTAGCGTTTCATAATCTATCAATGATGTAAAGCGCTGTATAACAACAGTTCAGTTTGTAAGAGCACTATGTCAAAGAAATTATTTTATTACAATGTCACAATCAATATCCCATAACATGCTTTGAGATGGGAATGGAAAGCTGTTTATCAAAATGCTTATACATGTACCTTAGTATTAAGCATCATAATAACCTTTGTAACAGTAGGTAATCATTAAACTAAATATATCAGGCTGTCAATCAATTGAACTACAATTTCTCTTCAGCTAGTGTCTATATATTCATTACTCAATCTTGCTGACTATGTAAAGAATTAAAGTCCATTAGTATTCTACCTGAGGATGCATAATACAGTGAAACCTGTCTATAAAGACCACCCAAGGAAGACAAGCAAGTGGTCTTTATAAGCAGGTGGTCTTTCTATACAGGTGGTCACTAAAGCAGGTTTGACTGTATAGGAATGTTAGAAGCAATCAATCTTATCTCAATCGTAATCTTAAACAATCTTAACATGAGTGATGAAAATATATGCATTATCCCATACAAATTAAAAAAAGAAAATAAGAATAGCAATGAAAGAACCGCAGCCATTTTTACAAAACCATACAGACACAAAACATGTGCTTATACAAACATAAAAGTTTGAACACATGGCTCAAATTTATCATTCTTATCTTATTCTTTCAAAGTGAGATACCATAACCATATTCCTTCAAACTTACAGCAGCAGACGTGTATACTCTGTATAACCTATGAACATAGCATTATTATATCTGAGGGAATTATGATTTGCTATATTTCCAATTTATATCCACAAATTCAAATTAAAGTGATTATCAAGCCATGATACAAAAGCATGAAGGTGCTATTTTTTATATGATGAAAATTCCATCCAAAATATCAAGAGATTGAATAAAAACAATAAATAAGTCAATTTTTTCCATCTAAAAATGAATATTTCCAGGTAACGTTGACATTTATCCTCCCAGCAAATTTTCAAAATGCAAAAAGAAAACAGAATCAGAAAAAAGAGATGCAATTAACAAAAGAAACAATTACCTTTTCAAAACAGGGAATTTGCTGGCAATGATCATTCTTTTTATCTCCATCAGTTTAAGAAAGACCTTAATATGATTAAATCAGTCTTTTTAAAATTTTAAGCTGTCAAATAGTATCGGTACATGAGTGAACAGAATACGAGTTGATCTTGACATGCCACAGACTCTACTACTTTTCAAATCAATGCATGAGGATTTGGGGGGATTTCAGATGTATAACCCAATGTAAATCACAAAAGAAACATTATAAAATTACAACATCAAATCCAAAGCCTTCATCACGTATCTACATCATTATCTCCTGAATTTTGTATACTACCCTCATCTCCTGTTTGCTCTTTCTTCTTCTCCTCCTTCCCATCCCCACCTCCCTCCTTCCCTCCATCATCCTTCTTTTTCCTGAACTTTGCCAGCAACCTCGTCACCAAATTGCCGCCGTCGCTGCTGGATTTGTCCACAAAGTCAAACTTCCTGGTGGTGAGGTTGTGGAGAGAGCCAAAGCCTATGGCAACCACTGTACAAGCAAGGCAGATCACATTGTATGGCATACTGAAGTCAGGCGTGGGAAGCTGAATTAGCAGAGGCTCAGTGTACAGCCGCAAGAAGAAGCTGGATGCCATATTGACATCACTGCGGAACGAAAAGAGAGGACATGACATCATTGTTGTCACTTACAATATGCGCAATTAATATAGGGTCTATTTTGAAGAGATGAATACATATATTAAATTCACAGTTGATTCAAATAATGAAATATGATATTCCATATGAAATATTCCAATAATTCAAGTCGTTTGAGATGTGCAAAAATTATCTCATCAACAATAGCCTCTCTTGATTAATCATTTTTGCAGATATGATTCAAACATAAGAAGAATTTGAATGGATGCTTAGAGAATGGATTAGCAAAGAAATAGAAATATGCCTTTGCATTCCAGATTTCTTGAATCATATGTAATTTTGGCAACCTCTCATCTAAAACCACTTTTAATGCACGGCCCTATGGAATTTTGAACAAGTTTCTACAGTTAAAGATAAAGGTGAGTTCTGGTAAAAAAAAGAAAATAAATTCTCACAGAATCAAACGAAACTTACACTTAATGTTCAAGATTACAAATAAATGTCATTTGCAAAACAATTTTGGTAGAAAATGTATACTGGCTGAGTAATGAGCATAGAAAGATTAGGAAATCAAGGTTAGTAGCCCTGACACCATTTGTGTAGTCCCATATACATCTTTCTGTGTGCAGTGCTTGTTACTTTGCCAAGACTGGGCCAAATTTATTATGATTTTGATGACTTCAGAACCTTTCAGTACACACCAATACTTGTATGCTACATGATCAACTTTTTCTGATCCATTCCACACCTTTTCTTTCACAATGCAATCGGATGACCAGAACTGACCTTTATCTTTAATGTTATTTTCCATTCATAGTCTCATAATAATTGGAGAGAGCAAGAACAAGGTGGGCTAAAAGGTCAGCGATAATATACATGTAAACCTACCATGTCTTAACTTGACTATGTCACAGCTAGTTGTTTTCATCTAATCTGGTCTTATAGCATTCAATAAACATGCAAGGTAGATTACATACTCATTATCCATTTACTTCTTACTATTGTATCAACATAACTAACCTTACTGCAGTACCGATGATACCAGCTCCTGATATATTACTTGCCCTTGGAAGCATCACACTCACAATGGCAGAACTAGAAACAGAATAAGAAAATAACAAAAGGAATTAAATAACATATTTCAAGTGATAAATAGAAATGGCTGAACAAAATTTGTCTCTGAGAATTATCTTCTATGTGTACTATTTTTGTCATCATCTTAATTTCAATTTTCAGTTTGTCTTCACATTTAGTTCTTAGTGTGATATGTAATTTTTTGATTTATTTATTTATCAACAACAGTAACAACATGTGAACAAATTGTGTCTTTACAATAGTAAAGACATATTACAGAATAAAAACACATACCGGTAATTAAGGATGATAAATGGGACCAGAAAATAGCACATGTGCTAGTCGAGCCTCTACAAAATAATCATTATTATTATTATTTTGAAGTGAAATTAATTATTTTAAAGTACATTTAGATACATCAAAAGGAGAGTCCTCTTACTTGATAAAGAATCCAATGTTTGCATCTGGTGGGTACTCTGTCCATCGAAGAAAAGCCTTGTCAAAGTCTATCCTCAGGGTCGTGTCAGAGGTCGCCGGCAGGGTCAATACGACCTCTAGCATGTAGGGGTTGGACCGATCTCTTCCAGGTACGTATACTACATTATCTGCAAAGTGACAAATGTTAATTCATTTCTTCATTACAAGAGCTCTACGTACAAAGATGATGAGATGGTGGTGGTAATAATATATTAGCAGTCATGTAAGGGTGGAAGGCAAATCCACTGAATATAAACCAATACTATATAAACAAAATATATAAAGAACAGCTAAGTGACCAGATTCCATTGGGGAATATCAAGAAAACTATGTTATGGGTAACTAACTCCTCTCTCACTAACTTCAGGACAATTTGATAACCACACACTCTTAAACAATTTCCCCCTCCCCTGCAATAACTACCAGTTACTATAGTTATTATCTGTATTATATATACAATATAAATGTAACTATCATTACACAGATAAATAAATGGTGTCAAGATTTATAGTCCGAGTATTAGCTCTTCAGAGGATATTCTATTTGTATATCATCCAGACATAGCTGATGCTGGGCCCTGTTTTATAAAAACTTGTTATCAAGAACAAGAGCCGCAGGTTACGATAAATCTGATCCTAGCCAATCAAGTGCACAGATTTCAGTAGCTTATAACAATTATTGTATCTTGTTATTGATAAAAGTTTTATGAAACAGGGCCCAGGTATATAAATAACACAAGTCAAATTTAAAATGTGGTAACATCAACCCTGTTATACCTGGTTCAATGGTCTTGTCTCCAGTTCTTATCTGTAGAGTATGTAGGTAGAGCCTCATGTACCATGGGATGGTCTCGGTGTATATGACCTTGAGAGGCTGGTCAAGGTTATTCCGTAGCAGACAGCTCACTCCTCCCTTCTCCTGTCCATAGCCCGACAGGTATCGGTATGCCAGGAGAGGGGGCGAATCAACAGGTCCTAATAAGAATTGAAAAATACATTTTGATAAATATGTAGCTGGCAGGAATTAATGTTTTACATGTGAGAGAAGGGTAATAGTGATTGTGCTAAAGCAGGGGAACATGCATGTGAAACTGGAGTACCAGAGGTATCGCGCTTCACTGATACAGGTGCCATACAAGAACACTTTTTATTGAATCTATAATACATACTTTGGGGACAATTGCTCTATGGTCAATTTCTAAGACCAACAGAATTCTTAACTTCAATCCTGGTCCCAACCCTAAACCTAACCTAAAACCAAATCATAATATGAGCCATAACTCGTTATATTTGACAAAAAGGCTGGAGCGAAGGTCAGAACGATACATGTATATGTACTTTTACTGTTTAAAAGAATCCTCTAATGTTAATCATAAAGCTGAATTTTTTATGTACACAAATATTTATTTCTTATATATTTTCTTGTTGAGCTTGGATATCTGGAAACGGTTTACTCAATAACAAAGATGTTATACTGGTACTGAAAGGTTCATCCTTAAAAGAGCTCTTGATTTTATATATGAATAAAAAAACACTACACTGTATACACAAAATGCATCCACTGCCATCTTATAAGGAAGAGGAACAAAAATACAGAGATACACATTATAGATTTGAGTAATAATTACTATATAATAAAAATACAGGCAACAAGAAGGGTTGTCGTGAATTACCATATTTGAGAGCTTGCGTCCATCTCAGAGCAACGTTGAGTGTCTCTTTTCTTGCAGACCATTCCTTGACATCGTAGACAGCGTAAACGATGCTCCGCTCTCCGGTGGATTTGATGATGGTTTCAGAGGGAGGAGGACTTAGGGTCAAGGGGTTGGAGGACTTGAAAACAACAACAAAGGATAGATAAATTAATTTTCAAATGAATAATTTCATTACAATTTAAAGGGATCGTTTAACAATGTTGAATCTGAGATGCACGGACTTCATGTTATCAGTGTCTGAGATATGGTGTTACATTGAGGTCCTAAATGCTTCAAAATGATCAAGAAGTGCCTCAAAAAAGTAAAAACCTTTGAGAGACCGGTTTTATTATACTTGTTTTCCCCAATAGACTGGCAAACAAAAAATTTGATTTCGATTTTCAATCACAAATATCTTAATAATCAGACAGGCTTGTAAAAGTCATGGGGTTCCTGACTGACCTAAAGGTTTGTAATTATCATCGCAGCATGACCTAAATCAAGGATATTTTTAAAGGATCTAAGACAAAGTTACCGGATCCCTTTAAAAAGAACATTGTATCATCTCATAAAGTATGCTTACAGCATACATAAATCTATGATATTACTATTCTGTGTCAACTCACATCGAATTATACATTTTATCATGTTCCCAATAATGTATAACACATAAAAACAATAAAACATGTTACTAAAAAATCATATTGAGCTATGGCACAGATTTTGGTAAAAAGAAGGTATTCTAAAGAAAACTGGGTTGTTGATTTGCATACCTAGAAAACATCTACATTTCTGATATGTTTAAACAAGATCTCATGAATAAATCTGCTGCTTGGCTTTTTGTCTGTGGTGATTATACATGAAAAAAGAAATACACTGACCACAATTTACACAAAATCTGCAGTTTTCCAAAGGAAACATTTCATCACAACAATGTATAGGTCTGAAATGAATTGATATTTGTTAGGGTTAAAAAGTCTTTAGTGATATTAAATCATTCCATTTACTTACATGATTCTTGGATAAATCCACCATAACTCTACTGCTGGATGCCATTGGACATGGCCCGCTCAAGACCTTGCCAAATAGGGCCCTCAAGGACACATCCTGTCGAGGGCCTTGCTGGCTCTGTACCAAGGGTCTGAAGACAACGGTCAGCGACTGGGTCAGCTCTACTGCAGACTCCACACAGGGTGTCTCCCCTGACCGACACACCGGCCGTAGGTCAACTGCCAAGGAATGATAGTGGGCATTGTACAGCTTGTCGGCTTTGAAGAGCGATGCAAGGCCAGCCTTAGGATTGAAACAAATTAGAGTTAAAAGTTGTGGAGATTGTTTGAGACAGGAATTGTTCTAGGAACATCAATAACTTATTACAGCAAAAACTTTACGCTTTCATAGGGGAAATGTGTGTAAACATACACAGAGAACTTTTCTGCCTCTTCAACCCCATGTTCTTAATGATTCTGATAACTTATTTTTTTTCTTTCATATCACGTCCTCTATCTCCCAGTTCTTTTCTGAGAGGCACCGATGTTCTCCCTTGCTTGTCTTCTACTTGATAGATTATTTTGTCACTTCACTATTATTGTTAGTATACATTGAGATTGTTTGTATTTATGTTTGTTAGTATATGTTTGTACACCATCGATTAGTGAGGAGAAAAGGAATTAATTTGGTTTTGGCTATCCTCAGGCACCTGCGGATTTCTTTCTTCCTTTGGATCTGTACATTTTTGCTTTTGTTTGACTTTGCCTGGAAATAAATAAAAAATATAATGAATGAATAAAATGAAACCAGAAGATTATCAATCTGTATGTCAAGTTCACAATCTGATACCATGTTTTTGAATTTCAGGATATCTATGGTACATTCCACCAAGACCACTGATACATTTTTGCCTCTTTCTTTACTCCTCTATGCTTTTCCACTTTTGAATACAATCAGAAAAATGCAGAGGAGGTTTCTTCTTTCCTACATACTTCATCTTTTCATCACCTACCTTTGAGTCACATGGGAGGAGTTTCTTCCAGGGGGTCAAGTTCTCAGTGCAAACGACCTCACGAGGAAGGCTGGCATAGCGAAGGAGGCTGGTGTTTCTAGCATAGGCTTCTACGGACATCAAATGAAATGAGCAAACAAAATTGTGTGACAGTCATACCATAGCTCTCTAAAAAATACAATGATAGCAATGCTTTATACACATAGTAGCAATTATTTATACTGACACATTCTTCTTTTAGAGAGGGATGTTACCAGCAGCAAGTCTGCAAGTAAACTATTATCAGAGCTGCCAACCTTGTGGGACCAAAAAAAGGAACCATGATGGCAAAAAAAAAAAAGGAATTTCAAGCACAAAAAAAAAGGAATTCATTAAAACAAAACTTACAACCGCACCTGACACACTTCCAATGCTGTTTTTTTCCTTATTAGGACCTATAGTTTATTTACAAGTAGGTTTTATTTTTTGGTTATTTTGGTATTATCAGCATTTCATTCCTTTTGAGAATATTTATCTCTTCAAGTATGTTTCAAGTCTTAGTTTTCTATTGAATTCGTGATCAAATCAACATTTTAGGGCAGTTGTTTGACATGCTGTATGTAATGAATGAATGAATATATATAAAAACGTACTACCGTAATTTGGAGGAAAAACAGAATAATTCCGGGAAAAAACGTAACGGTTGGCAGCTCTATATTATCCATCAAGAGTGAAACATCAAGAAAATTACTGTCACCTACAGATAGGCAGATAATGTCAAGGGGAAAGATGTCAGATGTTACTTTTCCTTACAAAACCTCCATTAGCCCAACGACTTCAGGAACAGGGGGGAAACCCCCAAGTACAGGAGAAAGTCAAGTGATCAAGGCTTACCTGAAGCTATTCCTTGTGGTCTAAAAGACAGTTCAGGCTTGACTGTATTTGTTTCATCAATGAAGTTTAAGGATGCACAAAAGAGCCCAGAGAGAGCATTCACAAGGTCACCCCACGCCTGGTCAACACTGAAAAAGAAAAAGGGCATTTTAATCTAATCAATTTTTCTGAATTGTATCAATTATGCAACAAGTGATTGTAAAATAAACAGGTCTTCAGAAATCTCCACAAAAAAAGTTTTGATTTTCCCTATTCATATCAGAATCCAGAAATGTTTGCCAATTCCTTCAATGGTCTCTTTCTTAAAATGTTAAAATTAAATAACTCTCCCGAAGACTAAAGTCTTCGATGATTTTGAATGGTGGGAGTCAGGTTGCTTGCAAAACTTTTGAAGTTGCATTTAGTTGCAAATTAAGCAAGATGCCCCAGCAAACACGAATTCAATTTAATTTTCAAAATAGGTAAAAGTGTGATGATGATGATGAACAGCATTTGTATGGCGCCATATATCTTGTTTGAAAAACACATTCAAAGTGTGTATGTATGATTTTGGTTTTAAAGATGTGTATCAATCAGTTCCAATTGTTCATGTCGGTGATAGATTATAACGAAGAATCATGTTTAAGACAAACAAGAGTGCTCCTGATTGGGCTTTGCCTGACCTATCAACCAACTTACTCTCTAGTTTCCTCTGTGAACCAGACCCAGAGCTGGGTGCCTGGTGGAGCCCCTGCCGGTGGATAACCCCACTTATCATGCCTCCATAGACCCTGGGTCAGAGACAGGTGTAGTTCCTGGACCTGGTGCTTCCTAATGACCTGGCCCAAGGATTTGGGGAACAGGTTGTAGTGGAGCCTCTCTGATGAAGAAAAGTAACCAGTTTTAATTTAATGCAAATTAAAGTACACGACTACCAGCTGAAGAATATATTTGTATATGTTCCACGTCAGATAATTCTTGAAATAGAGCCCACAACCCTTTTAATCAATGTGCATCTGGACAAAATTTTATTTGCAAACCTGCAATCAGAGGGAATGAAATATTAGATATTGATGGAATTATCAGGACATCTAAACAACTAAATGAAATTGTATTATATGTTTGCCTATTTGTTGGATGAGGGTTAGAAGTTGCCAATTCATCACCACTTTTCACCCTGAGTATGGGCCCGCGACACATAAGCCGCCATGCTCGATGGGCTGGGCTGTGGGTGGAAAGGGAGGACTTGGTATAATACTAATTACTATATTACGTTAGTGCTACGGTGCTACCTCAGCTGTGCGGTCTCAGAGGGGATTAACTCTTTGTTTGCTTTGTTCGCCGATTTGCACGGACGTAGGCGTGCCAACTTCGCATTTTTGCACAGATGTATACGAGTCAATTAGACATTCATAATACCGCTCGCAGTGTGTAGCCACGCGTTGCGTTTACTATTGTTTACATTGTATACATCGCACACTTTCCGGTAAACTGTTTTTCTTCATAGTGTTACATTCGAAATTACCGTGTATTTAGCGGTTTTCTTTGGATTTTTTTTACTGATGTTACGATGGCACCTGCTGGAAAACGTCAACGTGTGTTTAGTGTAGAGGAGGCTCGAGATCTTGTTACTATGGAAGCATGGAGCATGGACTCTGATTCCGACGAATCGAGCAGTGACGAAGACTCTAGTGATAAAAGTGTTCCCTGAGAGTAGACTGATAGAATAAGAATGAATAAAAATTAATGAAAGAGCTAGAGATGACAGCAAGAAAGAGAGTAGACTGATAGAATAAGAATGAATAAAAAAAAATGAAAGAAGGAGATAGAGATGACAGCAAGAAAGAGAGTAGACAGTGATAGAATAAGAATGAATAAAAATAATGAAAGAAAGAGATAGAGATGACAGCAAGAAAGAGAGTAGACTGATAGAATAAGAATGAATAAAAATTAATGAAAGAGCTAGAGATGACAGCAAGAAAGAGAGTAGACAGTGATAGAATAAGAATGAATAAAACTAATGAAAGAAAGATGTATCCTGTCTTGCCGTCATCTTTATATCTTTCTTTTATTATCTTTATTCATTCTTATGCTATCAGTGTTTACTCTCTTTCTTTCCGTCATCTCTATCTTATTATTATTATCATTTTCCTATCTATATGTACCCTATGTCTTGCCGTCATCTGTATATCTTTTTCTTATTATCTTTATTCATTATTATGCTATGAGTGTAATACTCTCTTTCTTGCCGTCATCTCTATCTCATTATTATTATCATTTTCCTATCTATATGTACCCTATGTCTTGCCGTCATCTCTATATCTTTCTCTTATTATCTTTATTCATTCTTATGCTATCAGTGTTTACTCTCTTTCTTTCCGTCATCTCTATCTTATTATTATTATCATTTTCCTATCTATAATTATGTACCCTATGTCTTGCCGTCATCTCTATATCTTTCTCTTATTATCTTTATTCATTCTTATGCTATCAGTGTTTACTCTCTTTCTTGCCGTCATCTCTATCTTATTATTATTATCATTTTCCTATCTATATGTACCCTATGTCTTGCCGTCATCTGTATATCTTTCTCTTATTATCTTTATTCATTCTTATGCTATCAGTGTTTACTCTCTTTCTTGCCGTCATCTCTATCTTATTATTATTATTATTTTCCTATCAATATGTATCCTATGTCTTGCCGTCATCTCTATATATTTCTCTTATTATCTTTATTCATTCTTGTGCTATCAGTGTTTACTCTCTTTCTTTCCGTCATCTCTATCTTTTTATTATTATCATTTTCCTATCTATATGTACCCTATGTCTTGCCGTCATCTCTATATCTTTCTCTTATTATCTTTATTCATTCTTATGCTATCAGTGTTTACTCTCTTTCTTTCCGTCATCTCTATCTTATTATTATTATCATTTTCCTATCTATATGTACCCTATGTCTTGCCGTCATCTCTATATCTTTCTCTTATTATCTTTATTCATTCTTATGCTATCAGTGTTTACTCTCTTTCTTTCCGTCATCTCTATCTCATTATTATTGTTATTTTCGTATCAATATGTATCCTGTCTTGCCGTCATCTTTATCTCTTTCTCTTATAATCTTTATTCACAGTAAAGTCCTTTCATTTCATATCACTATTTCTCTCTCATAATGTCTCTCACGTCCGTTCTCCATATTTTATTCATTGCATACTCCACTCGTCAATCATTTCTGATAATAAGCTCTCTCACAATAAAGTAAATGGAAAACAATGCAATATAGTTTATATTTTAAGATTGATTCATTCTTTCTTTGTATATCTATGGCTGTGATAAATGTACTTGAAATCAATTTTATTGAGGGGTAAAGAAGGTGAGAGAACAGATGCGGTGAACATTCATAATGAGACATTTCAATAAGATGCTGATTATGTCATGTATATCACATATAATATATTATGCCTATACCATTTTTACATGCTCATACCAGTGGGCAAAATCAATAACATTCTCTTATTTCTTATTGACTTATCATGGCACAACAAAGAAAAACATCCCCACGACGTCCCTTTTCATGCCCCGCTAAACCGGACATTGACAATAACCTGGGGTAATAGGGATTTCAATGGGCAGATTAGCCCATTGTCAAGGGTGGCTGAGCGGGGTACTTTCAAGTCTCTCCCTATTGAACTTCTTTTCTTCAACAACCTAAATACTAACCTTCTGAATTGTTAGAATACTTGAGCAAGGTATGTAAAGAAAGGTAAGAAGTCCACCTTTCTAATAGATTCGATTTGAAGATGTCTTATCATTGCTAAATAAGAAATTCTAGAGGGATAAAAAACTGCCGTAAATAAGAAAAATTAAACATTATATAATTATGATTATTATAAAAATGATAATTCAAAATATAACAAATGACGGTTCATCGAAAAGCACGTTTTCCGGTCTACAACTTTGCTGCACAATATTTTTCATCATGATCATCCAGTGAAGAGTTATAGCCTCTTGATTCAGCAGAGTCAATAAAGATTCCCTCGAAATGTGTGACCCTAAAAGAATGTGGCACAGGGGGGTTTTTTAAGTGGCGCATAAAGAGTTAAGGGGATAATGGTAGGGGGGAAATAGACATGCAGTGCCATGGATGACTTCTAAGTACAGAAGACAGAACTCGACATCACTCTAGAAAACTGGAAAAGAAATATTCAAGGCCAAGGCTAGATATCTGAAAATACTTTTCTAGCAATAGAGTCGTGAAGCTGTGGAACGGTCTCACAGAAAACGTTGTGGCAGCTGGGTCGGTCAACACATTTAAGAATAGACTTGATAGTCACTGGTCAAAGAATGCAAGCCTTCTGTATGACCCGGTCTAGGTGTTGTCTGTAGTCTCATGTTAGTACACAATCTCCTCCCTCCACAAAAGCAGAACCATGGAAAAATCCTGGATCAACAGGCTTAGGTCTAGACCTACAACATTGTTTATTATAGTAAAGTAAAGTAAAGTAAAGTAAAGTAAAGTAAGTATTGGGCCTCTTGGATGGTATCTCCATCCATTCCAACTCCCTGCTACGATGTAAGTTAGTCTACTTTTCTACGTGTAGGAATATTTGAAATGTGATTGCGTTCACGTTTGACTCTCTAGTCTCCACAAACCGACAGTGACAAAGGTAAAAGCATGCCAAGTATGGCTTGATGATATCAATATCACATTTTATAGAACAAGCCTGTAAGGCTACAGTCTGACATCTCCCCTACTCACCCACCCTCCCAGGGCCAACACACAAAGACACAAGCACACGCAATGACGGCATGCATCAATTCAAATTAATAATACCAACACAAAAGTAGACGAGTGGGACTGATCTTGTTCTGCTTACCCAAAGGGAGACCGGTGTTCCATTCCGTTGTGAATTTAAAATACGAATTCACAAAGCCATTTTCAAGAGGCGTGATGAGAAGGTCTTCTTTGAAGTTATCATCGGTAACGCTTGCTAAACTGAGCTGAAAAGTTATCAAACCCAGCAAAATTTTAAAAAACATAAATGCACCAAACTTCTTCTGCAGCGCCATCTTGTGATAATAAAATAGGTAGGCGCTGGCACTACATCCTGATTTGTATACGGGGCGTGAGGTGAAAAATTGACCCACATTTTTTAAGGGGCGTCTGACACCCCATCCCCACGGAGAATGTTGTCATTGTGTGTTTTCGTGTGTTTTTAAATGTATTAATTCCTACGGATACAATTTGGTGTGTAGGCTAGATGAGATGAACTCGACCTGATCGACTTTGGGGTCTAGTTGGGGTCTAGTAAATTTTTGTCAATCTAAGTAACTTTTAGGGGCCAAATAAAATGGGGTGACTATTTCGGGACCGGCTACCGGGATATATGCGATACTATAGGGGAGACGTCGTCAACATAAGCTAATGGAGGTGATTATGATGAATGATGTGATGTAAGAGGATCTGTGTGTAACTATGTTTATTATAACCTGACAGACATGATTTTTAACACATTTGAGTTTTCTTCTAAAAGAAAATGATGCCATTTGGTTTTCTCCACTATACATGCGGTCCCAGTCTCTCATTCCAGTCTCATGTGAAATTAAGTATGTTAAATCCTCAGCGATATACTTATCTAGGCTTACATGGCGTTTAGTTTTCATACAAAAGGAGGCTGCACCCTGGATGGCAATTGAAGGGTCATTCAAATTTCGGTTTCAGTGTATTCGATGAAAGGAGTATAATAGGCATCCCATTAGTATTGGGGGCCTCAATAAATTTGATCTGCCTTCCAAATCGGAATCGTTGTTAAATTCACGCAGGTTTGAGGAATATAAGGCACCCGGTTGTCATTATTTTCGTTATTCAGGTTTGTATCCCCAAATGAATGAACTCAATGAAGGAGGTGAGGGAGGGGGAGCACTCGCTTAAAAATTCAGAAAATCTTGCAAGAGCTTAAACATGGCTTTATATTTAAAAATTAATACTATAAATTAAGAATGGAATAAACAGGGAGGGACACTGATTGAGATGAGCGGACCAAGCAGGCAGAGACAGGAGTGTGGGGGAGGAAAAGAAAACATTTGGGCATTAGGTAAAGATAGGTAAAGGAAAAGAGAGAAAGGCTCAAAGAGGAAGAGAGAGAGAGAGAGAGAGAGAGAGAGAAGGGTGATGGGTGGGGGGAAATGTCATAAGAAATTGCGATCAGAGAGTTTTATTAGGGTGCATAAAAGAATATTTACAAACGTTGCATTAAAAGGGAAATGTTTAAATATAGGTTGTCTCATTTTGAAAGAAATGTCCCAATCTGAGAACAAAATCACTTGTGTGAAAATGACACTGCTCGAGTTATGACGGTAATATAAAATCTTTGGCACATTATTATACCAAAATTTAAACACAACTTTAATTTTAACAAAATACGGCCAGATGAGTATCCAGGGCCCCTGGTGGGGTCCAATGTGCGAAGCCCTCGGAAGCTCTATAGGCATTTAGTTACAGCCAGATGAGCATTGTGCCACTGGCAGGTCACTAATTGGCCACCAGTTCACCCCTGGTGGGGTCCAGGGGCGGAGTCCCCAGAAGCTCATGCATTATACATTACGGTCAGATGAGCATCCAGGGCCCCGCCTTAGGGCCCTTGGTCGGGTGCAGGGGGCACTGAGCTCCCGGAAGCTCAAGGGTTTTAGGCATTTAATTATGGTCAGATGAGCCTGTATAGGGGCCCGCCTTAGGGCCCATGGCGGGCCCCTGGTACCCTGGTAGGGTCCAGCGGAGCCTTCGCAAGCTCAGGGGTTTCAGGTATTTAATTACGGTCAGTTGAGCATATTCTGATACCTCATTGTGACACTGGCAGGCAGGGGTGGCGATTCCCGGGGGGGGGGGGCTGGGGGACACATCCCCCCTCATTTTATCGTCCCCCCTCTCAACTGTGTAAAGCCTGCTAAAGTTTAAAAAAAGACATTTGTGCAGGTACAAATCAATGTTGATATGACAATTTATAAACATTGAAAAATTTGAAAAAGTGCCCCCCAAAAATAATGTATATAGCAAATACTGACTAAAGACTGCAACACACTTTTAGGCTCTGGAGGGCCCAAGAGTGCAGCGTTTAGACAAATAAAAATGCAAAAATCTCACTCGGTATATACGCTCCCTCGCATAATATCCTTCAAAATGTACAAGTAAATACCGAGAAAAGTGAAGTGTGAAAAAAGTATATTGCTTGTTTTTATACTATAGTTTTTCTAAGGAATGTAATTATTTAACAAAACCAAAACTTCAAAATCCCGTGAGGGGTAGTCACTTCCGTCACCTTTATATTACCCCTCTAATTCACTATGCTCCCTTGCACTTGCGTATTGATGAGGGGGAGCTTGGGGGAAGGTCCCCTCTCCAAAAATAAAATTCAAACGTGGTTTATTGCTAATTCGATACCAGTGATTTAAAAATGTCGCTGAAATGGGATTTCCCCTGAGCTTCCGGGGGCTATGTCCCCTGGACCCCACCAAGAGCCCTAAGGCGGGCCCCTAGTTGCTCATCTGGCTGTAGTTAAATGCCTAAAATGCCCCCTTGACACCACTCCAATAAGTGACCTGCATGTCAGTGCATGTCACAAATAAGGTATCAAAATATGCTCATCTGGCCGTAATTAAATGCCCCAAATCCCTGAACTTCCGGGGGCTCCGCCCCATGGATGCTCATCTGACCTTAATTTAATGCCTAAAACCCCTGCGTTTCATGGGGTTCCCCCCTTGACCCCACACCGGGCTTTGACCCTAGACCTCACGCCAATTTACGCTCCACTTGCTTTGCTCGCTTTAATTGTAAATACTTAAGCCCGCCCCTCCCCACTTTGAAAAACGTTGCCAGGTCATGCGTATCATGTAAGAGTGGTGGTGATGTAGATTTATTTTCTGCCCCCCCCCCCAAACGTTTTGCTCATTACGCCACTGCTCCCTCGTCCCTAGCATTTCGTCCCCCCCCCCCGGTCATCAAAAGAAATCGCCGCCCCTGCTGGCAGGTCATATTTCATTCTTTCTTTCTTTATTTATTTCTTTCTATTTCTCTTTAAAATACCTTTTTTTTTAAAGTGTTTTTTGCCTTTCCTGAATTTGAGAATTTGTTACTTTCCAACAAACGCATACAAAAGTTAAAAAAAAAAAAAAAACATGTTTGATTTTATGGGGGGGGGGGGTGTGCAACTGCGGAAAAATCCATTCGTGCATATAGGATTTTTCACGAAATAGAGGGGGCTGAATCCCCTGCACCCAGTGGATTAGTCACTATATTGCTTCATCAATATAGGCATATTATGCCATCATAATTATCAACGTGAATCCAAATTCTCCTCAAATTGTAAACGATCTATTTTGTAAAAAAAAAAAAAAAAAAATGAAAATAAAGTGGGTCTACATGCATACGAGGCACGGTTCTAAAAGAAATACCAAATTTATTACATTCTATTTTTAGTGAAATTGTTTCCTTTCGGAAACAAAATAGAAATCAAGACTGTAAACATGTAAAAGAAAAACAGAGCTTTAAACATAATTTATTTTCTTCTAAAATCTAGTTCTCATTTTTTATTCCGCAAACGCTTCGATCATTGCACGAAATAGAGATTTTGACAGGCAAACGCACCAAATTTTTTATTTCCCCATACCCTATCGTCATTACACTTTTTCTTATCTTTCACCTAAATGTATAACACGCATTCGAACCGTCATTTGAAGGTATATTGACGCACGCCCTCCAATGAATATTTTCAGAGGACGCTCGCTCAACAAATCCTTGTATTAATATACTTTTCTAAGAGTTTTAATTTAAAGCGCAATCCCATCCTTGTAATGATTTCATTGGCATGGAAGCAGACAAAAAGAGAAACCGAAGGCGAAAGTTTGAAATAAATCAGGTGAATGGTAAGGGAGTAATGAATGTTTGAAATAATGAGAGCACTAAATCCATGCAGTGGATTGTGACGTAGTCATGCCAGGACAACTCTGCCTTTTGGCGTGTATACAAATATCATTAATTTATCTTTTTGTCCTAATTGCCTTCTCCATTGGGACACTACTCGAAATATATTATGGATATCACATTAATACATCACCTCTAAAAAGAAAAGACCCTCCAGAATCATATACAATTTGAAAAATTGACATTTTAATAATTTACGTGTGTTGAAATAAAAGGGAAAGTATAGTGATTACAAATTTTCTAGTAAAATATTCTTGTAAAGGTTTGATTTCCTTTGAAGTTAGTCCCTGGTATATGCCGTACGTCACTACACAACAATGACCTGAGATATATTGATTATAGTAGTAAAAATAAAGACATTAAAAGGGATCGGGTACATTCAGGTTGAAACCATTGTTCAATACTGGGATCATATCTCGTTGGGAAAGACTTTGAATACCTACTCGTAAATGAGGCAGATTTTGTTTAATTGTTCACACAGACGTCAAGCAAATTAATGTTTGCTTAGAACTGACGCACCAGTTTTCTTGACGTCTGCCTCAAGCCCTCAACTTGTCCTAGACCTGTTCTCTATATTGTATTTGTTTCTTACTCTGTATAATTGTTAACGCTTCTTTTGGTATCGTAAGTTTTTTGTGTGTTTGATTTTACTGAATATTTGAATGATATAGAATGATGTTCATTCAATTTTATCGAGTGAAATAAATAAATAAATCCTTAAATACAAATAAATAAACAAGTGGCGAATCCATAGGAGAACATGAGGCGTGTTTTTCCTTGTTTGTGTGTCGGGGGGGGGGGGGGGGGGGGGTAACTCCAATGCAATTCTGATCTATAGGCTATTCCTCTATTCTTGCCCCGAGAGACACATTATTTTTATGAGTAGTGTGTACACCTGAAGAGCAAATAGAAAATATGATCATCAGAGATCATCAGAGATCATCAGAAAGAAAAGGTATCTTAGCGGATATAATAATTATATACCCACATAATATATAATTATGGCGGATATATTCAATTCAATTCATATTAGGTTTTATTCAATCTCGTCAAAAAGTCCAAAGACTAAAAATGCGAGTTTACATCAAATATTCAATCATATAAAAAAGCATTCAAAAACATGTGTATATATACAGTGCGTCCCATAGCAAATGGGGGGGGGGGGGGGGGGGGGAATAGGCTCACATGCCAGAATCGAAACTTCAAATTGCTGCTCGGAGAGGGCATATTTGCCAGGTTGATCTCTGCAAGATTAATCTTTGCGATGCCGGGGAAAGGGGCTTGGATCAGCCACTAGAAAAGAATTAGATCTTAACTTACACATGTGAAATTAATATAAATTTACAAAGGCATGATGATTTTGTTAATTAAGGATATGTATGACATAATAAATATATCAGTAAACGTAAGTAGGTCAAACGAGTTCACGACGTGAGTAAAATACACAGGTCCTCCATATTGGACAAATTTGATAAGCCCCGGGATAAGCCATTAATATTTATGATTTTCCTCACACAACGTTTTTAATTTCTCTTATTTTTCTTTGCAGGCACACATTAGCCGATCAAAAGTTATCTGTTTTAAAACTAGATAGTAAAAATAAAGAATAATGATATCGGTCAAAAAAAATCTGTATGTCCATTGATAACCGGATTGCCTCTTCGACATGCGAAGCTAGTAACAGAAGAGTCATAAATATTATTACCCCGACGAATCAATATCAGCCCCTTCATGTTTACGACACTGATCCAGGGGCGTCAACCATGTTTATTTTTTTTCCCCCTTCGATTTTCATTCATCTCACAAGTGCCACGAATTTCATCGGGATCGGTACATTCAGGCAACATTGCCAAGCAAACATTATTGGAGACTAGGAATATCACACTTCGGAAATAAAAACAATGTACACGTGCTTATCAAATTAAATGACCGGCTAATTTGATTGGTCTACACATGCGCACTGTGCCAAATTACTGCACATGTATATTGCACAGGAGCAAAATGGCCCCGTCGCTTGAGTTTCTTTGTTGTCGCGTCCAGCTTCCCTCCCTTGGATTTTAATAAATTTGCTGCATGTTAAGATGCGATTGAGCTGCCTAAAGTTGGCCGGTTTCCCCGGCTCTGTGGATGATAACTTGGAATATTATTTGTAGCAAGGTAACTTACATTTTGAGGTGAGTTTTAGGAGTGGAGTCGTGTCAGATTTTTGATAGCGAACAACTCTTCACAGCTGCTCGCTCAGCTGCGGTGCGATGTATCCACACACACTGTACAGAGCAGTGCACCGGCTACGCTAGGCGCCACCGGTGTATTGGTTTTAATTTACCGGGTGTGTGTCGGGCTGGGCATACGTTCAATTACATGGGGATATAGTCTGCATAGCCACGGTCTAGAAATACCGAGTATGTTTTTGCTCGTGTTGTGTAAGAGTTTTTTTTTTAGTGTAGAATTAGAAAGAAAAAAACATTTCTAGGTAGATCTAGAGTTATTTATGATTAAAAAAAACAGACACTGAGACAGGCATCAATCATGATCAAGCACAATTTAATTTTGAAAGTATTGCATTGAAAATCTTGGATCTTTAAAATCTTCCTCTTTTAAAACAAACTTCCATGTTGCCTGAAATCGAATTCAAATTATACAAGTGCTAGTCGAGACGCTACCTGTACGCTACCTGTACAATTTATGTGGAGGCATGATGCTCGTTGGCCAGTGGTAGAGCAGCTAGCAGTGGTCTCTATCTCGTAAACTGGGAGGTCCAGGTTTGAAATCAAGTCGAGCGGTAGTGCCCTTTGGTAAGGCGTTAATGAGACATCGGTCCCTGGTTGCATACTTACAAGCATGCACATGCGTGTAAAAAAGACTACGGTAGCCGGTAGTGTTACTGTTGTTAGTCATGTTGTTAGTAAAATCTATAACATAAGATCTATTTACCACCACAAGCTACAACTAAAAATTGGGGCTAGTCATTGGTTGATGTCGGCGTAAAGCCTGCTAAAGTCAAAAGAGACATTTGTGCATGCACAAATCCATGTTGATTTGACAATTTGTAACATTGTTTTCCCTACTTTTCAGATTACAGCCCCTGATTAGTCACAGATCTTTAAAGATATACATTTGGCAAAGATAAATGACTATTTTTATTATTATTGGTAACTGATACTTTGAGTAAATTTTGGATTGAGGCATTTTCAATTGATGAAATTTCATCTTGTTTTTGAATACTTACCGTGTATCAGTTTCATCCTACACATATTTACCTTTACTAGAGATTCAGATTGTGTTTGTAGTCACATCAGTCAGGCTTCCAGTTCACATTGGAATAATTTCAGTCAACAAATATAAAATCAGTTCAAAATTGTGTCTCTGACCTTCTCAAATTTTTTAAAATATAAATTTGAAATTCTGTGACAAGTAATAAATTGTCTTCAAAGTTTTCTGTGTAAAGTTTAAATTTTAAATTTTTAATTGCTCTATTATATATAGTTTTGATAACAGGGGAAGGGGGCACACCCCCCCCCCCCATTGATCCATTTTGTGATACAAACACAAAGGTGTCTTTCAATAGTCAAGGTGCCAATAATTTACAGAGACGTCAAGTTCAAAGATCAGGTATGCGTGATCGGTGTGCTAGTGCGCAGGCAAAGTATAACGTACGTATAGTGTTTTTTTTAAATCGCGCATGCGCGTTGTGCGTGAGAGCGTTTTCAGGCCCTCCAAATGCGTGACACTTGGTAGCTCTGAATTTATAGCTAATAGGATGATTCTACCACCTTGTAGTACATGTACAGTGAAAGTGTCTTTCTTGTTTACCAAAACCTTCTAGAAGTGGTATACATGTACCGGTATACAATATACTTCATTGTCTACATTTGTCTCAGAGTACAAAAAAAGATAAAACAACCACAGCATGAACAGTCATGAATCAAATCAGAAAACCACAAACCATGAAACATTGTGGGGGAAACAAAAGATATATTGAAAAACAAAGAATGAGTCCCGCACCACATCCAGACAGAGCTTGTAAAGTATCCAAAGTTGTTAATGTACTGGCAGATCAGTTTCTGAAGATGGGAAACCAAATGCCCTTTTGTGCTTTACAATCTCCAATTGTAAATCTGTGAGTTTGATTCTTAAGAAAAAAAATGTATGTCCAATTGTACATTGTTCTGTGATTGTTCATGGCCCTCACAGATAGTAGTTTATTAACTGAAAAGTCAGCCCTGCTTTTAACTGTAAATAAATAATTTACCAGGTATGCAACTTTACATTTTGATATGGTTATGAAAAGTAGTTGATTTGTTATTAATATTATCTAAAGATCATAATGGTGAGAGCAAACAGCGGCATGAACGGCCTTGCCATAGTCAAGTTCAACTTTAAGTTGATCTTAGTGAAACATTTCCCTGGTTGTAAATAAACAATGTACATGAAAATAAAATGCCTTGCTTGAGCATTTAAGTGTTGTAGTAGGGTTCAGACTCATGACCTTCACATGCATGTCCTTTGCTAGTGTTTGAACCACTGGGCTACATGCAATGTGTATGACACCTCTACATACAGTGTATATGTGCAAATGCGATTTGTGATCAAGTGTACAAGACATTATGGGGGGGGGGGTGGTCACTAATACTTATGTTACATTATCAATATAGTCTTCTTCAGATTTTAACTATTTACTTGATGCCATTATCTCCATGATCTGTTAAATATACATGTAGAAAGAAGGGAGGGGGAGGGGGAAAACAAATCATTTCCTTGTGTATCAAGCTAATTATAGCTACTTTGCTAATTTATCTCTTCCTGTGTAGGCCTTTATACTTGCAGAGATTAATTAATCATCTCAAATTATATTAAAAAGACAATAGAGAGAAGGGAAAAAATTAGGAATTAATAGGATGTTGAAGTCATTTATTACAAGTAGAGGAAATATCCATTTGAAAACGTAGTAAGCAAAGAGAGTGAGATAAACTGAATGGTAGATATTGCCAAGAAAACTCTTCAATTGTCGTCATTATGTATGAATCTTTCTTGCTAAGGATTCAAGCGGATTTGGCGCTGTGTAATGGGAGTTTGAGTGGGAGCTGGAAATGTACGTAAATACGAGCAAATAGCAAGCAAGGGGATTTACCTGCTCCAGATAACCGGAGCTCCACCCTCTAATCGACATGAAAAACTGCAATTCACACACCTTTATAACAATAAAGTTATTGTGTTTTGTGATTTCAGAATTCAGAATTGTGTAGTACGGAGCCCTGTTGGATTGCTCCTGGTAAATCAGGTGCTGTATGCCTGCACAGCAAGATGGACAAACGCCCCAGAAGGAGCACTAGCAACAAGAAGTCGGTAAGTAGACTATCAATGTCTTCTCCACCCTCGTATTCTCCCAAGTCGATGTTGTCCACTTGCATGTACAGTATGTGATTGGCCCTAACATTTGTTTCAAAGTTCATGTATAATTAGAAGTACAGGGCCTGTAGGAAGGTTTGACTACAAAAGCTTGGGGGAAATGTTTAGCCTTATAACCTCCCACAATATGATAATTCAATAATAATTTTGCATCATCAGAGCAAAGTTTTGGCAATGCAGTTTTATGCTATTCAGGCCTTTTGTGTCAGAGGGATTGTTGTACTTGGTCTCTTATGTTGTAACTGTATTGGCCTCATGAATAACAATTAAGTTTACATGCAAATGGCACAACATCTTTTGTGGGTTTCAATATAAAATGCATGTACTGTACATGTACATTCATGCACATGTATATACATGTACACAAGGGCTTATAAATTTGTGTGGGCAGATGATTTCAAAGGAATTTTGACCCAAATTTTGAATGACGGTACAGATTCAAAGTAAATAAGATACAGTTTGCATTATGTATATTGTCATTGTATTAAATGAAGTTGCAATGCATACCGGTACGTGTAGTTCAATCAAATATGAATGACGATAGAAGCACTAGATGATACATGTACATGTAGATTCCATAAGATTTGTCATCAAGAAAATTCAAGACCATATCAAAATTGTTAGAATCCACTTTACCAAAAAAAAGAAGGAAAGTCGACACACTCCATTGATTGGCAGCCTCCTCATGAACCAGTCCCTGAGTCAATCTGTGTGATTATAATGAACCCCTGTTTCTCAAAAGGGCAACAACATGGAGCCCTTGAAGTGTAGACTCTAAATCCGCAGGGGATGAGGCATTAAAAAGTATTTCCTATTTTCCTTCTTTTTTCTGACTCACTTGCAGTGATTTGCAATGCTGAATATATCCCATGCACAATCATACCCCAATGTAATGTAAGTAAAAAATAGTTTTATGTTCTTATAGGGATACAGAGTTCTCATTAGTTATACCGGTAGATCTATTAAATCCATTGAACTATTTCCTGTTGACAAATTAGTCTTTGGCATAAATTGTACATACAATGTACATGTATGTACATGTACCAGTAATACTTTTTTTGTTGTAAAATGGAATGTACAAACAATGTAATTGAATAAGAAATGGCTTTTGAATGGAAAGCTACATTATTGATTCATGTCGCAAGGCAGGAGACAAAAAAAATCTCTCTTTGTATGAAAGTAAGATTACAGTATGAAGCGCTTTTAATCCAGAGCCAGCTGCTTTCTGCTATCTATTGTCCAAGCCAATTGATGTGAAATAATGTGTTTAGAGTGAAGTTAAATCGTTTTGATTACTTCTTAATTGTGTTAATGTGCTTATTATTGAAAAGCCAACACTTGAACATAGCAGAGTTAAATGCAACACGTAAGCATGCATGATCATGCCACTTGTAATACGTAATTTCATAAATTGAAAATGAAATTACATGTATGCTGCACACTGTGATTTCATAGTTTGTGATTATGGGTTATGAACATGTATGCCTGTGTTCCATTCAGACTTCAGAGCTATTCATTTCCTGAAAAAGTGAATATTGGCAATGTATTTGCTAAAGTACCAAAGAATTTATTACTATGGTTACTGTTCAGTCTGTGAATGCAGTGCAATTGCTACATGAGAGAATTATAACCAGTGGTTTGGACTGAGTTCATCTTGACAAGTAGTCCCCTTGCCCCTTCACCAAACTACAGTACCTTTAATACAACAATCAAACACAACTCCTTCAATCATTTGTTCTTGCACCTGGCTTATTGGGCACACCTTATTGTTTGCCCAGTCTACACTGGTGTAGAATGAACAAGGAGAAAAATCTGGTCAGAAAAAAAAGGGGACTGCGATAAAGAAGAAAAAAGTTTGAGAAGAAAGGAGCAACATGAATGGCTAGTGTAGACAAAGACCAAACGTGTGAATGGCAGAGGTGAAAGGGAGTGTGGGGAGAACTCAGAAAGCCACTATTAAGTATTCTGTTGATGTATTGTGGATTTTTACAGAGGAGAACATGTCTGAAGTCCTTCACCTCAGCTAGCCCCCCCCCCCCCCCCCCCCCCTCTACACTTGCTCACTAACTCACACCACCTTTCATTCATAAGCTGAGTGGTTGAGTTGTGCAGACCTTTTGTGGTTATTCAATTTTTCCTTTTTCTTTTTTTCATGCTTGTGATCACACATTTTGTCTTGAAAACAATTAAAACCAGCAAGCCTGTGTACACATACATGTAGTATACTTGTACTACAACAGAAGACTGTAGGCATGCATGCAACATGTGATTTACATGTATATGTAGGTGTTTTTGAAATGCATTAAATTAGATAGAAAATATACATTGAGGTGAATATAAAGTGTAGGCCATTCAAAAACTTCTCTAATTTTTTCTTAAACATAAGTTAGCTCTTCACAACGGTCCTCTCTCTGCCCCTGCGTTTAAGTCCACCCTCTATCACCAACACCTCCAGTTAAAATAAAGTAAGGAGTATTTGAAGGATTATGTAAATTGTAAATGTACCAAGTACAGTATTGATGTATATCTACGTGTACAGTAATAGTATGCAAAGTAGGCTCATATGTTACATGTAGATTACGTGTACCCAATTGTAGCGCGCAGGAAATGGATTGTCCCCATACAGTACATGTTTTTGTATTTTGTTTTTTGAGTCTCCAATCTCTTAGCTGCTATTCTTCCCTTCAAAAGGTCATTGTCAATCCACTTAGGATGCTGGCCGGCCAGTCCAGAGAGCCACACAAAAGGGTCAGCATGAGGTCAAAAATTCAATAGCCTCTCGATTTACAGGACCAAATAAACCTGGCACTATTGAAGTCCCACATCCTGGGGTGAAAAGTGCAGACCTATTTATTGTGGTTATTGATTGGACTGTGTTTACGCATTGAGATCACACATCAATACGGAAAACTGGTTGTTTAAATGTCCGCTGCATGCTAGTTGGACATGTTCATGTAGGCTTTCAACATGTGCATTTACCATGTCTGGCATACAATCGAAAGATGAAGTACATGTACGTACATGTACATTGTACATGTATGTATTAGTAGGTGAACACAAGGAGTTGATACATTGTACCTACATGTATTGTAGAATAAGAAATAACCTACCGTATATGTAAATCATATGTAATTGTAAGCATAGTTAGAATTGGATATTTATTAAAGTCATAGTTCTGAATAGTATTATTGGAAGGGAAAGTGGAATCTATTGATAAGAAAAATGATGTTACATTTACACAAGTCAACTGAAATCAAATGAGCTTTCATTTTCTATGAGACTGAGTAATACTTGTAAAACTGAAAACGTTACAGTTATCTTAAATCCTGATCCTTAAATACTTCCACTGTTTAATTCAATCACCTGCTGGAGCTCTCCGATAGGCGATCGAAAGCAGGTTTATCTTTAGCAACTGCCTCTTAATTTTTGAACTGCAAATGACCTGTAAAACAGGAGCAATCCACACTGTTTCACCAAACACTGCTGCTACATGTATGCAGGCTCGATGGAGAGTGTGATGCAGGATAGACAACGGTGGCGTGGGTGGGAGAGCAGTCCTGTCTTATCGATTGATCTCTTCTCCAGAAACATTTACATAATTCATATCAATAGCCAGACAAATGATGGATTTGATGCTTAAGAATGAGAGGAATGTCCTGTCTTTCTTTTACAGAGGGGGGAGAGGGACAACATTTTGATGAGATGCCAATATCCACATGTATGGCACTCTCTCAGAGAGTAAAATTATGAATGTTTTGAGTATGATCTGGAAAAGATCCAACCATGTCAGTGAAATAGAATGCTACGGCTTCCTGTTTGTACAATGTATGTTTGGGCAGTCATAATAGAGGTTTACAGTGTAGTACTGCTGCTATATTTAGACCGTATGGTGTAAGATGATTCCCCCTTTATTGAGCATAAACAATTGCAATGGAGTGAACTTGAAACCCAATATTTAAAATGTGTATCATGCCTGCCTCAGTAAGAAAAAAAAAGAAAAATAATTTCATAAATATTTTCATTCTTTTGGTGAATACTATAAAAGAAAGCGATTTCATAAATATTTTCATTCTGTTGGTGTGTACTATTCATACTGTACATGTACACTTGTACCTTGCTGCTTTCTTGCATTGGTGTACACATCATTTTAATCATACTGTAAATGAATGATTTGATTATTTGGATGATCTTTTCGATGGGCTGATTCATGTGCAATGTGTGAGGTGGCACTTGCGCTACAGTGTGAAAGCTTCTATAAATAGTATTTGCTATACAGTGTAAGCCCCACTTCCACCCTACATTTACATGTACGCGCACATGTACATACACCTGTGCACATGTACACAATGTACCTTGACATTTCTGAGCTATGTTGTGCAAAGGTTATCTTAAAATCACTGAATACTTTTATAAGTTAAAGACGACCAAATTTTTTGAATGGTATTTAGAATTACCTTTGAAAATTGTTCTAATAGTTTGAGAGAAGTTGAGTTTTTGGGATTTTGACACTTTATACTAAAGTTTGCATTTCTTTCAAAGTTATCGGAAATGAACAAACGTGTAAAGGAATGTGATTTGTAGACAGGTGTAAAATCGTCTTATTTACATGTAAAGATGCCAATGACAGATCTTTTTATGAAATGTTGATGTATATTTATGATGCGGAGAAACCTTGACATTTAGAGAAAGACATTTCATAATGCATGATCTGTGGGTAAATGGGCTTCTATACATTTCCAGGATGAAGCTCTCATTTGCATCAAATGTCTAGTGCTAAAGGGTTTTTTATTTGCAAGACTGGATCGAAGAGAGGGCTTGAGGCAAACGGAAATGACAAGAGGTGACGGAGGAGAGCAGAGAAAGGAGATCGGTGAAGTAAATAATGGATTAAGAAACATTTGATCAAGGTGCAATGGAGAGAGAGAGTGAGAGATGGGGGGGGGTAGCTTTTTGTTTTTACTTAAAACAATGTAGATCTACATCATTACAAAACAAAAACAAAAAAAGTTCAATGAGTCACAAAAAGAAAGAGAAGGAAAAAAAGAAAAAGAAACATGAAATGAAAGAAAGATGGGAAGGAATACAAAGGGTAGTTTTTTTAAAGAATGAAACGTAATGTTTTTTGTTAGACAGGTACATGTACATTATGTTATTGTCCATATTGAGTTAAGCACCACTTTGATAGGAATTTTGGAAGCTTTCATGTAAAATGTACATGGACTCTAATTCAGAATTCATAAGGTGAGTTTAGAAAGAAAAAGGCAGAATGATGCTTTGCAGATTGTGATGGAGAGAGTACAGTACATGTATGATGAAACATTTTAAAGGCAGTTTAAAGGAATCAGGAAAGGAAAGTGGCATAATCGAATTATTGAATGAACAAGTAAAATGTAAGGGTATTGAAAATGATGTTTGAAAGGCATTGTATTCGATTTTCTAATTTGGTATTGGAAAGGAAATGAGATTTATTTGAATATCGAGGTGAAGAAGATGGGTCTAAAAATGGACAGAGAATAATAGTAGTTTTGCTCTTGGCTGGGCTCTCATCCTCCGGCCTGGCCTGGCCTGCGGTGTGATGATACTCGACAATCATTAGCATTCCAAGGGTGAGGAGTAGCAATGCAGGCTGGGTAGCAGTGAACTTCAGATGAACCATAGCATTGCCTTTAACTGCAATCCCATATGGAAGCCAAGTGAGGAGTTTAGAATATCATCGGCTCAAACTCCAGGAATGGACTTGCGTCAATCCGCTTCGAGACATGGCAGCGTTTTGGGGCTTGATGCATTTCCAATTGGGTCCGATGCAAATAAAGGAGTTAACAAATTCTGCTCTGCTCAACACTTTCGATGAAAATGATGATGATTTGTTCATATTCATATCACACCAGGGACTCAAGTAATGAAAAAGTAAAACAAAATTGTGTAAAGATATTCCTCTGATTGTCAATGATTAAGTGATAAACAGCAGCTCGGAGTTGATGATTTATTTTGATAAGTTATTTTTAATAAAGGAATTACCCTTTTTAATATGTCTTTGATTGATAAGATCTATATCTACAAAGATTTCTGTTGCAAGATTGGGGTTTGCCTGAAGGTAAGAGTATTCACTGTGGATTTGTGCACCCCTTTCCTTATTCTTCTCCCCCTTTTGAGTCCAGTTTTATTCATTGCGACCTAACTTGCCCTCATTCTCTCTACGGTTTCTAGGCTCATGTGCTGTCATGTGATATATCAATATGTGCTGGATGTATATACTTAGTTCAGCCGCCAGGAGAGGGAAAAAAAAAGCCACTTCTGGCCGATTGGATCTTGATAAACCCAGCCCTGCCACGCCATGGGTCTGTGCACCTGCCCTTTTACAAGTCATTTTGCTGAACTCACAATGCTTGCTGTGTTCACATTCTGCCTTTAGATGGTCGTCTGATGGTGTAGTGTGAATGCTACCAGGATTGGGATTACAGGGGTGTATTGGGATAATATTCATCATACATTTTTAAATGTTTAGGGAAATTCTCTAACTTAGTTAGTGGATATCAGAGTCTTTGCTTTGATAAATTTGTCTTATTGCGCAATGGTAAATAGCTTAGATTTTTAAAGTGTTTTAAAGTAATTGTTACTTTCTTTCTGGATAAAAAACATGAAGGCACACTGAAACTTCAGACATATTTATTGTTCCTGTAGTTTTATATGCTGGATCATGGCAAGGGGTAGCATCATTAGCATGAAATATATTTTTTCTTTCAAATTGCTATTTAAGAACCAGTGATTCCAATGAATAAATCTAAATCTCTAGGTTGTTGAAAAAAGAAAATCTTTATATAACTTAGTGACTTGTTATTATTTTTTGGGTCAAATATGCATGGATCAGACAATCTTTATAAATTTGAACTGAAGGGTACATGTACGTGTAGGTACAAACGTAGAGACTCACAGATGGAGGAACGTATTTCACATCGATTGCATTTTGCTAGAGGGGAAACAGAATGACAATGACAGTATGGTTGACACATTTTACACTACACTTGACAAAAGGAGACAAGTCCAATCCAACTAATGGTGATAAAATAAGCAAGAGTACAAATTCTCAAGTTTCTGTGTTCCCTTTTTGACACTTTAATTCATTCTTAGGTTTTACATTGTAGTTGTGGATGGAGAGTGAGAGGACTGTGATAGGATGGGAAAGAATGTCTATTGTACATTCCATGTAAATTTGCAATTTTTGACAATTTTAATTCAAAAGACAGATGGATTAAATGATTTCCTTGTAGTGGCCATTCTACATGACCCATATTTTACTTGATGCTGGGCTCAACCTTTTCTTTAACATCAGGTTTAACAAAGTAAGTTTAATAGTCTGAGGTCAAATATTTCCTATATTAAACTCAATCCTAGACCCAGGGGTCATCAACAATGCATGAAACTTGAGAAAATAAAACGCTACATGTACATGTACAGTATGAGTGTAAAGAAAGGGAACAGGGATCTCCCAACTTGGATATAAGAATGTCTGACAAATGTAGGCCCCCCTACTGTATTATTTTTTCCCTCATTTTTAAATCATTATTAAGAAATAGAAAAAAAATTTAATAGTAGGCTCATCGATCGTCTTTCCAATTTAAAAAAAAAATGGAATATAAAGATTCATACACGGCAAACTAAACATATTGATGAAAAAAGAAGAGATAAAACCTGAAAAACCCCAAAGAGCTTTGAAACACAAATAAATGGCTACACAAAAATGTTTACTATTGTGTTAAAAATGTTGTTTTGATGTTACCTGGATCTAGCTGAGAAGAGGTGTGTGCTTGATATTAAAGTGATCTCTCACCCATATCTACAAAGATCATTGTCTTCCTAGACTGCCTCTGGCTGGAGTTAGTCTGCACTCCCAGACCTCTGTAGACATTTTTAAGGTATAGAATGCTGACTTACATTCCTTTTAATATTGCTGATGGTAAACAGGGTTATTAGGCATTGGGCTTTAGAGTTTGATTAGGCTTTGGTCTATTCTTTACACATAAGTTTCAGGGTGCCTTCAAGTTTTTCATCAAGAAAGAAAGTAACAGTACATGTATATTATACCTTGAAAGAATAATAATAATAATAATAATAATATGTCCTGTTTACCCAGAATAGGATAATTAAAGAAACACACTTGTGAATTCTACATTTAAGAGTGTCTCATTTTTAGCTTAAATTAATATGTAGTAGGCAGTCATTGATTCTTGATAAAAAAACACCTTTTTTCTTTTAAAGTCTCACAAAAGGGCATCCATCTTTTGTACCTATATTGTAGGTCCCCTTCCCTTATTACATTATTTTTTTAAAGAAAACTTCATAAGTGCATACTTTGTTTCGGTGTTTTTCCTTCACAAGACAATTTCAATAAATGTTGTTTAACAAAGTGAACAAATGTTTAGGCCAAATCATTAATTTGTGTTTAAGTTCACTGAAAGTGGAGGCATAGGGCAAATACATACAAGAATTCAAGATATCCAGGTTGGCCCAACAGTTACTCTCAAAAAGATAATTCAATTTTACCACAAGGAATATATCACTCTAATCGGACATATTGAGTAGAAACTACACTAACTTTACATGTACACGTGTACATACACGTGTACATGTACATACACGTGTATAGATTTATATAGAGAGCTAAAACCCAAAATACACAACAAAGGAGATAAACTTTAAATGCATGTATAAGTTAGATAATTGCTAAGTAATTGTTTCATGTCATTAAGATGAATGGCAGAGATTATTAACAACTACATGTACAATGTACAGTATATGATAGGGATGACATTTACAAGTTGATATCATTTGTACAAGTAGTCATGCACCGTGAAGCATATTTTCTCTCATGCGATGTGTACTATTAAGGGCTGGGATGAAAATAGAACATACTCTCATAACAAAGTCAAAATGGGTATCAGAAGTGGCAGGTATTATGTCAACAAGTTCAGGTTCAGATAGGCTTATAATCATTGGAATAGATGCAGCCAAAGGTAAACAAGTTAAGTTGACATAACATTACCTTGAGGGAGTCACATTGAAGGGCATTTTAATAAACACATAATTGTATTTAGCAAAACATGTGATTATTCTTTTATATGAAAAATAGGGCAAAGGTACTGATAGAGGTTTAAATATAAATACATTATCGTGTATTGTTATGACCATTTGGAAGGATACTAATTTAGAAATTCCCACATACTGTAATACAGACCATTGAGGCCAAGGATTAATTTTGAAGGAGACAGGTACATGTACAAAAACATGAAACAAACAAACACAAAAAACCTTTAGAATCAACAGCAAAACAACAACAACAAAACAAAATTGAAAAAGACTAGGGCTGCAAACAATGCCTCCTGTTCATCCAAGCGTGAACACATACCATACAAAAATGATACCAAATATTTGGGATAAAACAATCTTTCATAAGATGTATAATAATTTACTGTTCATAGATGATTTTTTAAAATAATTAGCAATTTTCTCGGTGTAAACTTTTTTGTGACTCACATGGTATTGTTATTGAACAAAATAGTTGTAGGTGAATAGAATATAGTCAAAGCCTCATTTGCATGCTCTCGAAGCATGTTTCACATTCAAGTCGTACATTTACATTAAAAACATACACTGTTTCACCACCCTTCAGCTTTGACACCGAGAAAAGACGCCTGGATTTCTTTTTATCAGACGGACTGTGCTATTGTATTCCAGTCTGCTGTGCAGTGTCCGGGCTGGTTCAGAAACAATGGTGTCCTGTGTGTTAGAAATATTGCCATCTGGTATAATACATCATGTGCGCAGCCTGTGGTGACAATATGAAATGAAGAGAAAGTAGAGAAATGAAAGAAGCAGCCGGAAGACAAGGTAGAAAAGAACTGGTGCAGAAATAAATTTAAGGTCATTAGTATTGCCAATCAAAATCTGCCAATAGTAAGGGCCCCCATTCACACCAGAGGAAACATCGTGAAAAACAAACAAACAACTACAACATCAAAATGTAGAATTACTACACAGCAAAACGGGGCATACATGTACAGTACATGTATAGGATGACAAATCTAACAAATATTTTGGAGTGAAGTGGTAATTGTGTTCTTACTTTAGTACATGTGTTTTTTGTTTCTTAGCCAAACCCAGGTTTGTTCTTATACAATGTTCACAGTACAATGAAACCGTAATGAGTTCTTGAATGAAATGATGCCCACTTTTGTTTATCTGTAGATGTTCATTAGGTGGTTTCGCTTTGATATTCACTCAAAGATGTTCAGAATTTTATTGGAGAACCAGGACTGGATGCTAACACGGTCATGTGCACATGGACCCCAAATTTCAACTCTGGACCCTCTAAACTTAAAAAGTTATACAGGGAGCCAATGCACAGAACTTAAAAATCATCAATCTGTTCCTCTTTAAAAATTGTGGAGCTTTGGCAGAGCTACATAGAATTTGTTTGCATTTTTTGTCTGAACGGGGATACAAGAAGCTGTTACTTATCTCCAAAGAGGGACTGACTTCAGAATCTGGTCAAATCATGAAGTATGAAGTTCCGTCTGGATTAATCTGCAGAGCTTGAAGCACGGAGCAGACTGTTAAATACATTACGGCTTGACATCAGTTGGGTGTAAACCTTTGGATGCAGTGAAAAAAATACATGGGGGCTCGGGGCGAAATAGCCCCCGAAATGCCCAAAATAGCCCCCGAAATTCAGAAAAGAGCCCCTGTAAACTTGCATAGAGTTCAATGCATAACAAATTTTAGAATGTTATTTTCATGCAGGAAAGCTTGAAAAGTAGCCCCCCAAAAATAAATATTAATTTTTTTCCTGTTTGGATGAAAGACTTCATGATATGGCTGAGATTTGTTGCAGGAACTACATGTATTCAACAGCAACCATAAACAAAAACACACACTCACAGACACACACACAAAAACCACAAGTTTGTTCACGTTTGGATATTTCTTTGGTAGTTAACTGGCAATTAATAGTTTCTTTGGTTAACCAATGTGGTTTTGGCTACCTACTGTAAAAAACCTACTGTACATATATGTTTTTAATGTGTCAAAATGGAGCAA